TAAACTTATAAATATACTAGCTACCTTTTAATAGATAATTAATAATATCCTATATAAATACTTAGATATCTTTATAGTAATATACTTAAATAATATCTTAATCTTCTTAAATACTATAGAAGAATATAAGGAATATATCTATAAGGTATTCTATATACTTTAGAATATAAAGTTACTAGTAAAACTAAAGAAAAGTAAGTTTTATATATAGGAAGTAAACTTCCTTAGATATATAATCTTACTAAGAAAGATATAAATATAATAAGATAAGATTAACTTAGTTAAAGAATAGCTAATATTAAAGAACGTTAAGAATATATAAAGTTTCCTAGGATTTATAAATTACTATTAACGATTTATTAAAGATTTCGGAAAAATTATAGTACTACTATATAACTTAATAAAGAAGGAAAAAGGATTTATATAGAATAATAAAGCTAACGAAGCTTTTAAATATATTAAAACTATAATTATATAAGAACTAGTCTTAACTACCTTCGATCTAAAATAATAAATCGAACTTAAAACTAATATATTAACTTTACTCTAAGAGTATATATTAGATAAAAAGATAATAAAGAAAGATAATAACTAATTATATTTTATTTAAAGAAGCTCTATAGTATAGAACTTAATTACCTTATCTATAATAAAGAACTCCTTATAATTATTTAAGCTTTTAAGGAATTTTAATACTACTTTCTTAAAAGTAAATATAAAGTTAAGGTCTATATAGATTATAAGAATATCCTATATTTTATAACGCTATAATAGTTAAACGGACGATAGATCTAAGAAGCTAAATACTTATTAGAATTTAATAATAAAATAATCTATAGAAAAGGAATAGAAAATAGTTAAGCTAATACCCTTAGTTAATAAAGTAACTATAATATTAACTTACTTATAGTAAAAGGATAGTAATAATAGCTAAATATAATATTTAAAGTATAACCTAATAACTTAATATACTAAAAGATCCTAAAATAGATAAAAGAATATAAAGTACTAAATAAATATAATATAGAATATTTAGAAGTTTTAATATATAAAAATAAAATCTAGATACTATTAATATTATAAGATAAAGTTATATAAGATATATATAAATATCTAATATATAGATACTAAGGAATCTAAAGAATAATAAAATAGATTAAATAATAATATAACTTTTTATAGCTTAAAGAAGTAGTATAATAAGTTATTAAAGAATATAAACTTTATATATAAAGTAAAGCTAAACGATATAAACTATAAAGAAAATTATAACCGCTATTAGTACTAAAAAGACTATAGGATTTAATAGCTTTTAATTTTATTATAAAGCTACTACCGTAAAAGAACCTATAACTAATATTTAGTATAATAGTATATTTATTATTACTAATAGACTAATAAAGTATAGATACTTCTTACTATATAAAGAAGTAAGTAATATAAAGGAGCTAGTATATATATTCCTATAAACTATTATTAGTAATTATAGACTACTAAATAAGATTATCTTTAATAAAGAAAGTATATCTATAGCTAAGTTTTAGTAAGCTCTTATAGTATAATTAGAGATAAAATATAAGCTTAGTATAGCTTATTATCTATAAATAAATAGATAAATAAAATAACTTAACTAAACGCTTAAATAATATTTATAATATTATATTAGCTATAAATAAAACGATTAAGTTAAATAGCTATTAATAATATAACTAGCTTATAATAGCTTAGTTACTAAGATAACTATACTTTTACTAGTATATACTAATTATAAATATAACCTAGAAGTATTTAAGGTTACTTAATAAGGACTATAGGTAGAACGAGTAATACTATAAGTAAATTAGCTATAAAAATTATATAAAGAAATATAATAAGAACTTTAATTTATTAGGGAACGAATATCTACTTACTATAATTAGAAAAGATTATAGGGACTAATATTTTAAGAGGGAGATATAGTCTACCTTATATAACGAAATATTAAAATAAAATAACTAAGTAATAAATTAGATTTTAAGAAACTTGAACTATTTAAGGTTAAGAAAACTATTTTAAAAGTTAACTATAAACTTTCGCTACTAATAATAATATAGATCTACTTAATATTTTATATCTTATTATTAGAACTAGCGCTATAAAACGCTAAACTATAGGAAAAAATTAAAGTTAATAATAACTAAGAATATAAAGTAAAATAAATACTAAATATAAGAAAATAAGGTTAGTAATAAGAGTACCTTATTAAATAGAAAGGATATAAACTAAAGGAAAATACCTAGGAACTACTTAAGTATTTAACCTACTATAGTTCTTTACTTTAATAATTCTACTAAGAAATATAAGGTTACTAAGAATAATATCTTAGTTTAATATATTTAAAGTACTAAACGATTAAACCTCGCTAATAGTAATAGATTCCTTATTTAATAAATAAACCGATTTATCTTAAAAAGAATATATTATACTATCTTTTTTATTAATAGCTTATATACCTTATTAAAAATAACTTACTACCTTAGTTCTTTAAGAAATACTTTTATTTCCTAATCTAAGCTAGGTAAGCTATCGCTTTCTTTAATACTTCTTTTACTTTCTATTTATCTAAATTAATCTTTTATTATTAATTTATAATATAATAAACTAAAAAAGAAGGAATATTAGTAAAAAGAATAATAAGGAAGGAAAGAGATAAAATAAATAAGTAGACGCTATATTATAACTATTATATAAGAATAGCCTATAAAGGTATATTTAAAATACTAATTAAAACGCTCGCTAACCTTATAAGTTAGGCCTAACCGAAAATAATAAGAGTAAGGTATAATTTTAATATTATATATCTTAGTCTAAGATACTAGCTCTAATTATTAATACGATTTATTAGAATTATAAGAATAGGATTTTTAAATATAACTAAATATACTATTAATAGTATATCCTAGGAAAGATAAGGGATAAAGAATAATTATACTTATATATAACGTAATAAGGGTATATTTATATACGGCGGCTAAGGTAATAGGTCTTAAAAGTAAGATAAAAAAAAGGGAAAGTATCCTATTATAACTATAGTCTAGTAAACCGCGGGGGACTAGTATATATTATAAGGATATATAATATAGGGAGTAAGGAATATTAAATAGACCGATAGGCTAATTAAGTTTCGATCGATAGGTTACTCGAGCGCTCTAACGCTCTATAGCTAGGATCGTAGGATCGCTCTAGCGCTCTAGCACTCCTAGGCGACGGGATTACCTAGTGCTCCCGGCGATCTAAGGAAGCTCTTAAGATATATAAGGAAGGAACGGAATACTCCTTTAGATAGATAGCTTAATAGCTTTTAATATAATTATTACGATCCCTATTACGATCTTATCTTTAATTCTAATTACTTAATTACCTAGTTATAGTTTATAGTCTATAACCTCTAATATATTACGTAATATACTTATTATTACTTAAACTAAACCCTATTATATCTATTAATATAAACCCCTTAATAGGTTTATCCCTTAAGAATAATACTAGTTATTATACTTTATTAGTTTTAGACTTCTTAAATAAGCTCTATTAAATATAACTATTAAGTATTATATATATACTTTACTTTAATAATAGTATTTAAAGATTAAACGGATTCTTATAAGCCTTAAGTAAAATAAGTAAGCGCCTTTACTATATATTATATAACGATAATTTAATATAGTTTTAATAATAGCTTTAAGTTATAAAGTAATATTAGATTAAATAAACCTTTAAAGGATCTAAGACTATTAATAGAATCCGATACTATAAAGTAATATAGAAAATAGATAGTAAGCTTAATTTTATTTATAAGAGATAAATAGTAATATTACCTTTAAAAGACTATTTTATAACTATAGTTATTTATACTTATAAGGTATATATTAAGGCTAAAGGTTAAGATATAAAGAGCTACGCTATAAATATATAAATAAAACTATATTATACTAAAAACCTAAGTATAATAAGGTAATATAAATAAAGTAAAACGCTATTAATAAAAATCTAACTAATAAGAGTAAGTAAAGTAAGTAGACCCTTTCCCCCTTACCCTATAATAAGGCTAAGAGGCCGAGTAAGGATATAGAACGAGCGAGCACTAGCGAGTAATTAGACGCTAGTATATTTAGTATAAGGGGGAACCACGGAACTATATACTAGTATAGGAACGGTGACTTAGCTATAAACGTGATTTATTACGGGATATATATAAAGTAAACTAGAGGGGAACGAAATAGTTAGTAATAATAAGGCTATAACTATAAGAGTAAAATACTATAGATAAGAGTCTATTACCCTAGGAGCGATCGGAGAGAGCGGACCTATTCCCCCTTATACCCGCAACGAGCTAGAGGCGAAGTAGGGACGCGGTAGCGAGCGAGCACCAGCGAGCAAGCGGACGCTAGTATATTTAGTATAAGGGGGAACCACGGAACCAGGCACCAGGCTAGGGACAAATTCGCCGGTTATTGCACGGGATTAATGCCGTGCGTTATACACTACGGGAGTGAGAGCGGGAGAAGTGGCCGTAAACCGGGAGAGAGCGCAGCGAACGAAGGGGAACTGAAGTGGGTGAGCAGGACCTACCATGACTTGTCGACGATAGGAGGAGATGATATAAGGCCCATGGGGGCCACAAAGAGAACTTCGAGGAGCAGCGCGAACCGTCAGGCAGACTTGAACCTGTATTCTTCCTTTTACCCAACGGAGTGAATGTCGAGGACCATTTGCACATCGTCACACGAGGCCATCGCCGACCCGCACCGCGGACAAGAGACCTGCCTACCTACCTACCCCGCATAGGAGACAGGTACTCGCACTGCTTACCTAATCACCAGTCAGGTGACCACGCGCTTGGGTTACTAGTTACCGGGGGGACGCGCCCGCGCCCACGCCCACGCCACGAGGCGACACAACGTCAAGAGACGGACGGCGTCATTTCGTCGATTCTGGATCGATCACAATTTGACCCAGCCATGGAGCATCCCTTGGAGCAGCCCGATTTCCCCCTGGCTGTCCGCAGTCTAGAGACCTTGACCGAGCAGGTCGCTCGCTGTCAGAATCTACCGGCCGTTGATGGTGGCCTTCGACTCGCACAGGTGCTTGCAGAGATGCGCAATGACATGCGGGACATGCGGAATGAGATGCGCACCGTCAACAGGAAGTTAGACGACCTAGACCGTAAGGTGACTGCTGAGTAGGTCGGCTTCTCCCTTGTGTGGCATGGAGTAGAATGCTAACCACGTTGCCCGGTAGGAGACGGAACGCAGTGGCCCGAGCCCAGAACGGCGTGGTCGTACGTTCGGACATGACCTTGGAGCCCTTGTCCAGCGTCACCAGCGGTGAGCGGTTGGGAAACTTCCCAGCAACTCTGGGCCAGTTGGAACGGCTAGAAAGTGAGTCTTTCATCTATTGAACGTAGTGGTTGAAGCTGACCGTGTCGGAACACCAGCACGAGAGGCAAACAGTTTACTAGAGCAGTTAGGTGAGCCAGTGGAAGGTCGATTGGACGACAAACGGAGACGGTTGAAGCATCTTGCAGGTGTGGTGACACGGGCAGTCTGATTGATGGTGAACATCACGTAATGTTTTTTGGGCATATGAGCGTCGGCGTTGCATGGAGTCTTCCCACGTTGGCATATCACGATGGCCTCACTTCGATCGTCAGCCAGTCGCGTGAGCATGAGCACGGCAGAATGGAACTTAACCGGACGGAAAGTCTCCAGGCTATAGACGAATTCCCACAAGTGAAATGGTGTAGATCCAAGATAGCTAGCCAACCCCGTTCACAAGAGTAGACAATAAGATCACCCCCGGAAGGCCCAGGCATGACTACGGAATTCTACTCCGAAGGGGTGCGGACGGGCCGAAGGACCGGCTACGAGAAGCTACCCTTAAGCACACTAGACCGAACCTCACGCGTTTATAAGAATTCTTAATAATACTCACACCCGAGTAATAACAAGGCCACAACTATAAAAGTAAAATACTATAGATAAGAGTCTATTACTCTAGGAGCGAGTAGAGCGAGCGGACCTATTCCCCCTTATCCCGTAGGGAGCCAGAGGCGAACCGAGGACACGGGAACGAGCGAGCACCAGCGAGCAAGTAGACGCTAGTATATTTAGTATAAGGGGGAACCACGGAACTAGGACCTAGATCTAGTGACTCATCCCTAGCTGTAGGCACGGAGAATCACGTGCTGCTATATATAGTCGGAATAGAATGCAGGGAATGGCCGTAAGAGCCAAGGGGAGGGACGTACCATGGCCGGATACATGCAGAGATCACTCATACATGTCATACAACGATAAGTAGGAGTGGAGACACGCCCACACACCCAAGAGGGTATAAAGACCCCGGGTCGCCCACCCACCGGAACCCAGATAGTTCTCCTCCTCTTACTCACGCGAGTGGGTGAATTGCTAAAGGCACACGATAGGACCTACCTCCGGCCAAGGGACAGCTTGCATAATATCGACGAACGGGAGATCGGAGCCGCGACAACCACACGTAAAAGACGTGTCAACACATCCTCAATCCTAAGAGAGTAGGCTAGAGGTCAATAGCCCTTCGGGCGACTCGGAAAACGTAAGTGGAAGTACACGTGAGGGCATCCGCCTGGCTACCTATTCCGGGAGGAAGGGTGGATTGTAGTGTGACGAGAGTGCAATAGTTCAGGACTGTGGGTTGGATCCTATTTCCTTGACTGGCATTAGCTATGGCGGAGCATGAGTATGCGCAAGAGCAGGAGCAAGTGTTCTTGTCCCCTCCGCCTTCTCCTTTAACATAGCCCGGGGGGGCCTGGGTCTGTTAAGACTTGGAGGACTGCCCTTGTGGTCGCTGCGGAGCACGGTACCATGTTTGGGCCTTTGAACTTTATGTCGAGACCGGGGAGAGAGTCGAGCCGGAGAGGTTGGTGCATACGACTGCCTAGTCTGTCGAGTCGGCGTTGCATAACTATCCCGTGGAGGGATGGTCTTTCGCCTGCTACGGTTTTCATCAGGCCGGTCCAAGCGGGGCTCGAGAGTATTGCGTCGTTGTCACGGTAGGGGCTGAGTGTGTCCTCGGCGACCTCGTCTAGAGCCTGACTGTTGGGTTGCGTCCCTTGCAGTCCTCGGCTGCGCCCGACATTCTTATAGACGTGGGGGGCCACGGCCGCCAAGGTCAGGTATATAACCGAGACACGTTCTTCTTCTAGGTAAATCGTTGCGTAGATAAGGTTTCGAGCGCGGCATGTCGCCTATAATGCGTAGGCTTTGGGTCGGAGCGAGACGTGGCGCAGAATCTGAGGAGACAGATAGGGGAATTTTCCCTTTAGCCATACCGTGGCCGGGCTCACGATAGTTGCCAAGCTTTAATACGGATCTCGACGGGATTGGCCCTAAGCGAAGGCTTCGTTGATGGAAAACGAACATGATACTGCTTCGCACTTACAGCTATACACATTGTGATTGTATGTAGAACGGAAGACATATCTCCCTCAGGCGTTTATAAGCCGTAGACACTAGATAGTAGAGTCACCCTCGTTTACAAGGGAAAGACAGTAAGATCACCGCCGGAGGCCCATATCTAGACTATGGAATTCTACCCCGAAGGGGTGCAGACAGGCCGAAGGACTGGCTGTGGAGAGCCACCCGCACCCCAGCACCATAGACGGAACCACATCAGTGAAGCATATCCCGAGTGATAACGAGGCAAACACAATAGAGTGAAACGCTATAGATATAAATCTCCCTTCTAGGAGCGAGTAGAGCGAGCGGACCCCTTCCCCCTTATCCCGCAGGGAGCCAGAGGCGAACCGAGGACACGGGAACGAGCGAGGGTCACCGAGCAAGTGGACCTTGCTCGTTGACTCTCGCTCTCTGCCCTGCCCTCACTCCGTTCGGGTTATAAGGGGAACGCAATCCGCTCGCCCACTCGCGGACTATCTACTAGATATATTTTGGTAGCCGGGGGATTTTTATAGGATTTGATATTTAATTAGAACCGTCTATATAGTTATTATTTTACACGGCACCATACTACCCTCGGTGGTGGTGTCTAGATGCTTACGCCCGCGAATTAGGGACGGTGCGTCTCTGGGGCCACACTGTCTACGTGCGTGTGTCGACCATGTCCTCGTCTCGTGCTCGGTGACTTATGTCTGTGTGCTGGGTTGCGCGTGGCCCGGTCTGTGTTGCTTGCAGCGTGGCTTTTCACACCCGCACCTTCGGCGCGTGCGCACCCCCTTCTGGGGGTTGATTCTATAGCCCTGCTTGAGTCCTCCGGAGGTGATCAGAGGAGTGTCTCTTGTAAACGGGTTAAGCCTACTCATTCGTTGACTACTTTGTAAACGAGGTCTGGTCTACGATATAAGAGGATCTCGCACTCTTTGCGGTTGTATTCACACTGCAAGTCCACTCCAACAAAGTTAAATTACAATCCGTTAGTCGTTATTCGTTTCTGCTTCTCCTTCTCAGGTGAAGTCATCTCATGTGCATGCGGTCCAAGCTCACTCTGACTCCAAGGTCGTTCAACGAGCATTAAAGAAGGAAATCGATGCACTCATCACACAGCCCTTGTCACTACACCAGAAACAAGCTTTAGATGCCTCCTCCTCTCCTCCAAGCGCCCTCTCGGAACCTCACCGAGGTGCGTCAAGAGATCATTCACCACGGGCACTTCGACGCGCAGAAAAGGTCAGCGTGGCATTCCAGGTCTGGTGTTTGTCCACTGCTCCATACTCATACTCACACTGCAGCCGCTCCAGCTGGTCCAAAGTCTCCGGAAAGTTCTCCATCCGTTCACCAGTGACGACACTGTACAAGGGTTCCAACTCCATGTTTCCACGGACCACCGTGCCATTCTGGGCCCGGACCACTGCGTTGCGATTCCTACCGGAAGGGGTGAAGGTCAGCAAAGACTAAAGCTCAAACCGTGCTAAAGGAATACAGAGGCCTTGACCCCCGAGGTAGTGACCTTGCGGTCGAAAGTATCCATCCTCTGACCTATATCGGAGAAGCCCCGGCGCATCATCTGCTCCAAGGCAGCAAAACGCTCCATCATAGGCTTTATAAAAAGCGAGAATTTAGGCGAATAGCTTAATTACTTCCTAATCCTTATCGCTAAGCTAGTTCTCGGGCAAGCAAATAAAAGGTAGCTAGTAGATCTCTTTAAACCCCCTCTCCTACCCTTATTTTGTTGTTCTAACTCGATGCAACGATGCGCGATCAGTCGCTTAACGTAGTCGCGTAGTAGAAGGGCCCGTTTTATTATATATAGCTAGGAAAGCCACCTAGTATCGTTATCTAGGGTTATATCTAGCGGCTTTCTTATATCTACCTTGGAATTAGATAATTTAGCGAATACCTCTCTTAGAATGCTGCGAAGTATACGAGATTATGCAATTTGCGTACTAGCTCTTTTTTGCGCAAGCAAATGTTCGGCTTCGCTAAGGGGCTCTGCACCTGATAATTGACGCTTAAAGGCATCGGCATCATAGCCAAAGAACGACCGGGCGGAGAGGTTCAAGACATGTCCGAAGCAGCGCCCTCGTCTGGTTTTGCTAACAAAGCCAACGCAATTAAAGGACAACAAGTGCCTAGGAAGAGGACTGCGTCCCAGGCTTGAGCTCCTGTGCCGTATTCACAGCTTGCGGCTGCCACCAAGATGGCCCCGACACCTCGCGCAAAGTATTGGTAGAGCAATAGATATCTCCAATAACTCTATGAAGCCTCCAGTCGTCCACAAACCTGACTATATAGCCAACCTGGCTGTACACATTTATGACGGCTTCCTCGAATATGTCCTTGCCGTCCTCTACTGTCGGCCCCCAGGGCTTAGGGCTCACGTAAAGCGAGCCGCTAAACGGGAGGCCATTGACAGGCGGGGGAAGGAAAGCATCGAGCGGAAGGATGTCGTTGTCGCGCCGGACGGGATTTGCCGATGCTTTGTTCGAGCCCTCGCCCACCTCTTGGATCGTGTCCGTCTTGTCTTGTTGTCGCCGGCGAAGTTTCTTCGATTCTATGATCCCTTCCCCCAAGGTATTATCGCCGGCGGCGGGAGCCCCTTTTGGACCGGGACCTTTATCATTATCATCGGCAGGTAAGAGGTTTGGCATGCTACCTGGCTTCTCGCTTACGTCTCTATAAAGTCGTCCTACGTTAAGACAATACTCTGCTTACTGTATAGCTAAGGAATGCGGAATATCCCGGCATCTATTATACCTATCTCCTGCTTTAATATATCGATGTTATTTTAGATGCGCTTAGCAGAAACAATACTAGCCTAGATATTAGATTCGGTGGCTAGAAAGGAGTCGATTGTCTACTTATTTCCTCCTAGGATAAAGAGTCAGCTGCTAATCTCGTCTTTTACTCATAACAAGAAATCGGGAGAAAGCTTACCTTCTTTTCTAGAGATAACTAGGTTCTTTCCAAAGCCCCGGCCTTAGGCACCCTTTAGAAGCTAGATCCTAGCCTACGGGTTATTGATTATAACGCACCAACCGCGCGGAGTCTTAGCCGGTAGCGACTATATAAACTCATCGATATACTTAACATAAAGCCAGGTCGAGTCCAGTATTAGCGGATTCTGCACCTCTTAAGCGCGGAAGTAGTCCGTAATAAAAGGCAGGGTTAAGGTTTGCTCGTCGCCGCCTACTATAATCCGCCCGGCCGGATACTTTTTGCCATTATGCTCGTAAGGAGTAATGGTCTCGACGTTTAAAGGCCGTATCGATTATAATTTAGAGAGAGATAGTCGTTCCGTCAGGGCCCGGCATACTTATATAGCCTAGCTCGAAAATATCCTAGGCCCAGACGTCGGACGTTAGGAGTTCCGTTATAGGGCCTTAGATATTTGCCTCGCCTAGAATAGAATTAATGTCTTCTATAATTTTAGTAAATCTACTATCGGCATTAGTAGACCGATAGATCTTTTACACTCGCTATAGATAGTTATGCGTTAGAACTAGGGCGACACGTAGTATAACGCTATCGGTTAATGTCTATTCCCCATCGACCACGGTAAATAAAACTATCGCTTTACCGTCCTAAATATTTAGACGCCGAGTATCGCGGGCGTCAATGCCCAAGTTTAAGCCTTCTTCTATTTCTTCCGCTAAGAAGGTTATGTCGCTCTTAACAATAACTCAATCGTCGTTTTCCTAACGAAAGATGCGCATATAACCTTAAGCAGCGTCTTCGACGGAAATGGTCCCTAAAGCTAAAGAGCTAAGTCCTATAATAGGAACGGTACGAATCGAAGCTATATTCTAAGGCGCTCGTTGAACATCGTCGGAAGCGTCGTTGCATGCGGTAAGTTGTTCGAGATTATACTAGTCGTTTTTAATCGAGCTTATATATAGATGTCAGTGTCGGCAATGTTAGCCAGGAAAATAGCACCCCTAGTGTCTGTCTAGGTGTCTTTCCCATCGTTGTCGGTTATACCCTATATATCGACGTTTCTATCCCGATTGGTGTCTGCTCTAATGTCCGCTTTAAAGCCATTGGCCCTACTAATGACACTAGAGGAAGCGGACGTAGTAGGAGACGCTTGGGGTCCCGCCACGGAAGCTTGAGCTGCGCTAATAGAGGCGCGCTTGTTGCCCGTTGACGTGGGTTACGGAGCACCCGGTTTATCCAAGGCCGGGTTATCACCTGGCCCGTTCCATTTTGGGTCGTGACCCGGTCCATTAAAGTCGCCTGGCGAGTGCTAAGGGAGGGCACCGCCAAGTGGCAGCAGGATAGTAAGGAGTGTGAAGCGCATAGTGAGCTTAATTCAAATTTAGAAGGATACGGTCTAGTATCAGATAATAATAATAAAAAGTTGTAAGTTTGGAGGAGTGTACATAAAGAGCGTACAAGAATTGATAAAAGAACGTGTCTTGGAGGAACGTGTAAGTACTAAAGACTCAAGGCCTCTTTATATAACTTATAAATTGGCACTCAGCGTATCGATATATTAAGTCCAGATGCCGGTAATTCCATGACTCTATGTTCATCATAGCATTAATTGCAGGATCTCTTGGCCTCGTCTTGGAACAGGGGCTCGACTTTCCAACGAGTCCACATGCATGTTGAAGACCTTGGTATTGGAGGAATCCATCATTTAAACAGCTTTGTTAGATAGTCTATGGGGTAGAAGTCATCAGTCTGGTTCCTCATGCAATAAACATTGTGGTAGCTTGCTTGCTTTATTCTGCTGTGTCAGTCCGGCTGTGTTACATCCCACCGTGGCAGCCAACGCAGGAACAGGAGGACCCGCCCCGGCATCATCAGGGGCTCGCAATGGGGACCGGGACCCGAGCCACCGGGCTCCACGGGTGAGTGACATGTAATTAGTACACATCAAACATGCCATACAGTCCAGCAAGCCCATGCCCTGCCTATAAGCACGCTCCAATGAGCGACGGCCGCAACCCCCTGATCGAACGTGATGGAAGCGACCAGGCGACCAAGAACCTCTGGAAGGAACAGGCAACTCAGAGGCCATCTTGGGACTCGACTTGGACATTGATGGCGAGGCCCCTGATAAGGCCAGAAGAGAGCCAGCCGTGGGAGAGCCACACGAGGGCGAGGGAAGCTTCTTGGGCGTGGTACATGGTGCGAAGGAATCAACAGTAGGAATGGGACCCCCCTGTATCCCCACACATCAGCTCAGGGGTAGCCGGGCCCGAGTGGCGCTACGGGACCCCTGCGGGGTCTCCAGAAAGCGTAATGAGACAACCAACCAACCAACCAACTTCATCCCACCATACACTTTGGTCGGGCACTCCGCGGCAATGTTCAAGCGCCACTGACTCGGGGCAAGGCTCTCAATGGATGGGGCCCTCGACGCTTAATGGATTGCTGTTCTCTCCGTTAGACACAACTTGGGCAGACAGAGCCCGGTTAACAGAACCTGGTTATAAAGTACAAACAAGTCAGGCCAACTAAAAGTAGGGGCTGTGGCATAATCGCCTTATACGGCTAGCGACGTCCAAGGTAATCAAGCCCGGGCCGCATTAAACGAAACGGCCACCTGTAAGGCGCAGTGCCGATACCGCATATTTGCGTGCGCGCAGTCGAGATTGCGATAAGTGCCGCTCGCACCAAGGCTAGTAAGTTTACCGCGGCACTTAGAAATTAGAAAACAGTATCTTAGGCGCCCTGGCGGCGTTGTAATGTATATTTACGCCTCTAAAGAAGCGTTGCGGGCCAGCCTATGCTAGGTCGAAGACTACGTACTGTAATGTGTAGGACTTTAGTACTTAAGTTAGCTCCCGAAGGCCCCTGTGCCGTGGGCCCCGCGGGCCAAACGGGTAATTAAGGGCGGGGAATACTCCGTACTAACCACCAAACTTGGCGGTACCATTAAAATAATTAGAGCTCTTCTAGTGCTACGCCGCCCTGTCCCGCTTTTATGTTAAGCGGCCCCAACGTGGCAGACGGTGCTTTAGCTAGAGTAGAGATTGGTCTTCAAGCAGGCCTGTTATGGAAGCATCGACCGGGGCCGAACAACAAGCGAAAATAATCGCGGGGCTCCAGGTGGCATAAAGCAATGCACTGTAATCCTACATTAGCCCTATAGGGGATTCCCTCCGGGCATACCTACCTAATACAAATAATAATAATAATAATAATGGCTCTCGACCAAGCGCTGGTGTATCAGTCGCCAACGGCATGGGATAGCTGACCAGAGTAGAGTCGGAGCAGGATGGGATGGCAGGCCCGACCATGTGCATGTTGGGCATATATGTCACGTCAGCAGCAACAAACTTCTACTATCTTACCGAGTACTCAAACCCGGATGTCTTCTCCAAGAAGAATGAGTAAGTCGTATGCAGCTTCTTTAAGATGGATGTGGAGCGAGGACAGATTAAGGGCTAACCATGGCTATACTTGCCTACGCAAAAGACATAGAATTGCATAAGCATTATAGAAGAAGACTGTCCGCAATTTCTAGGTCAGACAATGTGGCATTGTGCATAAATTACCAAGTGATGATTGCGTGTGCTCTTTCTCAAGCATCTAAGCATATGTACAGGAGAAGATGATATAAGTATATCAAATGGTAAAGGTACATCAAAGCCTCGCATATATTTAGACTGGCACCTCATACCAGATCTAAGCACTCTCAATTCACTCACTCATTGAATCTCCCACTGCTGTCCCTCCTTTCACACTCTCTTATTTTTAGCATCCTTTGGAACATGCGTCTTGCTCTTCTTGTTACCGCGCTGCCCCCTCACCGGCTCTATTCCTCGAGGTCCGCCTGGCAAGCTTACTGTAGAGACTCCTGATCCAAAATAGGACGGGCCGCCTTATAATCCCAAAGATGATGAACCGGCTCATAGCCCAAAGGACGATGGCCCACCCCATAATCCCGAGGACGATGGAACACGCCAGAAACCAGGTAACAAACAGCCAGTCGCGCTCTTCCTGGCCAATATTGGTCGATACAGACCGTCGATGCTCATCCCAGATTACCGCCTCATGCACAAAGCGAGCTAAGCGACGTCTTCTTTCTCGGAACATCGTTACTAGAGAAGCCAGAACTGGACTCAAAGAATCTCAGAGAGGGAACCCATTATTAGTTGGGGGTGGGACGAGTGGTTCGAGGGTCTGAGCGAAAGTGACAAGGCTCAGTACCATGAGTAGAAGAAGAAGAAACTGCATTGTCGTTCTTTTTGGCCTGAAACGCTGGTTTAGTTTCAATTCCAGTAGGGCCTGGACTATATTTCCCCGGCTCTTAAGCCCGCAATGGCTAGCCGGACCATTTATGGGGCTGCCGGGATTAAACCCTTGAACTAGGATGTGCCTGTTGCGCTCAGAGCCGCTTTTAGCCAGAGCAAATGCGCCGTCATCAGATTTACGTATGTGTCGGAGCGTCCGTGTGTTGTGTGTGTCCTTGCCGACATCTACTTGGATCATTGGATGAAGCTACGGCCTCTCCCACCTACTTTCTGGCAAAGATGCGTTTTTCGTGCAAAACTCCTGGTCTCCGTGCGCTGAGCAACGATGAGATGGACGTGAGTCTACCAGCGCATCGGGCAGACCGACCAGGGGCAAGAGACGGTTGCAGGGCACCGAGGTGGACGTGCTAGTTTTTCAGCGACTAAATAGCTCTCCCTAGAGAATTTACTTGAACCGAATGACGCAGTCGTCCTGCAACTACACGTATTGAGCTACTGCATGAAGTCAGTAAGCTTTGCATCCCACACACTACGGCCGGCTATAGCATGCTCAGTCTGCCCACCTATAGCTCCAGCCTTCGGTCTTATTAAACACTTGATCATAGCCCCTGTATCCTGGTCCAACTCGTTCCTGACCTTGAATGAATCTACGCCTTGACAGCTGGACCGACCGCTCTGCCTCAGGGACCTACCAAAAGTAGGGGAACCTATGACGCAAGCACTTCAAAGGGAAAGTCGCCAAATGAGGTATTTGACACCAAGTATATACACATCAGCCTGATTATTTCCTTGCATAATATAATTTTAGAGGATCTTACTAGGATCATCGAGTTATTAGGCGTTTCGGCTAGGATTAGAGCTCGCTTAGGGCTTGGAGTTAACAATAGGGATATAATATAGAAATTGTTTGAAACAGAGGGTCAAGTCAAGCTGTACGTTGGTAAGTACTTTTTACTTTATACGCGATATTTGCCAGGCAGAGCGGTCGGTCCTGTATTCAAGGCGCGCGGTATCGGAACCGCATACCGAACCACACGACCTATTAATTCACGAATCAGGGTACGCGGGAGACCGAGAGTAGCCTCAACTCCAAACTGCTGCGAGCATCGTTTAGTTCCTGTCCTGGACTTCGCCGCCAGGAAAGAAAAGCATTGCCACGTATAGTCTACCCCTATCTCCCTTGGCATGCTATGGCATCGTTCGGCCTAGCCCACTGTCAGCTCGAGTCACGAGCGTTGACGAGTCAATTGTGAGAAGCATCTTGACAATGCCCACGTCGACTGTCTTCTAATACGTATGCCTTTGCATGATAGAGCATCATTAACGGCATGTGGGCAATGCAAGCAGTTTCGTGAGGAAACCGGTCGTGGAGGATGGTGCCGTACATAACAAGGCATCGGAATTTCATTCCTTTACCTATATATACCAAGTTTATCACCGCGTTTACATCAACTCATCATCATACTCAGCGTATACAATCCTTCTTCGATTCTCAGTTGATTTCCACTATCCAGTATCTACTGCGCCGTCTATTAGTCCAAGCCTCTCTTTACGCCCCAAGCCAGTATGAAGTACTGGTACTCCCTCGTTTTCGCTAGCTCGGCCGCTTTGGTCTGCGCCTTGCCCCAGGACACCGGTTCTGGCGCGGGTGACTCACCTTCTGTGTCCGAGCCCTTCAACGTGGATATCCGAGCAGACACCAATCGCGATGGCAAGGTTGATATGGAAGGCACAACCGATATTGAAGGGAAGGACACCTGGACTGACGAACGAGGTGCCCTTTTCCTTGCCAATATCGCCGACCCGAGCGGCCGCTGCTTGACTTCATCCGTCAAAAATGACCTGGAAAGCACGAAGAAGCTACTCAATGAGCTTCCAAGACCTCATTGGACGAACACCCCAGAAGAGAAGGAAGCACTGAAAGCAAAGAAGTTAAACATGCTGAGCTACCTCCAAAATAATCTTACAAAGTTGGCGGGTTGCCACGACGCTTCGGACGATGTCCAACGAGCCCCCCAAAACATGGCCACCATCCGCACTCTTCCGGTCAAAGGACTTGGTGCATCAGCATCGGGAGCTATTTCCGTTTCGGACGATGCCGCTCGAGATCTCGTGCGAGTTTTCCGTCCTATCGGCGACAGCTGGGAGATCGTCAAGAGCGATACGACCTTTTCAGCCGAGGACTTGGCAAAAGGCCTCGAACTAGGAGTCGACGCCCGCGACACCCGCAGGCCTAATGGTTGGGACGGTAGAGCAACAATTACCTTTACCGTAACTGATGGGGATAAGAAATCCACCGATAGTGTTGCACTACGCGTCGCCCCGGTTCTTACCTACCACCATGGACAGAAAATCGAGCGGGTCTACACAACTAACCTTCCGCTCCCTGCAGTCCAGCAGGCGGTCGCAGAAATACAGAAGGTCCTAAGCGAGGCCCAGATTCATAATCCAATCATCACGCTAGATACGTTGGATCCTTGGGCTCAAGATATATTTGAGCCTGCGTATACTAGCATGCCGGGCCCCGACGGAACAGTCGCTATACAAATCTTGGTAGACTCGGCCATCATCAGAGACGGGGGATCAAACACATTTACCTACACCTCGTCTCGAGATTTTGGCGTCGGCACAGTGCAATACTATGGCCGTGGTAATGGCCAGGCCACCCTTGATTCTATGGGGAATATAGAGACTATCCCACCATACGAGCACAAAGGCAAGAAGTATCCCGCCGGGAGGATCGTTACAGGAGGCGACGAAGCGACAGGCAATGTTGCCTTTATTACGGATTTCTATCGCGCTCAAGAAGTTCAGAGCCCTCTTATCCTGGACTCGACGTGGCTCATGGTTAAGCACGTCGATGAATTTGTTCAGTTTCTGCCTGTCGACACGGAACGGCGTTGGTGTGTTATGATAAACGACCCCAAGGCAGGGTTCGAGCTTGTGAAGCAAGCTCAAAAGAACGGCGCTGGAGGGGACCCGGTTATTTCGAAGCCTGAAGGTGAGATTGCAAGCTCTGGCCGCAAAAGCCGCACCGCTAACGGTTTAATCCTAATCCAGGTGTAAGGCAATCAATCGACTCCTTCTTAGCTACCGACATCAACACTCAAGCCCGCGATATTGCTGCAGAACGCATTCAAAAGACCATTGATGTCCTGAAAGAAGAGACCGGTGTTACAGATGCGGAGATCTTTCGTGTTCCCGCACTGGTCTCCACTTACAGAATCACACACGCCCAGACTAATTTTCAGGAGTCGAAACTCCGCCGGCGACAAGACAATGACAGTACCATTGAAGAACCGGAGGACCCCGGCAACGATATTGTCATGGATACTCAACTGGAGGCGGTGGGTGAGGAACCCGACGAGTCCAGAAATTCAACCCAGTCTGCCAGCATTGTCCGTCGCGATACACAGATCGGTCCCCTTGATTCGTTCCTTCCTGCCTCAGTGAACGGCTTGGTGGTCAACAATTCCACGTACATCTGCCCTAAACCTTGGGGTCCGGTTGTGAACGGCAAGTCTATATTCGAAGAAGCTGTGCAGAAAGTTTACGGAGACCTTGGCTACACGGTCAAGTTTGTGGACGACTGGCTCTTTCACCAGGCTTCTGGAGACCTCCATTGTGCAACCAACACTTTGCGCGAAGCATCGGCATCTTGGTGGGGACAAGATTCGATTCAGCAGAACGGGGTCTCGACCAACCCCGCAGGTGCCCCGCAACAGCCACAAAGCTCTGGCTCTGCCACGCAACAGGCTCCATAAGGTCTTGCCCCGCAACGGCCACTAAGCCCCGCCTCACCCGCGACGGGCCGGCCGCAGACGGAACAAGCTGGCGAACGTGCCGGCAGAACGGCGGCGAGACTTATGCATGCTATCTATTAAAGGCTTTAGAGGTCTAGAAGCAATAGGACACGCGATAAGATAGTATCCTCTTTTTCGGTAGTGCAATTAAAGACCTTTACTAGAGTAAAATACTTTAAATACCCGTTTAGTTTGCCAAGGCAAGGGTATAAGGCAGCTAGTCCTAACTAAGAGGCCGGATATTTCCGTCAGGTATTGACTCTTTGACATTTTCGTTCCCTTTTTTACTAACTTCACTCGTCTCAAGTACACGCGGAATTCAAAAAGGCGTGGAACAGCGTCGCCGAAGATGGTATTTCTACTGTAAAGCAGGAGCTTGCGGGCCACTCGGGGATGAAATGATCGTCACCGGGCGCTCGCGAGCCTTGCCAACATATTCTTGATTGGGTCTGGCATCAAAGCGACGGTCTATACCTTTGGCCAGGCCCGGACGGGCAATAAGGCATACGCCGACTTTGTGGACCAGATGTCGCCAACACTGCCTCGCGTTACGTACGCCAACGACGTGCCTCAAATCCCTCCGGTCGAGCTTGACTATAAGCATCATGCAACAGAGTTTTAGCAGATAGACAAAGCGACTGCCCAGTGTCAAGGCTAGGAAACAAAGGTAGGAACAAAGCAAGCCCCGATAGACAGTTGGACCGAAAGACTCGTACAGGACTGCAACAATTCCATGCTAAGTCCTGGTGTAAACCCTGGTCACGCCGAGTATGTTGGCATCCCCCCATGGGTGACGTGCCCGGCACCGGTAAGGTTTACGGCATTGAGAAGGACCTCGATACAGTGGCGCAGCAGCTGGTAGCCGCCGTTTGGCCTGATTCCAAAATGAGGGCTTGTCCGTGTTGGTTTTTTTGGGGGCAATAGTCCAACGTCGAGCCCATTTATCGCTCACGACGGCTTTTCAAGCATAGAGCAAACCGGGCGCTATATAATAGCCCCGCATGATGTGTCTACATTGTTCCCTGTGCTTGTGTGCTTTGAATGTGTAGCAGCTTGACAACCTTCCTCAGCCCATTTTCTGCCGCGTACGGCGGCTAGTAGAGAGTTCAGTGAATGGTCCACCAGCAAGGAGGGCAAGTTTAGCAGTCCAGGAAACAGGTACAGCGCAGATCAACGACCAGGGTTTCCTGTACACAGACTGACAGAACAACGCACTGCATCCTGAGTAAAGGCGAGTTCCAAGGCGGGGAGCATAAGGAAGACGATAAACTCAACTACATATCTGGTACCCTCGTTTACTCCTTTCCAAGTTGCTCTCAATGAACTTGAGGTGGTAGATGCTTGCAAAACTGACAGGCCCATCCATCACCAATCAAATACTTCTCCCATCTCTTTACTCGCGTATTACCAGCCTTTGTCCTCAAACGCAAACGCCTTCCATGAGAGGTTCATAACGCCATAACTCGTCAAGTCCGTCGACACGTCCGTGTCCCTGCCGCGCACGCGGCTCACTAGAGGGTCCACCTCAGTCCCCGTTCCCAAAGGTAGGCTCCAGCCTCGTGCCGCTCCCGTTGCGGACCGGCAGGCCCGACAAATACCAGTTTGCGTGGCTGAGATGGTCGCCCAGGCTCATGGCCATGCGTCGCAGCTCATTCTTAACCTCGTCCGTCGATGCCCTGCCCTCCATCACCCGGGCCGACGGCGCGACGGGCGGAGGGGGTAGGGAGGCATAGTTGAAGGGCGAAGAGGGTTCGCGGAGCTGGTCCTGCGGCGGGGGCCGGTTTTGAAGCGAGGGGGGAAACTGGGACGCGACGGGCGCGGCGGTCTGGGGGGGCGACATGGACTCGGGGTCCATGTCTGCGAACTCGCTGAGGGAGTAAGGCCGGACGCTGTTGGCGGGTATACCGTTGGCCGACGCCGGCGTCGGCGCCGCGGGGGGGGGTTCGCTATCGGAAGAAATCCTCGGCAGGTCCACGACGGCGGTAGCGTACTCGGAGTCGTCCGAGACATAGATGGACGGCTCACGGTTCGTGTTGGGCGTCGGGTAGAGAGATGCGTGCTTCTCCAATTCAAACGGGTTCGCGCCGCCGACCTCGGAGCCGCTGATGGACCCGACATCCGAGTGCGATGTAGATGGCCGGGTGTACTCGGTGGACGAGTCCGGGAAGCTCATGTCGAGGTCGATCAGACTTCCGACCGAGGCGCGGTTGGCAGGGCTATGCTTGGACGACATGTCGCTGAAGACCATGGAGGATTGGAGAGGTTCGGTTTGGTGATGGGTTAGAGATGGCCGGCCCGTGTCCGGAGTTGACGGTTCTTCGGGGAGCGGGAACCTAAAAATTTCTGGATTCGCCGAGGCCGGTGTGGCCATTGTCGGGAATTTCCAGTCCTGGGTGCGGCGGTTGGCGTTGACATCCGCCGGGTCGCTGAGAGGCGCCTTGACGTAGATGGAGCCATCTCCAAAGTCGTAGTTGGCAGATACACGCGAGTCGCCGGCCTTGATGGTGTTGAGGTCGACAAACTGAGACAGGTCGCTCCCGTGCAGCGAGGCATCCAGGTCAATCAGCGACTCCCTGACGTCGGCGGCCGGGGCTGACTCGTCCCGGAGCGGTAAGTCGGATGCGGGCAGTGGCAGGAATAGCCTTCCGTAGTAGGCCCTCGAGTTGTCTTCGTAGTTGGATATCGTGTTTGGGTCAAACACTTTTTCCAGGGGTGCCTTGGCGGAGGGGAGCTGCGGCGGGGGCCGTCGGCGAGACTTGGGCTTGGGCGGGCGCGACGTCTCCTCAAACGACTGCTGGCTGAAGTCGACATTTGAGCCGTATGCATCAAAGACCTCCTGGGCCTGTCCGCTATCAAAGACTTGCTGGTCAAAGGCGGCCGTGGTGCTGAAATTCCACTCGTCGTTGGCTAGGGCCGTAGACGAGACATCGGCGAGGCCTTGGGCGCCGCCGGCAGCAAAAAGGGACCGGCGATCTCCCCCCTGAGCCTCCCACATCTTGAAGCCTCGCACAAGGTGGGCCAGGGTAGAGGTAGGATAGGCCTCCTCTGTTTTGAAGAGGTAGCCGTGGCGCTGGATGTCCTCAATGGTGGGTCGCTTGGCAGGGTCATGCTGAAGACAGTAGGCGACCAGGTCCTTGAGCCCGGCCGAGTACTTGTCGCCTTCGAGGCGAGGCGTCTGCTGCTTCAGACGACTGCGGAGCTGGGAGAAGTCGATGCGGTCGGTGACGTTGGGCGGCAGGCCCGAGGCGATTTCGTAGACCATGGCGCCAAAGGCCCAGATGTCGACTTCGGTGCCGTAGGAAGCCGACTGGTCGAGGAGCTCGGGCGCCATCCAGTTGGGGGTGCCGATGACGGTGGTGCGCTTGTCGAATTTGGTCTCGATGACGCCGGCGACACCAAAGTCGCAGAGCTGGACGTCTCCGACCTCTGTGACGAGGACGTTGGCGCACTTGAGGTCGCGATGAATGATTCCCTGGCCGTGGACCCAGTACATGGCCTCGGCGACCTCACGCAGGATGGGTATCACCCACTTCTCCTGCAGCCCGTCAGGGACCGTGGGCTTCATGAGGGTCGCGACGCTGCCGCCGGCGCAGTACTCGGTGATCATCCACATGGACTGGCCGACGGGTAATGCCTCGATGACATGGTTGATGTTTCGGGCGCCGCTGTCGCTCAGCAGCTGCAGTGCATTGATCTCCTTGAGAAGGTCGCTGTAGGTGTCGGCCAGCCGGGGGTTCAGTGTGTCGCTCTCCTCGATGTCGATGATCTTGACGGCGACCAGGCGGCCCGTCTTCTGGGCCGTGGCCTTGTAGACGCGGCCAAAGCTCCCCTTGCCGATGAGCTCCGAGAGGTGGTACTGGGGCACTTCTTTGCCGGACCGGGCGCATTCCTCCACGACCGCCTTTTGCATCTTCTTGGCATCTTCAAAGGCCCTCTGCTTGGTGACAGACAGCTCGGACCAGCTGACTCGGAGGGCCGCCATGGCGCCGACGCCGCGCCCGATGCCGTCGGGATCCGGGATCTTCTAGGAGCCAGCCACAGGAAGAGGTGTCGGGAAGAGGCGAGCATCACATGCAGGGCAAGGGGGGGACTGAAGATTGGATGCGACTCGTGAGAATCGTCGCTCGGGCTGCCAAGTGTGTCAGGCCTGGTTCACACGGGGTTTAGCCGACAATGCTCTGGTGCGCTTGCAGCGCTAACAGAGCGAGGGGCCCATCGATGTGATATAGGGTAGGCGGGTATTCTCGGCGACGTGGTGAAGAGTCGCCGGTTCGCGGAGCTCAACCATGCCCTCTCCGTCTTTATCCGCATGAGCAAATACGCAGCTGTAGTCTCATTGTATCTATATCTATATGATATCCCACACGTCTGTCTGTCTCGCTTCCCTGGCGCTCCCGTGCCCGGCTGCCTTGTATCATGAAGCTTGCCCAAGTTTCCCAATCATCGTTTCGTGGATTCCTTGCCAGCCGCTTTCGCAGGTGCCCTTGACGATGCCGATTAAAAACCTCGAGCACTGGATGACGACATCTTCGACCAGCGCCAGGCGGCCGTCCTCGGTCTCCTGAACCTCCCACACAGTCTCGAGGGTCGTGTTCATGGGGCTACGTATCCTGACAAAGACGCCCTTTTCGATGTTGATAAACTCGTACGTGCTGACGACGTCTGAGTCCCAGAGCCCGGCGGGAAGGGCATGGACCTTGTCCGTCACCTGGTAGCACTTGGCCGCCGCAACAGCCGTGGCGCCGCGGCCCTGAGGGAGGGCGGGCTCCGGATTCGAGGGAGTGTCGATGAGCTCATACTTGATCATGTGAGGGTCGCATTGGATGAAGAACTCGTGGCCCTGGAGCAATTGGACCCCCTTTTCCGGCGCAATTCCATCCGGGATAGGCGTCGAGTTGCGCAGAGTCGCAGTGGTGCTGAACATGACTGGATCCGGTGCGCGGCTGTCCACTTATATGCTGCGATGAGAAGCCGGACGATTCATGAGGAGTGAGGGAGGGAGAAGAGGGAGAAGTAAGTTGAGATTAGAAAGAAGACAAACTCTACGGCACCAAGACCGGGGAGAAGAGCGGAAGGGTGGGTATTGGAAGGTTTATTAAGGAACAAGTCTAAGCGCGAGTCCGTGGCTTGTAAGGAGGAACCTTTTCCTACCATCAGTGTTTCGCGCCCAGGCGGTACCTCGTCGTGCGCGGGGCGTAAGACATTGGGAGGAGAGCCGCACTCTTTCACCGTGCAACAATCCCGCGATAGTGACTGCCCGTGCCGGTGGAAAACCTCTCATGTCCAGGCCGCGTCATGATAATTTGTTGCAGCGGGCCGTGGATTCCAGGGTCCTTGCAGGGGCTGCTGGCCGAAAGAAGGGATACGGGTAATATCCAAGTACCGACTACAAATGACCGGGTCATGTGACTTCGCGATACTCGAGCGGCCCGGAGCGCGGAAGACGACGTGTCTCACCAATCGCCACCGCGCACCATCGAGCCTCACGCCGGTGGAACGCAACAACTTCTGCTACAGTTTCTTTCAGTAGCCCGCTCATGCACCCCTCTATTTCACGTGGGTGATTGCCGTCCCTTCTTCCTCAGGCGCAACGAAAGCCCTCTTACCGCCAGGACCGTGTCGCCACCATGGGGACTTCGACAAAAGTCAATCGCTCCAACACGCCGAGAAAGCCCGCCAGTCTCTCCAAGAAACCGGCCAAGCCAAATGCGAGCATCTTGAGCTTCTTCCAAAGGACGCAAAAGCAGGAAGAGTCCCTCTTCGTTGGCCCCGCCCCGGAGGCAGCAACAGCCGATGACGACATCTACAGCTGCCAAGACCTCCGGTTCAACGAGTCCGAGTCCCCCGTCAAGAAGAGACGATTATGCGAAGATCAAATCGCAACATCTGTAGACGACGAGCCTACAGAACCCACTGTCGAAAGGCCCCCACGCGACGACAAGCCCAGGGGCCGCATCCGCCTCCCCTTTGTCGTCGACTCCGACAGCGAGGATGAAGATGACACAGACGCTGCTCCGAAAGAAGAAGACGCACCCGAACTTCACTACACTTCTGCAGCACCAGCACCTTCTGCTGCAAGTATGCTGGGGGAGCCCGACAAGTCTGCCGAAAACCGCAAGCTCGAGGCAGACGACGAGATTCGCCTTCTCAAACACCAAGATTCTACCTTCGAGCGATTTGATCAACTCGACGAGTCTGGAGAACTCGATGACCTCGATTTCGACGAGTTCGAGGGCGAGGAAATGCGGGAAAGAAAGTACATGTGGGAACAGGCCCGTCTCGAGGCCGAGGAAGAGGGATCGCTGCTCGGGGAGGACTTCACCGACGATCCACCCGATGACGGCACCGTGGCGGAGAGCTGTCCAATCTGCAACGGAAGCTTGGCCGGTGTCTCCGCAGACGACGCAACACGTCACGTCAATTCGTGTCTCGACGGCAATCCCATTCCGCTACCAGCCCAGGACAAGGGCTCGTCAGCAGGGCCCTCCGAGGTGGATTCCGCCGACATGAGCAAGAGGTTTGCCCGGGCGGCCGTTCCTCGGCCAGCACAAGCCAATCCGTTTGAACAGGGCGGCACCGCCAAGGAATCCAGGTCTGCTTTCTCCAAGCTCATGTCCAACAATGCCGAGGACTCGGCATGGGCCACGGCCGCGGCAGCAGAGCACGCATCTCGCGGCCGGCCAGCCTACGAGCGGACTTGTCCGTTTTACAAAATCATTCCCGGTTTCAACATTTGCGTCGACGCATTCCGCTACGGGGCTGTCAAGGGATGCGAGGCCTACTTCCTCAGCCACTTCCACAGCGACCACTACATTGGCCTGACAGGCAACTGGAGACATGGCCCGATTTACTGCAGTAAGGTGACGGGCAGTCTAGTCAAGCAGCAGCTGCGCACCGCGTCCAAGTGGGTTGTTGAGCTAGAGTTCGATAAATCCTACGATGTTCCTGGAACAGGCGCCACGGTCACCATGATTCCAGCTAACCACTGTCCGGGGAGTTCCTTGTTCCTCTTCCAAAAACCCCTAGGCGCAGGCCCCAAGGTCGGGACGCGGCGAATACTCCATTGCGGCGATTTCCGTGCATGCCCTGAACATGTCGGCCACCCTCTTCTCAAGCCAGACGTCGTGGACTCAATCACGGGGAAGTGGAGACAACAAGCTATACACATGTGCTATCTCGACACAACGTACTTGAACCCGAGATATTCCTTCCCACCCCAGGAGGAAGTCATCAAGGCTTGTGCAGATCTGTGTGCGTCCATGTCGCCGGATCCCGACTGCAAAGACGACATCTGGGAGCACTCTGCCCAGGCAAGCGGAATACAGACCATGAGCAAGTATTTCCATAGCTCTAAAGTGGATCAGGGCGGCAAGACGTCCAACAGCAAGAAGCTAGGGCAGCGCCTTCTTGTTGTCTGTGGGACTTATTCGATTGGCAAAGAGCGAATCTGCATCGCGATTGCCAAGGCACTCAACTCCAAGATATTCGTCAGTCCTGGCAAGATGAAGATATGCAAGCAGTTGAGAGACCCGGAGCTCACGGCGCTGCTCACCTCCAGCCCCGTCGAAGCTCAGGTGCACATGCAGTCGCTCATGGAGATCCGCGCCGAAACGCTCAAAGATTATCTGACCAGCTACAAGCCGCACTTTAGCCGCATCGTCGGGTTCCGACCAAGCGGCTGGACCTTTCGGCCCGGGAACGGCAAAGTGATGGGGGCCAACACGCCCCCGAGCAGCATTCCCATGCAGCACATTCTTCACGGCAAGGGGTGGAGGACGAGGTTCGGGTACAAGGACCTTGCGGCGCAGAGGGGCAGCACCAAGGAAGCCATGTGTTTTGGGGTTCCGTACTCGGAGCACAGTAGCTTCCGGGAGCTGGCCATGTTTGTGATGAGTCTGCGGATCGAAAAGGTGATTCCCACGGTCAACGTGGGCAGCGAACAGTCGAGGAAAAGGATGAAGGGCTGGATCGACAGATGGATGGCCGAGAGGAAACGAGGCGGTCTCGTCAGGCCCCTGATAGAGGGCGTGGATGGCGAGGATGGCAAGGTGGTGGAATTGTGGGAGGGCAAGACAGCACAAGGAGGAGGCGCCTGGTGGTAGGGTCATCGGGTCGATTCTCTGGCCGCCTCGGTCTTGTCGAATGCAAACGAGCCGTTTGCTATAAGGCGACAACGCTCGGCTATCCCCTTGTATATCTCCCCTCCTTGCTCAAGAACATGACGCCGTATCACTCGTAATCCAACACGCCTCCTGGGCACTCCCGCGAGTGCTCGAATAAGCCAGGCGAAACCGTGGTGCCTGCAACCTCTACCCCTGCTCGACCCCGAGCCTCCGCGCGCAGATCACTTGGCTTTTGCCCGCTGAGCTGCTGCCTCTGTGGGAGAAATATCAGCCTGCTTGCCCAGGAGAGAGGACGCACGATGCAGGAACCATACCTCTCCGCGTAGCATCCTCGAGCAGCTGCGTGTCTACCGACGCAGCGGGAAGATGGACGTAGCGCACGACGGAGCCTCTGATGAAGACATTTTTTACGGAGCTCTGCGTGCGCCGAGGGCCAAAGCGTGGTCAGATGAAGAGCTGAGGCCGGCGCCGGGGCGGGGGGGGGACGCACGAGATGGGGATACTTGAGTTCCTCGACGACGGAGATGTCGTCGAGCTTGATGTTGAGGTACTGGTCGACGCTCTTTAGGGTGCCCTTGAGCTGGATGTCGTTTTTGAGCTCGACCGTGACCTCGTGGTCAACGAGGGTTTTGAAGAAGCTGAGGGGGTGGGTTTCCTTGCGTCAGTCTGGTTTGTCTCTGCTGAAGGTGAAGGTCGGAGCCAAGAGAAGGTGTTGCATGACTAGGGATGCATCCACGCATCAAAGCATCTGTATCGAATATGTGTAAGAGCGCGCGCGGCGCCCTGGCCTTCCTTACCTGAAGAAAAGCATGGCTCGAGAGGTCGATGGCGGACAGATGAGACGAGAAGAGAGGTGAGAAAAAAAGCGCCCCCCAGACGCCGCGTCCCGAGTGGTGAGTCGATGCGCCTCGATGGAGGGTGTATACAAGCGCTTGATCTTGTTTGCCGGCTATCCTTCTTCGTCTCCTGTCCGGGGCGTGCTCAACAGGTATATTGTCGTCGGGAATGGTGATGGGTGGAGTGAGTTGTGAAGCAGGTACTCTTCGCGCAACGGATATGTCATCACGTGACCTCATCATTTGCTCCGCCGACAGCATCAAACGCATCGCAGCGCCTCGCAGCGCCTCGCAGCGCCTAGCAGTCAACTTCCAAGACCGCCACCCACTGTCGCAGACTCGTCTTTGGAGCGAGCCGATCGCTTCTTCATCAATATTTTCAACGAATACAGGTCCGATTACGCTACATGCACAAAGGCTCTCTTCTTGGCGCTCCTCTCGGCGCTCTCCTCTTCCCACTCCTCGTCCACGTATTCCTTGACGCTCTTGTCGCGGATCTGCATCCCCACCACCTTGAGCGCCGCAATGTTGACCCCCATCTCGTCCTTTTGCCTCTTGAGCGCCTCCCTCAGGTTCGTGCGGATGCCGTCCATCATCGCCCTCATCGTCCGGCTCGCCACAATCTGCTTGTGGTGGGTCTTGATCATGAAGAAGAGGATGCGGCACGTCAGCGGCATGTTCATCGATCGTGTGGCGAAGATGTTGACAAAGGTGAAGAGCACCGGCACCGACGCAAAGGGGAGCACGAGCAGCGCGTCGTGCAGCGCCGAGGCCTTGATGCGCTGCAGCACAGACATGACGTGCTCCTCGGCGGTGATGCCGCCCAGGGCCATGTACACCAGGTTCCTCTGCGGAGGCGCCGCGTGGGAGTCCGAGAGCTTGGCCTCCTCGTACTCCTTCATCAGGTTCAAGTCAGCCATGCCCATCTCGAGAGCTTCTTGGATCCTTTCTCCAGCCATGAGCGTCTCCGTCGTTTGCTTGCCTGCGGCGCCAACCTCGCCATTTTCGTCCTCGGCTTCCGGTTCCTTCTCGAGCGATGTCGTCAGGGTGCTCTCGTACAGCTCCTCAATCTCCTTTTCCCGCTCTTCCTCGAGGAAAATTTGCTCGTCGCTTTCCTCCCAAACTCGGATGCTCTTGTCATGGCCAGCACTGACAATAAAGTTGCCGATCCGACTGATGGCCATGGCCCACACCTCCCCGTGGTGGCCGTTGAGCCTTTGGATTTGCTCAAACTTGTCTCCGTCCCAGTAGCGGATCGTCTTGTCCTTGCTGCTGCTGAAGAAATGGTGCCCGTTGCCATCCGCGTTGTGCGGCACAAACGCCACCTGCAGGATGCTGTCCTGGTGCCCGAAAAGAGCCTTATGGCAATCGCCAAAGTCGAGGCCCCACACCCTGATGTTCTTGTCCGCCGAGCTTGTCACGATGAGCTTGCTGTCGTAGGATATGTCCATGCTCAGCACAGGCAGCTTGTGTCCGTAGAGGTTGAGGTACAGCTTCAGAGAGTCGACGAAAAACACCTTGACCGTGTTGTCCAGTAGTGACACGGCCAAGAGTTTGGCGTCGGGAGAAAACTTGAGACTGAGTATGTCATCAGTCACCTTGAGCGCCCTGGACTGGACGATTTTCAGCTTGGGCGTTTTTCTCGTTGTGCCCAGAATCTCTTCTTGGACTATCTTGAAGTCCCAGAACTTGGCGCTCTTGTCCGCACTGCCCGAGACGACGGAGCGACCATCGGGGTGGACATGGAGTGACCAGATGGCCCCCTCATGGGCCTGCACGCTGTCCAGGAGGGATGAAGACGCAACGTCAAAGAGCTGAAGCTCACCGCTCTTGGTGCCCACCACGACTACCTTGTCGCCCGGCAAAAAAGCACAGCAGAGAGAATAGCCACAATCAAACGTTCGAATGCAAGTCTGCGTTTTGATGTTCCATATTTTCATGGACCCATTGGCTGCTGACGCCAACATCTTGTCGTCAGAACTGAGGGCGAGGGATCGGATATCTGCGCGGTGGCCTGGGAGTTCGACCGACAACGCTCGGGTATAGTCAGGAATGTCCTGCGTTTTCTTCCGATCGCTCTTGTCCTTGGACGGTATGCTGTAGTATTCCAGCTGGTTGTTTGTCGTCCCCACTAACAGGTTGAGGCCTTTCTGAGAACCACCAAGGGCCCAGTCGACGGAGCGGACCTTTCCGCCTGTTCTTATGATGACGTATTGGACGAATATGTCGCTAATGTCGGCGTTGGCCTCGTCTTCGAGATTCTCGTCGTCGTTGGCCATTTCTTCGTCGGGCTGCTTACCGTCTTTTTGCTTTTCCCTGCGCCGTTTCCGCTTCCGCGCCAACGTCTTCTTGATCTCGGCCTGCGACTTGATGCGCCATACGTCGACCCCCTTTTCTGATCCGTGGACGGCAAAGTAGTCGCGCTGGGGGTGAAAGATGACCTCGGTAGCGCGATCCTTGCTCTGCCGGTGGAGCGTGCCGCGACCGGATATGTAATGCACTGTTGGCGAAACGTCTACCCGTCGCGCGCTCGTGGCCAGGGCATCTGCGTCCAGCGACCAGACCTTCATCTCTCCATCGTTGCCTGCAGTCACACAACCGCTGAGATCGGGAGACACGCCAAGAGCCCAACATTCGCCGTTCGTCTGGGATATGTGCGTCTCGACGCAGTGCCTCGAGGAAAGGTCCCAGAGCTTGAGCAGCGAGTCTTTGCCGGTGGTGAGGAGGAACCCGTCAGAGGCGTCCTGGCCGTCGCGCACCATGGCTATCGATCCGTCCTCGTTCTCAATCTGTTGTTCTGGTTCGACGAAATGGAGGCCCGTCACTTGGTCCTTGTGGCCTCGCAGCTTGTAGAGGCCGACTTCGGCGACCAAGTCCCAGAGGATGACGTCGGTGTCCTTGGAGCCGCTGGCGAGCCGGACGCCAGACTTATCAAAGGCGAGTTGCGTGACGGCGGATTTGTGGCCATTGAAGTTGACTATGACGGTGGAAATCTTGCTGTCCCAGAGCCGGATGCTGCCGTCCTCGTAGCCGACGGCAAAAACATCCTTGTCGGTCTGGCTCTGGGCGATTGCTGAGACGGACACGGAACAACGCTCATCCCTCCATCGGCCCAGGAGCTCTCCCTTTTTGATGTCCCAGCACAGGACTTGTTCGTTTGCGGCGACAACTGCCTGTCCTGCGCTCGCGCCCGTTCGATCTTTGGACGTCCAGACGATGTTGGAGGTGGCGGTCGCGACAACGCCAAACGACTTGGCATGCTCGTATTTCCTTGCTTCAAAGTCAGCCGATGCCAATTAGTACCATGCGCGTCATTTCCACTCACAAGTACGACTTGACCATTTTGCCAAATCGAAGCAAGCAGCGGCAAGCCTTCAGCGCAGAGACAGGGCCGATGGTACTGCGATGCGCCGCACGCCTTTTTGGAGGGGAGTTTTTTTCTTAGACCTTTTTTTTCCCTGGGCTTATCGATAGCGGGGTGACCTGTCTGAGTCTCCGAGGTCCAGTCACGTGGACCTCCGAACTCCGCCAGCTCGACCTCGCAGCCCCACCATCGTCGTCAACCAGCTCCAGGAGGCGCAACCGTGGACCATCGCAACGATGCTTCTCCTCGACTACGAAAACGTCCTGATCCGGTCAGTGTTCACCGAGAAGTTCTCTGGGTAAGATCGAATCCCCCGCTCCGTTGGTCCCCTGCAGCGCTGATGGCCGTGCAGTGCCCCTGCCACATCCATCGACCAGACCATCTCCGACTTCGACGGCGTCACGTTCCACATCTCGACTCCGGAATCAAAGACCAAGATCCTTCTCTCTCTCCAAATAAAATGCTTCAAGGACCTGGTCCAGCACGGCGCCGAGCAAGTCTTGCGGCGCGAGTACGGCGACTACATGGCGCCAGTGGAGCCTGGCTATGACTTCTCGGTCATGGTCGACCTCGAGCAGCTACCGGCGGACAAAGGTGGGCAGCTACACCCTTCCCTGGCGCTCCTGTTCTACAGGGTTAACGGTAAACGGACAGAGGAGCGCGACGCGTTAGCAATGAAGCTTGCACTGCTGAAGCGCAACGCCATGGCGGCCCCCTTTGAGCAGGCATACGAAGAACACTACAAGCTGAAAGAGGAGGCATCCAAGTTCACTTCCGAGGAAGCCCCCCAAGGCGTGCAGGAAGGCGGCGAGGTCAAGGCCATTCACTATCGAGATGAAGAGGCCATATACGTCAAAGCTAGCCACGACCGAGTCACAGTCATCTTCAGCACAGTGTTTCGCGAAGAAACCGACCGGGTATTTGGAAGAGTGTTCATTCAAGAGTTTGTCGACGCGCGAAGGAGAGCGATCCAGAATGCGCCACAGGTTCTTTTCCGGAACGATCCGCCACTCGAGTTGCAGGGAGTGCCAGGAGTGAAAAGCACCGGCACAGGCGAGATTGGCTATGTGACATTTGGTATGTTTCTCGCGACTCGTCCATTGCCTCACTGTGTTGCTAAGAGTTGGCCTAGTGTTGTTCCCGAGACACCTGACTCCCCAGCGAATGCCGACTGTCATTTCCCACATCCAGACGTTCCGAGACTACTTCCACTATCACATCAAGGCATCCAAGGCGTACATCCACTCTCGAATGCGGAAGCGCACCGCAGACTTCCTGCAAGGTACGGACTCGATGAGGTTATTGGTGGCGGCCGTTTACTGACTTGCCCTAGTGTTGCGTCGCGCACGTCCTGAGAATGAGGAGCGGGAGAAGAAGACTGCAAGCGGCCGGTCGTTCAAGGTGCAAGGAAGCTGAGGGCTGGTGCCCGGGCATTGTGTGGATGGCCACGTTGTGAGAGCCGCTGGCTGGTTTACAAGGTGAGGGGCATTTACGGCTATGCATGACGAAAGGCAGCGGTGCCTCGCGCTCACGCGTCGATTCGGAATCCAAGGTGGAGAAGACTTGGTCTGATTCCGTTTGATGTCTAAGAAAGAAACAGTTCTCTTTGGTAGCCGTTAGGTCGCAAGGGGCCAGGCCATCTTGTTTCAGATAACCTGTGACTTGATGGACGGGAAGCTGACATGGACGGAGTTGCACTATGGCAAGTGCAGGATAAAGTTCGTTGCGGCAAGAGTCGCAAACGAAACGGGATTATCTTAAAAGGAGTGTACGCTTTCTTTGGAAGATCCGTTTCATGATGCACGCCGATTCACGGCTTTCGCCGACGGGATTGCTCTCCAGCAAGTCTCCACCCAAACCCCGGGACATGGCTCCAGCTTGTACTTCACGTGATCGCAAAGCATTCACCGAGTGTCATGTCGCAGCTTATCGCATCACGTAACGAGGGTCTGTCATTCGCGCCCAAGGCTTGCCTCACCGATTCACTCCGATCCGGTGTCTGCACCGCCAGCATGCCGCGGCAGCCCTGTTCATCAAGACAGCGTCAGTCCTCGGCCACATTGCTCTCCTCGGTGCAACGGCCCGCGGGTCGCCGGCAAAATGGCATGGCCTTTTGGCCCGTCGGGCTCCCCTGACGGATCAAAGGACGATGACGAAGCAAAGAAGCAGCGCGTCTCGTGGACGGGCTCGCTGGGCCCCCTCCAGCGAGACCCCTTCGCGGCCGCCCGAGAGTGGGCACCCATGGTGCTCTTCTCCCTCGTCGGGCTCGGCGCCCTGCAGCTCTACGCAAACTACTTGCGTCGGATCCCCGGCGCCGACTACGTCCGGCCGTCCTTTTTTCGAAGCAGGAGTCTCTATGGCAGGGTCACGAGCGTTGGCGATGGCGATGGTTTCCACATGTTTCACACGCCCGGCGGCAGGGCTGTCGGCTGGGGATGGCTGCGACGCGTGCCCGAGAAGAGAAGGGAGCTCAAGGATCGCACGGTATGCTTTGCTCGGGTGTAACGCGTCGATGGAGAGTCCAGACTGATGACATGCAGATAACCATCCGCCTTGCCGGCGTCGACGCCCCAGAGGGAGCGCATTTCGGTCGACCGGCCCAGCCATTCGCCGCCGAGTCACTGGCATGGCTCTCCGACTACCTCATGCACCGGAACGTGCGGGCGTACGTATACCGGCGAGACCAGTACAGCCGCATCGTCGCGACCGTCTACGTGCGCCGCTTCCTCATCCGCCGGGACGTGGGGCTGGAGATGCTGAAGCGAGGGCTGGCGACGACGTACGAGGCCAAGTTTGGCGCCGAATTTGGCGGGATGAGAGCGGCTTACGAAAAGGCCCAGGCCAAGGCCAAGAAGAAGCGAAAGGGCATGTGGGCTGGCAAGCCCAGCGCCTTTGAGAGCCCGCGAGAATACAAGACACGGTGGGGTGGGCAGCAGGACAAGACGGGCATTTGAACATCTCATATATTTCCTTGCAGAGGGCACCCGCAGCAGCGCACTTAACTATATATCTACTGCGGCTGTGAGCATGGGCCACCACGAAAGCTTGCAGATGCACCAGTCGTGATGCGCAGGCTAGCTAGGCGAATATATTAATAATTCCCCAACGCATGTGGGGATAATTGATCTTGAAACAGACCGAGTGAGTTGCTACCGTCAAGGCTAGGTGGCCTCCGAGACTGCTCCGGGGACCACTGCCTGCTTCAGGGCGCCTACGCGTGTGCGCGCTCGCCGCATAACAGAGGATGCGGCTTGAGTCGTCTGATCGGCGCGTACTGTGCGGCGAGTCTCTGGGGAACTTTGCGCCGGAGGAGACGCTGTGCTTCTGGGGGTAGAGTGCAGAAATAGGCGAGGTGTGTCATGCAACAGTTGGAGGGAAGATATGGGGGGAAGGGGCCCAGATGTCGGGGAGGAGAGGGAGGGCTCTCGGGCAGAGGCAAGGCCGGGTAGAGTAACAGAGCAGACAAGGAGAGCTCCCTGAAGATGGGCCGGGAAGACGGGAGCCGGAAACCAAGCAACCGCACGTGTCAGGCGCGCCAGCCGTCCCGAGTCACTGGGGAGCCGGCGCGTATGGAGAGGATAGAAGGAAAGAATGGGTGTGAGAAATCCTCTCGCGGAGGCGCCGGCCGAGAGGCTTACAATATTGAATGCCGCATACCACCATGGGCACGGCATGCATCAGCCGTGGCCGTTCTGACCCGCGCACACAACAACCGTTCGACGTATGGCATACACTGGCATGGGTCGATGAGTGTAAACTGCAGAGGCGTTTTCTTTACCCGGGGGACGGCATCGAGGGGAGCGGGTCTGGGCCGGCTCTCCGCCGAAGGGGCATTCCGAGACGGGTTTGTCGTCTGATGTTGGGCCGCGTGTGTCCCGTGATTTGTATGCGATGGACCTGAGACTTGGAGGGCCCGGTTCTATCTGCTGCAGGTTTGGGCAGGTTTAGGCAAGTTTGGACGGTGACGATGGGAGCTGGATGCGTGTGCTCCCATCTTCACCGTCTGGGACAAGAAGCGGCAGTCTATTTAAAAAGAAGAGACGAGAGGAAAGCTCGGCAAACCATATATTCTGTATGTACTGTTACATGTACTGTTACATGCCGTCCCCAGGGCATGTAGGGTAGAGCGTCATGTGCCCTGGCCAGCCCGGCAAGGCAAGCAGGGCGAAACGACGGGCTAAGCCTTACTTTAGGTAATCCAGGTACGTACTGAATTGGCGGGAGATTGCTGCCGGTCTGTGGACAGTAAAAAGGGGGAAACCGAGATTGGCCTCGTGACGAAACAGATGCCCGCGATCCAGCTTGCAGGGACTCCAGGGAGCTTACGTCACTCTTCAATTTGGCGTGATGAGCCTTCCAACGAGCCTGAATGCATGGATAATGCGTGGATGGATATTAGTAGGCACAGTGCGTTGGACGGCACAGGCCCAAGAAGCACACTGTGCCACACCGCGCGCATCACATGAGGTGAAGCGGGCTCGTTTTCCACTCTTCATGCGAGCAGCAGCAGCGCCGGCAGCGGTCTCTCGGTCGACGGATCTGCAGATGATTGATGATTGATGATTGAATGATATGACATTGCTCACCCGCGCAAGGTTTTCCTCGCAACATTTCTCGTGCAAACCTTTTTTTATGGAGAGCACAAGGACGGACCGGCCTTGTCTTCGAGACGGCTTCCACGCCCAACCAACTCCACCACGCAGACGTGGCTTTTAGGTACCCGAGACCTCTGAGCGCTAATGCACCAGGCACAGCATAAGAGACAAGGTGCACTAACGAGACAACCAAGGGCTTGCCTCCCTGCCTCGTGGCCGGTACAAGCGGTATCCATCCGTACGGATACTGTACAATCTCATCCTCCCGCACGCGAGACTACGAGACCCCTTTCGAACAATCCACCCGCGCAGGGAGGACACGATAGCGCGACCCTTTTCTCGCCCGCGCCCGCGCCCGCGCCGAAGCCTCCTCATCATCACCATATCCACCCACCCAGGCTTGCTCAACACTCCCAGATTCTTCGCCTGCAAAGTGGCACAGGCTTCGACGCCGCCAATTCGAGCAAAGACCCAGCAGCCGCCACAAGGCCCCACCCATCACCTCCTCGTCCCCCAACGCGACGTTCCACAGCGCGCCATTATTGTCCCCCCACACCTGCTCTCGTTGTCGCCGTCGTGCGTGTACTGTGCCGACTGTGTGCCGCGCCCTTGCACGCAGAGCACAGGTACCTCTACTCGTACCCACTCGCTCCTCCTGCCCAGGCTGTGCTCTGTCTGTGTCCCCACCCTTGGCCGGCTGCTGAGCCGTGTGAAGCTAACCCATATACAGACTAGCGCCACGTCTCGAGTTGCCCGTCACAACAACTCCAGCAATTTCCCACATTCTTGCACTCTCGTCCAGCCATTCATTCTTTTGACCCGGCGAGGCTCAAACCCCCCCCAACGCACACATCGCCAGCAGAGGGGGGAGATCAAGGCGACAGGCCATAGAGCCCGTAGCCGCTGCCGCACCCAACTTCGATTTCCCTTGGCCTAACCGTCTTCGTCACCTGCCTCTTGCTACGCTCGTTCGTTTGATTTTTCGCCCCTCTCCTTTCGCCTTTCCAGGCTGTGGCCCGACCAAGTCGATTTCGAGTCCGACCGTCGTCTCTCCGAGTCACCCGCGCCACTTTTTCTTCACTCGCTCTGTCGACTCTGAGATGCTCTTGACATCGCACGCCGCTGCCGACGAACCCAACTCCGACTGCGCTTGCATCGTCGGAACCTTGCTCGGCCACGATTGACTTTCGATAGAGTCTCTTGAGCGCGTCCAGGGAGCCATGAGGCTACCCTTTCAACAACGCCGCGCGGTGCGGCGGCCAAAGCCGGCGGGCTCGCGTCTGCTCGCGCTGGCCGCATTCGCGCTCCCCCTATCACAGGCCTTCGAGTTCCGGCCAGCTCCCCCTGCGAACCTCGACCTCTCCAACCTGGGAAGCATAGCCATCGCGGGTGACTTCAACGGCATCTCTCTCTACGAATTCGAGGGCCAGACCTCGAGACCACTGAGCACAAACGGCAGCCAATCTCTCTTTGCTCGACTGCCAAACGGCGCCCTCGCTCCAGTTGCTGCCACGGATGCCTCGATTCGAACCATGTGCACCTTCAAACGCAAAAACGGCGATTTCGGTGGAGTAGTCATTGGCGGTAATTTTACGAGCCTCAATGGCACCGAGTCGACGGGCATCGCCCTCTTCAACCCCAACACAACCGAGGTGACACCGCTTGGCGGGCTGGAAGGCGAGGTTCGCGCCGTCTACTGCGATCAAGAGCGAGACACCGTCTACGTCGGTGGGCAATTCAAAGGTGCCGATTCCACAAACGCCATCGCCTGGTCTGGCGAGAAGAAGAACTGGATCAACCTACCCTTTGCTGGATTCAATGGCCCGGTGGAAGCCATCACCAGAGCTCCCAACGGCCACATAATTTTCGGAGGAAACTTCACCGGCCTCGGCAACACCAGCACGCCGAGTCGGCCCGACGAGCAGACGATAAACCTTTCCACCGCCAACATCTCCGCCACCAATACTGCCTCGACCGACGGCTTCTCCGACCCCAAGAGTTTGGCCTGCTCGTCTGGCTCGGATGGCTCTGGCCAGACGTGGCTTTTGCAGGACAAGACCCCGGGCACTTGGGGCGCGAGCTTCGGCTTCGGCTTCGAACCGACAAAGCTTAGGCTATGGAACACGCGCCAGGACGGCCGCGGCACCAAGACGTTTCGCTTCCTCGCGTTCCCCATCAACGGGATCATGAACCTGACCTATGTCGATCCCGCGACGGGGGAAAACGCCACATGCACCAGCGAGTGCCCCCTGAGTAATGACCCCAAGGCCGAGTATCAAGACTTTCACTTTGTGAACCGAGTCGGCATGAACAGCTTCCAGATTGCCATCTCCGACTGGTATGGCAACGGCGGCGGCCTTGCCGGCATCAGGCTGTTCCAAGACGACATCTTTACGTACGCCGTGTCCGATTTCAACGAACCCAGCTGCGGAGGGACGCGATTCCCGTCGAGCGCCTCGTCTACGGGACCGTGGAAACAGTCGCCCTCGGTGCAGAGCAACGCCGACTACCTGACTGCAGATCTGTCTGGACCCGTCACGTCCAAGTCGGCTTCGGTTGTGTTTTATCCCAGCATTCGTGAGTCGGGCAACTACTCCGTCAACATGTATACGCCGGGCTGCAAGCCAGACCAGACATGCGGGAGGCGTGGCCAGGTGAATGTCACGGGTACCATGTCGGCCGGCTCAGTCAATGCCCGGTTTTCGGCCACCATCTCCCAAACCAACAACTTTGACAAGTACGACCAGATCTACTTTGGCTACGTCGACAAGACGTCGGACGGCTTCAAGCCCAGCGTGACCATTACCCCGCTCGCGGGCCAACGCGTCGACAGGTTGACGGTTGTCGCCCAGAGGCTGGGGTTCACGCTCACAAACTCGACCGGAGGGCTCAATGGGCTTTTCGACTTTGACCCGACCAGCGAAACCGTGGATGTTTCCAAGTTTGAGAAGTCGCCAATCAACAAGCTGGGGTCCGAGTTCAACCGCAATTCGGGCGTCACGTCGCTGGTGACTTCAGGCGACATCATTTACATCGGTGGGGACTTCAAGTCTGACAAGCATGAGAACACGGTAGCCTTGGGCGGGGAAAAAAACCAGGTTCGGTCACTTGATGGGGGTCTCAATGGGCAAGTCCTTCACATGCTCCTCGACAACTCGAAACTCTATGTGGGAGGTGACTTTACCAACAAGCAGTCCGGCTCCCAGGAGGGCCTGAATCACATTGCGGTGTATGACGAGCAAGCAAAGTCGTGGGGTGCGCTGGGGGCCGGTGTCAACGGACAGGTGCAATACGTCTCACCCTTGGTGGTGAATATAACCAGCGACTCCACAGAAACAGCAATCGCTTTTTCTGGAGCCTTTTCCGAGTGCAAGGGGTTCGGGAACAACAAGGCAGTTGCCGTCGATGGGTTCGCCGTCTGGGTCCCGTCAAAGAGCAACTGGCTACAGAATCTTGCTGGGCCGCACCCTGCCTACAGCGGTGTCCTGACGGGCGCTGCTTTCGATCTTCCCAACAACGAAACGCTCTATGCTGGCTCGGTCACATCGGCCCAGGTTGGTGCCAACGGTGCTGTCGCTGTCAACGATCAAGGCCTTAGAGAGCTCCCCGTCAGGATCCAGGCGCAGTCTTCATCGGCCTCTTCGGTGATCCGCCGAGATGGCCTCTCGGGCGACTCCCTCCGCGGCGTGATCACGGGGACCTTTTACGATAATGGCAACACCAACATCACGGTCCTCGCCGGACGCTTCACGGCTCAGGCGACCAACGGATCCACAATCAACAACCTCGTGTTCATCGACGGCAACGAGAACGGCTCGGTTAGCGGGCTCGGACCCGGCATTTCTACCGATTCCACCTTCACTACGGTTGCAGTACAAGGGAGCGTGCTCTACGCTGGAGGCAAAGTCAGCGGCACCATTCAAGGCAACCCAATTAGCGGCCTCGTCGCCTACGACATGAACAGCAAGGCGTGGGCCAACCAGCCGGCTCCGATTTCTGGCGGCAAGGGCATCGTGTCTGCCCTCAGCGTACGGCCAAAGACGGCCGAGGTCTACGTCGCGGGCTCCTTTGACCAGGTCGGCGCCCTCGACTGCCCCGGCATCTGCATGTATAACGCAGACTCGCACCAGTGGCTCCAGCCCGGGAACGGCTTGGCGGGCGATGTGTCCTGTCTCATGTGGTCTAGCGACTCGACGCTCCTTGCCGGCGGCGACCTGCGCGCCAACAGATCCGACACGCAGTATCTGGCGTCTTACAACGTGAAGGAGCAGACGTGGGTGGACTTTCCGGGGGCTGATGCCATACCAGGACCGGTCCAGGTGATGACGCCCGGGTCGAGTGACGGCAACCAAGTCTGGGTCGCCGGCAAGTCGGCACGGGACGGGTCGGTCTTTCTCATGAAGTACGACGGCAAAAACTGGAAAACCGCGCAGCAAGCCCTCCCTTCCGGCAGTGTCTTGCGAAGTCTGCAAGTCTTTACCCTCACCAAGAGCCACGACAAGACGGACATTCTCGACGACAAGCAGGCACTGATGGTGACTGGCTCCATCGACTTGCCCCAGGTCGGCCTGGTCTCTGCCGCCCTGTACAACGGCACGCACTACCTGCCATACGCTCTAACGACACACTCGGGCAACGGTACCGGAAGTATCGGCAAGATCTTTACGCAAAAGGACGACTTCTTCTCCTCGGGAGGAGGTAAGATGCCGCTGGTCTTCATCGTTCTCATCGGCCTTGCGATATCGCTCGCGCTCATCCTCTTGATGGTCCTGGCCGGCATCATCCTCGACCGGCTGCGAAAGAAGCGCGAAGGGTATACACGAGCACCGACGTCGATGTACGACCGCGGAAGCGGCATCCAAAGGATACCGCCGCACGAACTGCTCGAGTCCCTCGGCAAGAGCCGTCCAGCCGCGCCACACGTGTGAGCGCAACGTCGTATTTGACCTGCGTGTGTTGTTTGCAATTCGGCGTTGGATAGGCGTGCGGAAAAGCCACGGGCAGCGCGAATGCCCAGTCATGCAGCATAGCGGATCCGTCATTCACAACAAGTGTCTCCACCAGCATCTGGAGATGTCGATACCCTGCCACCGAAAGTCGCCATGTCGGCGATACCCCTTGATACGAGCATTTGATCCCCTTGTACAGTCACCCATCTTTACATCTGCTCATCATTTCACGAGGTCATGACCCCTGGTTAATGTTTAACAATCTTCTTGGCACTTTTTTCTTTTCTTTTCTCCACCAGATACTGCGAAGGCCGATAGTTGTCTCGGATACTACTGGACTTTTTCTTTTCATTAACTCTTAACCCACTTCGATTCTCGTCTTTCTCTTGATGGCATTTTTCCATGTACATAAAGTTCAGATCAGTCTCCGTCACAAGACTGACCATGTCGGGCAGCTTTGGCACAATTTCCTTTCCAACTCTCCCCCCTTGACTTTTCTTTGCATGGTCAGGGGCATGTGGCAGAAGCCCGGCACCAAGAGAGCGAAGAGGCGGGCCATGTAATTCAAAATCAGGGGCAACGACGAGCAAAGCTTTGATGCCCGATGGCTGTGCGAGCGAAACGTGATGAAGCTTCTGTGGTAGAGTGCTAGGAGTCATGGACTCTGTCCCGTAGAAGTTACCAGGACATATGTGCCCAGAGGGGAAGCAGATGACTGCGTCTGCCCTGTTGGCAAAGACGGGACTCAGTGGAGGGACGACATGGTTGGGTGCAGGGGAAGGTTGCTCTCCCCGCGTCCGAGGCATGGACTCGGCGGCTTGAAAGACGAGAGCGAGGGTTTCGACGAGAAGCAGCTTTGCCGCATCAGAGCTACGTGGACGGGTCGGAGAAGAAAGAGGGGGAGGATTGCATCCGTAACCTTCCCGACGTAGTTGTGAACTGATCGGCTGGGGGATATGCGTACGGCCCCCAGGTGACTCGTCGTTGATGCGGGAAGACGGGAGGGTCACGGCAGAGGTGTACGAGCAGGACGTACGACGAGGGCCACGTAAGGACTGGTGACTGTTACGGGATTTTCCACATGACACTTGGACACGGTCACGGGCTTGCATATGCGTTCATACAAGCACGTGTAGAGAGACGTGCATTCAGTGTGCGTTTGACTAGTTGGATGCTGTGTAGGTCGGGCAGTCGAGTGTGGTAAACAATACGTGCTCCTGGCGCGCCCGTTTCCTCACATTCTCTCCGTCAATGCCCTTCTCGCAAGAGGGAAAGCCGAGGCAGCGAAGACGGAGAGAGGAAGGAGGGAAGATGGATGCTGTGGCTTTGGGTGGGTGTGTGGCTGCAACGCTTTCCGTCCAAGAGCAGGGGGGGTTCATCGGGAGAGGGGAAGAATCGGGCATTGCCGAGTCGGAGTTTCTACACGTGCTTGCGTGCAAGTATTGTTATGAGAGGCGGAGATTTTGAAGGGGGAAAAAGAGGGAAAAAAAGGGGAGGGAGAGGGACGAAGAAGGGGCGGGGAATAGGGGTCATGGCTCCCCTTGTCGATAGTCGTCATGTCCGACCTGGAGTTTAAGGGGGGCTGTTGTGATGCCCGACTGTGTTGCGTTGAGTACGTGGGTGGGTGGTTATGCAGCCCGGGACGACATTGGCTTGCGTCTCTACCGCATCGTCGTCCACATTGTACTTCCCTGATCAATGCACGTACTTTGGAACAGAAGGCGCTCTATGGAGCTCGCGGGTTGTCGTTGGAGGAGGCTTCAGCAGGTAGGCGGGGGGGTCACAAGGGGAAGCGGGCGGTGCATGGGAGCGAGCCCGCAGTATGGCCCGAGATAGTGAGGACGCCGTCAGGAAGGGAGGGGAGGCTCGAAAGGGTTTCCCGCCTGGATGTGATGGGACGACGCCCTTTTCCCCAAGAGACTCATCAAGCGCACACGAGCACATGTTCCACATATTGCATATGTACTGTACAAGCAGAAGCCTTCTATCCGTATGTGCGTGTCTGTATGGAGCTGGAAGAGGGAAAGGGCGTGTGCCTGGATGTACAGGGGCAAGAGGGGAGGGCGCAAGTACAACTCCGCGGTGACTCGTTGGCAGGTTCACCTGTCTCGAGCGAGGCGCCGTAACCGTTGCAGTGTATTATCCCGTAGCCACGGCCGGCATCGTCGCCACCGGCCGATAGGGTGAGGATAGCGAGGGAGGAGCTAATAAAGAAAAAGGTTGGAAAAAAGGGGGCCGTGGTTCTGTCGTCGTCGAGGGAAGGGCGAAAGAGGGGGCGTGCACGCAGAGAGCTGGACAAAGACACGCGCCCCCTCCCTTGCTAGCGTCCCGAAGGGTCCCTCCGGCCAATGGGGCAGCCGGGCGGTGACGTTGCGGGTGCCGTGGTGTGGAGACTGCCGGTGAAGCTAGCGCCCCCCCGGGTGCCGGAGCCATTGACGTCATTGGGGGCGACTAATTCGACGCCGACGCGGTTTGCGCCTTTTGCTTGGCATGTGCAGAGTAACGGCATGCATGTACATGTTGCGCACGCCCATGCTGTGCGGGTACTTGTGCGTGTTCTCTCTCTCTCTCTCTCTCTCTCTCTCTTGCGTCTTCCGCCTCTCCCCTCTTCCCACTGCAAGCACATACGTGTGATACCGCGTGTCAGAGAGCATGCTACACATGCGCACGGTACTGAATGCCTCCAACTCCCTCGCGAGCTGCGGCAGGGGAGGTAAAAAACACAGCGCCCGCAATGACATCACCGCCGCAGCCCTCGCGCGGGTGCCGGTGCCAAGCAAAAGGACCCTGAATATCGGCCGCCTCCTCGGTCGGGGGCAAAAGAGACGCCCACCCCCAATCTGTGGGCGATCACGAGCCCGTCAATCGCGAACAGCACGTCTGTCCGTCAGTCACCAAGCAGGCAATCCTAGTGCTTGCCACGCTCGCCCTGCGCTCACCCCCACCCTGCCACCCCTTGCCTGGTTATGCTTATACGTGGGTAGGTCTCGAAGGGGGGTGCTGAAACCAAAAAAAGGGGGAGGGGGGGGGGCTCGTCCGAACGCGGCGCAACGCCCCGGTCCGCTCAAGGTACCCCGTACACGCCTCCTTTTCCTTTGCAAGAAGAGCTGCTACGGGTCTCTCTGCATCACGGAATACGTACGTGTCACATGTTGTGTGTGTGCCCTCCCCCCGAGGCATGCGTGCCCCGGCCCTGCTCACCACGGACGCATTTTTCTCTTGATTTAACTACCGGCCCCCGCGCAAAGTTCCAGGCCCGCCGTGGCGGCTCCGTCTCGTCTGCGGGGAGCCAGAAGGAAACACGAGGAGAAATGATGCAAAAGTCTCACGTGCGGGATGCGATTCCCTGTCTGCCGCATCATGGGAATCTATCTGCACCTACTCTGTACCCTCGCCCCCTTCCCCCCCCCGGCCGGGCTCCAGCAGGCGCCGGCTCAGCACATACCTCCCTCAGGCACCTTCTTCTGCACAGTAAGTCGGTTCGCGAGGTGATTCGTCTCATCTACTGTACAAAGGCCCGTTTGCCTGGCACGCCCCCCCACCGGTGGACCCCCACAAAAGCTTGTCCGGCCGTGACACCGGCCCCGTCTTGCCCCTTTGAGCAGTCATCGCCCATCCTGAAACGACGAGCCCCTCTCCATGTCAAAGGTGCCTGGCAAATACTGCCTAGTTCGTTGAAAATATACGTGAGAAAGTCCACTCAAAACTCTCTGGGCCACCCATCATCACTGGGTGTCCAGTTCTTCTCTCCGGGAGACGCGAGACCATGTGCCAAGCATCTTCCGTGGAACAAACAAGGGTCAGGGTATCCGGATCCTCCTGTTTTGCGCTATTCTTATTATTCTTATCTTCCGCCTCCGTCTCCAGTTTCGTCTCGTCCCCTGGAACGTACCGAACGTAATACAGTAATGGACGAAGCAGGTATGGGTGGAACCCCATGTCTGCAAATCAAGGTCCAGGCAAGGTCCTCGGAGCCGTGGCCAAGGAACGATCCCCTGGCCCCGGGCCCGAGGCGCGGAGCGGCCCCTGGACGCAGAAAGACCTCTGGCCAACAATCGGGAAGGTCGCTTAGGTCCTGTCTGTCCGTCTGCCTGCCGGTTGCCGCGCAGATGCAAATCGCCATCATCTATGTCGGTCGCCCTGCGAGATCTCAACCGATAGCCGCAAATCCCGATGCCGTACAATGTGCCCTGAGCACCAATCACATGCACAACTCAAGCCCCTTAGTAGTACTTCGCAGTCCGCAGCGAGCTGCAGCTTCATTCTTCTTCGTCTTGGTTGGCCGATGGTCAGATGCCCTCAAAACTAGTCCGAGCCTGCCCGCTCTTCATGTCCCTGGCCAAACTCCCTTCCACCCTCCCTCATCTTACTGCACATCGCGTGTGCAGTCAATCTTGAGCGCCCTCTTTGTGCGCCGCATCCCTCGGGTATATCATCGCCGTCGACAGAACACTACTCATACATCGAATCCTCTCCCGCTTTCTGCCATCTTCGCCGTCAGGGAGAACGTCCCGGGCCTTCACTCTTTCCTTCTCGGCTCGCAAGCTGGCGCGGGTGTGACTGGACCGAGGCTGTCACCCCCTTGTTCGACCATCGGGCATGAGCGAGGGCGGGGGAAAACACTCGTCCCGTGCCTCGGCCAATCTCTTGGCCAACGACGATTCGTAGAGATCTGTACCTCCAACTCTCCAAATGCAACCTGTAACGCCGCCGAGGTATCATCGGGCCGCCTCTCTGTGTGTCGAGCCCGGGACCAATCGGTAGCAATATTCCCCAAGAAAAGAACAAAGAGGAGGGCCAAGGAGATAAAATGTACAGCGTAAAACCCCCCCCTTGCGACGGCGAATCAGACTCGCCCGTGTTCTCTCCAATCATGTACATGACCATGCCGCCTCGCCATTGGAGCCGGTCATGCCGCCATCGCCCCGCCGGGCTTGTCATGGACTATGTATATTTCAGCGTGAATTGAGCTGAATCAAAATGCCGTTTACTCGTTCGATATGGCTGCCGATCCATGGAGACCATCTTCGGTCATGTATTTGGCTGTGACGCGGTCAACCATGCGACAAAATTGACACCTAGTGCCAGTGAGTGTCCCACGCGAACTGGCCGAGGTATCGTTCTTGGCTTTGCATCGACTTCTAATCCGAATGGTGATCCTCTGACCCGGCTTCAGACCGGGCATCGCCTCGATGCACCTTTCGATGCCGCCGGAGGTTCGACACGACCGAGAAATGACGTCCGCAACCCTCAACCTCACAAGCAAACGCTGTGTCTGGTTAACCGTGGGTCTCCACAAGCCTTGTTGCGGCGGAAGAGCAAGACTCACGCTTTTCTCCAGTATGGCTGTACATGTGTGTTTGAAGCGAACTCGGGCGAGTGAACCGCTTGTCGCATACCTTGCATTTGTGCTTCTTCTGGGTGCTCGAAGACTCCTTGGAGCTGAACTGGCCCATCATCGACTGTGGTGCCGGGGGGATTTGCGAGCCCATCAAACCTTGCGGCCGGGGCAGCATCCTCGAGTTGACCGACTCGATGTCGGAGCCAGCAGTCGAGTAGTCCGAGACTGAATCGCCGTAGTAGGAGCTGAAGTTGCCGTTGGAAGAGATGGACGAACTCGTGGAATGCGTCGACGGGAAGCCGTACGAGTCAACCGAGGAGCGGTTGCTGCGAGGTCCGTAGATGTTTCGGGGCGTCTCTTGGCTCATAGCGAGCATGCCATGGCTGGCGTCAAGCGCATCGGCAAAACTTCTCCGTTCATCGGCCTGGGCCTGCATGCTCCTGTGGGCAGTCAGCACGCATGATTCGGGGCGCCAGGCAAAAGTCAGGATCACGGGACTGACTGTTGCTGTGAAAAGCGCCTCTCAGTCTCCGGGCTCATGGCAAAGGTCGACTGCCGGGATGGGGCCGGCGCATAGCCCAGGGCTTCGTAGGGCGGGGCGGACGTCGGGGCGAAGTGGCCGCTGACGGGCGAGGCGGAAGCGGTATATGTTGGATCGCCGTAGGCCGCCGAAGTGGAGTGCAAGCGACTCATGGCCAACATGTCTATCGGTCAAGATTAGCGTGAGCGCTTCCAAAGTGCATGGTGGGCGGATCGGGCTCACCTGCGGACGTGGTGGCGACGGGCAGTGAGGCAAACGAGGCCATTGAAGAGGCGCTGCTCGTGCTGGCTCGGGCGTGCTGCTGAGGCTTAGGCGCCATCATGTGGTGGGCGACGGCGGGTTGCTGCTGGCCGTTGACGTAGAGGGGAGCTCCGGCGGTGGTGCCCGACTGGGGAGGCGAGGAGGACGAGGACCAGGGATTGGAGAAGGCTGGCGGTTGCGCATGGGCGGCATAGTCGAAGTTCAACGAGGGACCGAAGCGCTGCTGCTGTGAGGTTGGTAGAGTCATGGTCATGTCGGCGAGCGAGGGATTGCCGTGGTGGAGAGGCGAGGATGTTCAGGGCATGCGCGGCTTGGCAGCGGGAGAGGTGTTGGAGATGGAAAGAGTCGTGCGACGCGAGGGGCAAAGGCGGGAAAAGGATTGTTGATCAGATGCGGGATCCCGACTAGATGAAAAGCCAAGTCGGCAACTCAGTTCAGATCATCAGAGACGAGCTGGACATGGAGACGGAGGGCCAAGGTGGGATCAGCGAAGTCTTAAGAGTGTGTGAATTGACGTGCGTCAGTCCCGTCCGAGGCAAGCGGCCAGGCAGCTTATTAGGGTGTGTGACGACTCTGGTCTAGGTGATCGGCAGACCGATGTTCCTTTGACAATGGCCGGGGCGGCAGGGTTGCGGCGATGAGGTAGCGTAGCTCGGTAGCAAGGGGTGGGGAGAGGGGAGAGGGGAGAGGGATGTGATGTTGGGGGAGGAGGAGGTGAGGGTGGAGACGAGACGCGGTCGGGAGGGGCGTGCGTCGAGATGGGGAGGCGCCTGTGGAGAGCTGCCCCGGTCCGTGGATGCAGCGAGGTGGGGAGGGAGAGACATGTACCAAGCATGCACATGCAAGTAACGGAGTGTTTGCCAATCTCTGTCACCGTGGAGGCAGGCGCATACCTCCATGTCCAGCTCGACGAGGTCCCCGGCGAGCAAAATGTTTCGCGCGCACTGAAATGCATCGTGTTTCTATTTCGGTAGGGCCACAACGGGCCGTTTACACAGCTCCGATGACGTCTCCCGTAGGCAGGGCGAGCCCTCTGGACGGCGACGGACGAGACAAATCAATGCAGCAAACACTCGTGGATTTGATGCGTAAATTCTCGTTGTCGGCGTCAGGCGACGTTGCGCCACGGCTTGCAGACGGCGTGTCTGCGAGTGCATGTTGTGTGTGGAGGATACTTTATTAGAGGGGGGGGGGGGGAGGTACTGCACAGGCACTGCATCAGCACTCGGCATGACACTGGGCATGACACTGGGCACTAAGCACCGAGCACTACAGTGCCTAACACGGTACGGCACAGTAATCGTCTCGGCAGTACCAAAGTCGGTGTGGCAGAGCCACGACGGCGGGGACATGCACGTTGAAAGGGCCCAATGTACCGGGTACAGATACAGTGCAGATCACTGTATAGACGGTACACGCGACTTCAGCGCCACAAAGCCGGGGAGCAGTAGAGAAAAAGGGCCTACCATGGTACGGGGCTCGACAGTAGGGGGGGCGTTAAGCCGGGCAGCTGGGACTGCTGGCTACTTATACAGTGTGAGACGGCATCATGCAGGGACTCGCACCAGAGAGACTCACAGACATGGCACTGTTCTTCGCCTGCACTGTGCGTGTTGGATCACGCCCCGGAAGAGTCGACCTTGTTCCTCTCCCACGCCTGCGTCCAACTACTATATCCGACGTCATGTATCCAACTTGTCTCCTCCTCTTTCCTCTAAAGCAATAACTTACAATAGGTCAAACTGCACCTTGGACACAACTTCCATTGCAAAGGGCGTGTGGGGAGAGACTGAGCGTCATTTCTCCACGTCTCGCAAAAGTTCTGTCGTCAACAAGCCTGGAATTCTACCAGCCCCCGGCCGGGCAAGAAAGTCGTGGGTGGTAGGTACGAGAGACCAGTTTCAAACCGCTTCCCGTCCCCGTTGGCTCCCCCCAACAACACTGTCGGCCCTTTTCTCCCACTTGCACTTCTTTTTCTTCTTCTTCTTCTTCTTCTGCTTCATCTCTGTACAATACGAGATTGCCAACAGTCGTCTACACGAGCACGTCCCTTGGCTACATGCCAGCAGACATGCTTATATGCCGCTTATTCAACTGCCCCACTGTCCGTGCAGCTGGAAACACTCTGTAATTGCATGCAGTTCGTCCAGGAGCACGTTTAGGTAAGCCGGCGGGACGAGCAACCAAGGAGGGGGGGTGGATGCAGCAGGGCGTTGCTTTGTGCCACCCAGCCCCGGCTTCGCGCAGCCCTGACGTAAAGCAGGCCCAGCTGGTCCCTGGGGCTGCCATTCTGCTTTCTTTTCTTGCTTCTTTCTTCTTCCCTAACCGGCCTGCAATAAGTACGGTCCGGTGCAGCGCAGCGCAGCGCAGCGCAGCGCAGGACGGTACGGTGCATGTACGGTGCATGTACGGTGCATGTACGGTGCAGTGCAAGGGCTTTCAATCTCCCTGTAGACGCAGGACTCAGCCGGCGGCAAGAGCGAGCTCCGCTAGCACAGGCGATAAGACGGTGAGGGCGGGTGGAGCGAACACTGTAAAGTCGTCTCCGCGCCGCACCCTGAGTGAGGCGGGGTCAAGCACGCTATACCACTGACCGTAGGTATCCACGGAGCCGCCGAACCAAACACCTCCCACGAAAAGGTCCCTGCTTTGCCTGCCCGGAGAAGGGGCTCAGGGCTGTACCGTTTGTACAGTAGTAGGTGGGCGAGCGCCTAGAGAACGGCGAATGAGACACGACATCAGACGGGACCAAAGAAATGCCTTGGGCCCCAGGGAGAAGAAGGAAGGAGAAGAAAGACGGTGGAGGAGCAGAGGGTGTGTGGACAGACCAAGGCGACTTGATTGGTGATTTATATTACCAAGTGAACAGCCGCCCATCATGACAAAGACATGCACAGGGGCGCTGCGACTAACATGCGGCCCAGATTCCCTCACCGCGTCGGCGACGTGCCGGCTCCTCTGACGTAGTTGCCGCCAGTCTCGGCCCAGGGGTCTGGAGGAGAGGGCGGCTCACGGCAGATGGCGATTCCCCTTTCGACGAGCCGAAAAGGCGGGGTTCAACATCCGGAGGCGTATTTTCCCTTGTAAACCGCATATTGGAGGGAGCATCCCTTGGCCAGCCTGTTGACGACAAGTGGATGAAAAGCAAGGTATGCGAGTGCTGTAGCGTAGCCCAGGGCGGTGCACCCATTTGCTCGACCTTCCCATGCCGACTGGTGTCGGCGTTAAGGACGCTGCCAGAGGGACAAGATGCAAGCTAGTGCGCCGCAGACAAGCTGTGTGCCGCACCTCATCTCTACTGGAGGGTCTCCTGGAGGGTCTACTGGAGGGTCTCCTGGAGGGTCTACTGGAGGGTCTCCTGGAGGGTCTACTGGAGGGTCTCCTGGAGGGTCTACTGGAGGGTGTAAAGGGCTAGACCTGTGTGTGGGCAGGATGAGGCAACCTCCAATAGAGTAGGGGTGAAGTCGGAAGCCCTTTCTCCTGTAAAGATGCGAATACTGGTGGGTATAGCCCGTCCGCACCGACCTGCTACTGTCAAGTTCAAAGCTTCATTCTTTCTGCCGGAGAACATCACAGTCAGCCATTCTGCCTGCCGGCTTTGATCCAGGGCACCAATGGTGGAAAAGAGACAGGCGTCCTCTCAGCTTGGCGACCCGAATGGCGCAGCTCTAGCCACCCACCCACCACCTTTAGATGGGTACGGTCTCTCGTCTTTAAAAGGGTCTCCGGGGACTGTACAGGCCTTCTTTCAGGGAAGCTGCAACATCGTCACGATGGCATCTTTAACGCGGCGCGTAATCCATGGATGATTCTCCAGTACGGAGTAATTAGTGCAGCAAAAGATGGAGGACGCAAACTGAGGTCTTGATGGATGTACAAAGTACTTGCGGGTACTTTGCCCTAGGTAGCGGGGCAGCAGACACGAACGCTGGGGCTCTCGTGCGGGTAGCGTGGGGGCGCAGGGTGGCGCTTCGGCCCCCCACGTGGGGCGCCGCCGTTGTACCCAGAACCTCGGATTGCAAAAGTATGTTGCGAAATCCACATAAAGGAGGCAAGGTTGGATGCGCCTCATCATGCACATCTGAGTGGCACGGCATGGAATCTGTGCAGTTATTCCCCGTGGACATGCTTGTGCCTCGGGATGCACAGCACAGTGTCGTGGTGCCGTGTTGGCAAAGTCGAGAAAAGATGAAAAGATACCTAGGACGATGGCCAACAACAGAGCCAGCCAACTAAGGTAGGTATCTTCCTGTATACTGTACAGCAGGTGACTTGGATACAAGCAAAGGCCAGATTGGGACGCGTGAAACGCGCTAGCTCATAATCCCTTGCCCTAATTGGTGAAGCTTCGGCCGGCAAGTCGTGCCTCCGAGATTTCGGGACGACCCTAAGTATTCACACAAGTACACTACCTTTCCCGAGAGAACCCTTCCACTAGAGATGCGGCAAGAAATACCAAACCCGAGCCTTCAGTACTTTTAAGTACTGGGCGTCTTGTTGGCGGCCGGCGCTCGGGACTGCCGCCTCCAGCCGCGACCAACCCAAAAATTCTTCCCATCGCGTCTCCTCGTCTCCCGCTCTCTCTCATCCGCACGCCAGCAAACGCCGCGCTCGTGTGCAGTCCGTTGAGCTGCGCAATGTTGCATGCAGTCGTGCTGACCTGGAGCCAGCGACCTCTGCAGTCTTCGTTTTCCTCTTCGACTCTGCGCAACGTGAATCAACACCTGGACGGTGCGAGTGCTTTCAAGGCTCCATCGCCTCCAGATGAAATCAACCAGGGCCCTTGGCCGATCGCCGGCAGTTGGGAGGCTGTTGCATCGAGGCAATCAGCCGAACATGGCTTGGGTGGAGTCGGCACTTCGGTCTACCATCCCGGGGCAGCCACTGCTTACCTTGGCTCTTCGCCCCGTCCCGAGTTTCCAGTCGACGTCGACGAGTCCGCATCACGTCTCGACGCTGTATCGGCGCAGATATGCAGCTCCGCACCCTTGTTCCACGCGGCTTGTTTCTTCCTTTTTTTGCCCCGTCTCCCCTTTATTAAAACGGTCTCGACCGATACCAGAGGAAGCAGACAGTGGTTTGATCAAGTTGGTCGGTGCTCAGAACCGAGACGTCGTCTTCGTCTCGAGTTTGATGACCGCGGGCCCAAGTCGAGCCCTGCAGTTCCCCTCGTGTCGAGACTCTGGGTTTCGCATTGCACAGCGCAGACGCGGGAAAGGCACTCATTCAGGGAGACCGCCCTGCGGCTGAACCCCAAGAGCAATTGCTCTGGTGGAATAAGCCCCCTGATCCAGCAACGTTGTCGAGGTGCATGCACAACACAATACGCAGTGCCTCCAGAAGCCGGGATTCCAAGACGGCACGTGCTAGGCAGATCGACAGCGGCCATGCTCTCCAGGACGATCAAACATCGGCCAAGTTTATCCAGATCCCATCTCCGCGGTGCTGGGTTACGGCATCCAAGTCAGGCTGCCTGCCCGCTCAGCCTCGGCACATGGAGCCAGAGGCCGGTTGCCTGCCGCCTTCTGTACGACGTCGGCGCACGTTGTGTTTGACTGGCGTGAGATTTGGCGCCACGCCTTCCAATCAGTCATGGGAAACTCTGGGCGCGTGGCTTGCCGGCTGGCACAACTCGCCGAATGTGCAGACTTGTCGTATCTCGTACCCCACGGAGTGATACTCCGCATTTGTGCACGACACTGCCGCCGCCATCCTGACCTAGCGCAGCAAGGGCCTCAGGAAAGAAGCTGCCTGTTTTACATGGCATGGCTGCTCAGGGACGCAATACCTGGTGCCTAAAAGCAGAACGGTCGAGACGGTCTAGCGTCCGTGTGCGGCCCCAATTGCAAACGAAACAAGGCCAAGCAGACCTGCGTTTGTCCTCTCTGACGGCTGCCAGATCTTGCGGATCTCCCGTCGGGGCGGGGAGCAAAATGGCTTGGCTAGTCGCTCCACAAAGCCAGGTCTTGTCTCCCTTGACTCCACCGACGCCTTGTGTCTCGGAGAAATTCCGTAAACCCCTGCCACAGGTCCCATGGGTAGGTACTTTGTGGGTATGCACGAGTGTCGCACCCAGATGGTATCCGTACTCCCTTCAGTCTTGTCCGGAGTACAGGGCTCACCCCGACAGCAGGCAAGAAGCTCAAGTGCGGGCGTCGCCGGTAATTCAACCTTCGGTTTCTTCACTAAGCATACGGATACAGCCATTGGCCATGGATGAGGAAAAAGTAATAAAAGCAGGGGCAGGGGAAGTGGAAAAGCGCTGGTGGAATCTAACCGCAGAGCCGCCGAGACACGAGGCGGTCGCGTTGTTGTCAGCCGCCCGAGGGCCCGTCGTCGCCGGTCGCTAGCAAGGTGCAAGACGGGGGCCCTCGGAACGAACTCGCCATCTCTTATACGCCTTGGTCCCCTATCTTCCCCCCTGCAAGCCCTACCGAGCTGCTTATCCCCCTGCACCGACCCGTGGAATGCTAATGCGCTGTCACTTGTCACGAGGGCATGGAAGGGTTGACTGGCCATGGCGTCGAATAAAGGTTTTACAGGAGGAGAGAGCATCACGGTGCAGGGCTCTCTGGGCTCCTAACCATGACGGAAGCTACGGCGCGCCATGGGCACCGTTGCGCAGAAAGCTTATTACCATCCAATCCACACCACCTGCCTGTACGGATGTCTGACCGTTGGTGGCCAGATGTTAATCTGCTTTAGGGTACGGAGTACGGGCAACGTCTGAATAATTGCCTCTACGGCAGCCATCCGTACAGATACGCTCGGTCAACCCCGTCCCTGGCGCGCAGCTGGCCTCGTCATTGGGAATGGACAACAAGGAACTACGAAATACTTGGCAACGAGCGTTGAAGGCGGTAGGAAGCCGAAGCACCGTGGCGGACAGGAGGCTGGCTTAGCTCCTCGAAAGCGGACGCGATACCTGGGCGGGCGTGGCGTCCGCATGTCCCGCCGAACAACACCTTTTAAGCTACCATGCCAAGGAGAGAAGAAGGAAAAGGACCGGTGTTGGCGCGGTGCTTCCGTAGAGTATGGATAAGTATCCGTAAAGTGGGATAAATACTCTGTACAGCAAAACGAGAGAGAAAAAGAACGAGTGAGACATCTGGGCCCAGCAAAGACGTCGAGGGCAAGACAGGTCTGTCAGACACATGAGACGCGAGAGGGGGGTGCGCATGTGCCTTGCGGGAATGTCTTGAGATGACGTAGTAGGTGTGAGTTAGTGATGGGTGATGAGTGTGAACATGGGGTGTGCGTGATTGAATGATGAGTGCGTGGACGTGGTGGTGGTGGTGGTGGTGAGCGCAGATTGTTCGGCCAGGGGGCAGCGGAGCGCCGACGGGAGACGGTGAGGCCAAGGGGCGGGCTGGCGGCCTACAGTGCCAGCGCCTACGAAGTACTGCACCCCGTTTTCTCTGCGTGTTCTGCTGTTTAGTGTTTACTGTCTCCATCTTCTCCATGTTCGTGGACCCATGGGTCTTTTCCATGTTCGTGGACACGTGGGGTGAAGCGGCTACCGAGTTACGACCACGCCCTCAGAGGGACGACGACGACGAGGGATAGGGTATAAAGGCAGCAGCAGACGGAGGGCGCCGCAACTCTGCACGCGCTCCCTCTCCTCCATGGCCCGGAACCCACCGACGTCACCCGTCTCACTGCACAACCACGCATGCGGGTGGGGGAAAAATCACGCCCCTTTCACGCCGAATCTCCCACCCGCTACGGAGTGTAGAGCCTGCTTCCAGCGAAATGCATCGCCCCCTTTGCTCTAAGAAATGCGATTTTTTTTTTGGCAGAAGGTTAAGAGCCAGTCTGTCATGTCATGTAAAGCCTTTCTATTGGCTTTTGCGACCGTTGTTGCTAAGAAAGCGGCATTTACTTTCGTAGCTGTGGCCAAAGACAAGGGGCGTGTTTTTCTTCACCCGCCTGCCACCAGGGGTCGAGGCATGGCGCGTCAATGTGCCTGTCTCTCAATTGTCTCGATACCTAGGACTGCACTGACCGATGGCTGCCTGCTTGCTGCCAGACTCGAATCAACCCCCTTCGACACCACGCGCGAAAAATTAGTTACCTGCTCCCTCGTCGAGACCCCAAAGCTGCCGCCCTGCCCAAGACGAGCGATGCCTGCCCCCCGTCCGACGGGCTGGCGCAGCAAAGTGCCCCGGCAATCGTGTCCGTCGCCGTTGTCTGCCAGTTACCGGTCAATAACGCCCGTTTCGAATGCTTTCCACCTTCTGCTCACTTACGGCATCTTGAACAAAATCTCTGCCCCTATCCTAAGCGACTCACGTTGACTGCTCCCCAGCCCCTGTTCTCCTGTGTTCCCCTTTCCTCACAGGACAATGGCCAGCTCCGGCCTGTCCAGGCTGTTTTCGCTGAGGTTGGGGTAGTATGGCACCAGGGCATCCGCCCCCTGGACATAGGCATCGTTGTACAGTCGCCAGTATGGTGTCCGCACCTTTCTAGCCGGATGGAACAGGCCGGCCCAAACGTAGTTGAGCACAACGCCAGGGCCCACCGCCATACGGATGGCCTCAATCGCCTCGATGATGCGGTCGATGACGTGCGGGCTCGTCTCAAACAGGTTGGGGTACAGCAGGTTGAGCAGATGGACCATGGCGTCCTCACACCCCAGCCCTATAACCCCGAGCGCAATGTGCTTGACCACCGACGCCGCTGTCTGACGGTGCACCTGGTCGCGGTCGATGAGGGCGTCCTCCAGGAGCGGTGTGACTGCGTAGACGTAGTCCTTGCCCATCTCGCCGATGTATTCGAAGAGGAACGAGAGGGCCTTGAGCACGCCGTTCTGCACGTTGAGCTCCGGCACGCGATACTCGTTCATCAGCGCGGGCAAGACGGTGAATGGCGCGCAAGTCTCGGCCACGATGCCAATCGCCACGGCCGTGTTGACTCGAGACTGCCGTTCTTGCACCCGGAGGTTGCTCAGCAGCGTTGCCAGTACGTCCTGCGGGCCAATGGCCTTTGCGATGAAGCCAAACGTGTTATTGGCCGCTCGTCGGATGCCCTTCTTGTGCGCCTTGAGCATGTCGAGCAGCTCGAAGCAGATTCGCATCCACTCGCGAGCATTGACACACTCCGGGCCGCGGTCCGCCACACGGCCCACCAGGTCAATCGTGTTCTCCTGCACCTTCTCGTGGCGGTTGCGGAGGATGGGCGTCAGGCGAGGCAAAAGGTCCTTGATGGGCGGCTGCATCTGCGCGATGCCCACGACGGTGACAATGGAGCGGAGGGCCCCCAGGATCGAGCCCAGCACCTCGGGGTACTCTTCACCCAGATACTCGTACAGCACGACGCCAAGTTTGCCCATGAGTTCGTCCTCGCCACACTGCTTCATCACCATGGCGATCCGGGAAATGAGATCGGCCGCCTGCTGGCGAACCGTGGGCGACTTGTTGTTCAGGCGCCACAGGATGGTGCTCGTGATCTGCGGCAGATAGTCGACGCAGCGATCTCCCAGGGCGTTGACCACGGAGCCAAAGCCGTTGAGAATCACAAGGTCCTCGACGCTCTGCTCCTGGAACGTGTACAGGATACCATCCATCAGGAGCTCCTCCAGTCGCTTGTCGATGTCGGCAGCTCCCAGGCTTGTGACCACCTTCTCGGTCGTTTCTACCGTCATCTTGCGGTAGGCTTCGCTTTCGTCCTTGAGGTTGTCGACGATCCTGTTAAGAATCTCGCCGACGCCCACCTTTTGCCCGACGTCAACCGTCGTTTCCACCACCTGCTTGTAGTTGCGCTTGTCCAGGGCCATCCGCTTCACCCAAAAGTTTTTGAAAAATTCGTCGAGGACGTGCTCCTTGAGATAATCGCTGCTTACGCCCTTGGTAGCGGCGCACTGAGAAACCACCTTGAGCACGACCTTTTTCATTTCTTCGTCGGGCGAAGAAAACTCGCGCAACACAATCTCCATGATCTGGGTCGTGTAATAGTTGGCATATTCCTCATCCATCAGGGGAATGATGTATCCAACAGCCTTGAGGTACGCGGCGAGTCCCTTGCCTCGCTGCTTGCGCGCACCGGTCCAGAGAGGGTTCAGGATCTCGTCGAAGCTCTCGATACCGTAGGGGTTGGACGCCTCAGCCAACGCAGCTATGGCGAGACTGGTCACTGTTCTGATCTTGGTCTGATCGTCGCTGAGGTTCGGCGCGATGCAGTCGACCAAGCCCTTGAGGTGAGGCAAGACGGCGCATCCCATGAGGATGGCAATCTGCTGTACAATCTTAACTCCGGTGTGCCTGGCGTGCCACGACTTCTTGCTCCGGCAGACTGCTCTCAGAAACGGCAGCATTGCGGGAATAGAAAGGGCAGATGCCACGACCGAGAATGCCCTCGCCGTCGTATTCCGCACGTAATCGTCCACATGGTCAATGTCCGGCCGCATGACACTAATCATGGTTGCGAGGCCCGCGGCTTTGGCAACGTTTGAGATGATTTCACGGCCTTCCACTCTGGCGTAGTAGTCTTGGTCAATGAGCAGCGGCTCAATGACGACGAGGATCTTGTGCACATAGGGGCGCACCAAATCGTCGAGTTTGTAGAGGATACGGTCAATGACCTTGACCAGGAGATGGCGTTCCTGTTCCTCGAGCGTCTTCTCCATGAGCAGAGGGAGGATCTGCGCGAACAGAGGCCCTGGTCCGAATTGCCGCGCATTGTCCGTAATCTGACGAAGAGCAGTCTTGCGCATAGGCGGGGTTCCGTTCTTGATCTTGAGCAACAGCTTCATGATCTTCCTCTCCTTTAGCTCGTCCACCGACAAGCTACTCTCCTCGGTGCCGTCATTGAGCTTTCCAAAGTATGTCATGTCCTCGGGCTTGAGAAACTGCAAGTCACCGACGCCCGAGATCTCTGCCGGCATCGGTTGGCCGCCCAGCCGGGTTTGTTCAGGGTCTTGCATCATAAACCCCGTCTGGGGAGCTGGCGTGGCCATGATCCTGTGAGCCGGCGCGCGGGCTTGCACGAATCCAGGCGGAAACTCGAGAACTTTGTAGCCCTGATCTTCTCCTGGCAAGAGCAGGTCTAGCTCCTCGTCGCTGAGCGGCATGTTGCGTCCCACTTCGGTACCGAAAACAGCCGTTGGCATTGCCGGCATTTTTGTTGGCTGCGCGGGAGTTGCGAGCCCTTGGTTGCCCATGGGCGTCGCAGATGGCGCTTGATCCCAACGAGAGCGCTGCTTGGCAGCCTCGGACCCGGCAAGGCCCTGCACAGAGGGAGCCTCGTCCCATCTGGACCGCTTCGACTGTGCGCTGACGGCGGACTCGGGCTGTGCCTGGCTGTCACTTGGTTCCGAGGAGATGTCCCATCTCTTCTTGCGTTTGCGGCCAGCAGTCACTGCAACTGTGGAGCCAGCTTCGGCGTTCTCCTTGTCCGGATTCTGGAGCGTGGGCACGGTATGCTCATCATCGGCTGTGTCACCCTGCTTGGCCTGAATCGCTTGTCGTACGCGCTCCTCTTCTCTCTCGAGCTCTTGGCCCTGCATGATTTCCCGGTATGTCGTGCCATTTTCGGCCGCGCCCGCCTGTCGATTCTTGGCGAAGGGGTCGGCCCTGGTTGGCGTTAGGACGCGGTTGAAGCGGCGCTTCTGGTAGTCCGTCTCGCGGTCGATGATGCGACCGCTCTTTTCTCCCCGGTCGGCCAGAATATCGTCTTCCTCAACGCCATCCCCTCGAGCAAACTCGTCGATCATTTCGCGGGAGGCAGTGTATTGCCCGACCAAGCGGCGAGTCTTGTCTTGACCCGCATCGTCGTCGTCGTCATCGTCGCCCATGGGAAGAGACGTGTGGTAGCCTGAAAACTTCTCACCGCCATCTCGTTCGTAGAGCTCATTGTCAGCACTGTCGGTGAGCTTCTGGCGTGTTGCGTCGGAGCGCTGAGTCGAGAAGTCGGAGCCACGCGAGCTCTTCTTTGCTGCGGCCGAGGCATTGCGCTCGCGCTGACGCTTGGTCACGGCTTCGAAATCGGCGTCGGACATTTTGCCTCGGCGGCCCTGCTGCTTCAACCCGGTTCCAAGTTGCAAGGTGCGATCCGAGTGTTGTCGTTGCACATGGATGGGCAGCCTGGCGGAGGTGGTCGAGTTGGTAGGGGAAGAAAGGAGCCTTTGCCAAGCCTGGCCTCGTAGTGGGCGGCAAAAAGTTTGGGGGTGCTAGGCCCGACGTTTAGCCGAAGAGCCTCTAGCCAGTCACGTCAGGGAAGCCAGCTGCAAGCATGCGGCAAGGCTGGCAGCCTGGAACCTCGACCAATTGTCTCCACTCGCAATGCCAAAGTCTGTGGATGCAAATATTCGGCAACTGATCGCCGACTTACTGTATTCCCACAAATCGAACCGAGAGTTTCACACAGCCAATGATCGACCCTCGTCGTCAAAGATTCCGAAAACAAGAGACCGTCGAATTCCTTCAGGGAACAGGGCTGCACGCTGGCTCAGACCCTCTGCCGTGTCCGTCTCCGCTTGACAGCTCTATCAACGTCCAGAGCCGTCCCGTCCTCTGTCTCTTCAACTTTGACCTCCGTCTTGACCTCCGCCTTGACCACGGTCTTCCTCTTGCGGGTCCCAACCACCGCTTTCCCTTCACTCGTTTGCGTTTCCTCGGCCCCCTCCCTTTTCACAGTGCGATTCGAAAATTCTCGAAGATCGGCTGCAAAGAGGACGGAATGTGCCCAGCCCGCATACTTGCCCCAAATATCCCGGAAGTGATCCCCAATCGCATCATACAAGGCCTTGTTGAAAGTCTTTGTTTTTGACTTGCCAAACTTGTAGTCCCTCTGGGCAATCTGCCAAACGTGAGTGTCGACTGGAACAGACTCACCCCAGCCGAGCCCCATCAGGCAAACGCAATCTGCCACCTTGGGCCCAACACCCGCCAGAGACAGAAGCGCCTCGTGCGCTTCTTTGTAGGTTGCTCTGGGGCCCTCTGGCACCTCGTAGTCCCTTGGACCCCGGTGTTCGGGGTTTCGCAGCGACTCCAGCCACAGTGCTGGCTTCTCCAGAGCCACGACCCGGGCTGTCTGGGCAATGTACTTGGCCCGATATCCGAAGCCAAGCTCCCTCAAATGCGACTCGACTTCCTTTCCAATCAGTGAGTCGGGAGTCGGGAAATCGTGGAGGGCTTCGTCTCCAACATGGCCGATAAGAGGGCCGTAGTGTTTGCACAGTTTGTGAGCCTAAATATCGTCAGTCCCGTTGACGGTGCCCCTCGTAGGCTCATGCATACCATTTGGGATATGCGGCTTATATTGTTGTTGCTACTGCAGATGAAGCATAGAAGCGCTTCCCATGCGTCCTGGCTAAGAATACGCACGCCGGTAAAGCCCGGTGCTCTTCTGCCAAAGTTGGGATCCGCCCTTGACCACTGCTCGTACAAGGCACCAAGGTCCAGATCCAGGCTAAAGTAGCGACGCAGGAGATCCTCCGTGTCGTCTCCCCTCTGGACTTCAGCATTCAAGGCCGAGGGGGTTAGGGGCCATGGGGGAGGGTCTGGCCAAGTCACTCTATAGTGCAGATGGAGATGATCCTGCCTTAGAGACAGGATGCGCCCATGCAAAGTGCTTGTCCTGTAGTGGCCGGTCAGCATATGAAAGAGTGGGCAGTGGCGAGGCAAAGCTGTACCATTCACCATTGATCTTGCGCCAACGGAAAGACTGCCCGCATCGCAGCGTTGTGTCGATGCACAGCTCGGAGAGGCTCACGGGTAGTTTGCGCCATTCAGGCGCTCCTTTGATGACCATGGCCGTGCGTGACCTGATCCAGTGGCAGGAGCAGGGGAACTGCAAATGAAGCTCACTGAGAATGTCAACCTCAAGTCTTGTGCAGGCTTCTCAAGTCGGGTTAGTATTTGCCTCATTGCCTCGCCCCTGATGTTAAGAGTTCTGATACTGGGCGGTACGAACTTCAAAGTATCGCGCAGATCGTACTCAGCCACTTGCCCCAGGCCTGAGGCATGTATATGTGGCGGTGCATCCGCCAAGCGCTGCAGCTGCCAGAGGAGTCTGCTCGCAGTCCGCCCCACAAAAACTCCACAACCAGACTAGCACCAAATCCGCTGGAAAAGCGCCAGCCTCGCCTGCAGCTTTGGCTCACCGTTTCAAAACATTTCATCGCCAGCATCATCAACGCGAAGCGGCTCACTGACTCCTTGCCCTCCCGGCAAGACGTCGCAAACGATGAACGGCGACAGCTACTCCGCTCGAGGTATGTCCCAAGTCTGCTCCCCACCAACTACTGAGAGAAGCTGGTGATGACTGACCTTGCCCCTCGTTGGCCATTCAGATGGGCGGAGAGGCCGAGAATTTGCTGTTCGTAAAAAGCCTCACGAGATTTTGTATGAAATAGTCAAGCTGATTGCCGCCAAGTCCTCGCGAGGGGACCGTGATGAGCGTCGCGATCGCCCCCGAGATCGTGACCGAGACCGCGACCGAGACCGTGAGCGCGAGCGCGAGCGCGATCGTGATCGAAACCGCGAGCGTCGACGGTCGAGATCTCCCGAGCCTCGCGGACATCGTCGAGAAGGCGGAGACTTTGACGCATACTCCTCGAGTCGAAGCCACCGAGATCGTGAACGCGAAGATCGATACTCTGGCCGTGAGCGTCGGGGGGACCGCGAATGGGACCGCGACCGAGGCGCTCCCCGCCGGGATTTCCGTCGAGACGATGAAGAACGGCCAGCAAGGCGAGACCGAGACCCCCATGACGACCGTCGACGGGCCGGCAGAGATCGCCGAGACGACATGGGTCCTGCAAGGCACGAAGCTCGGCGGAGCCCAACTCCAGTCGTCAAACGGGAGCCCACTCCAGACCTGACCGACGTCGTGTCCATCCTGGAGCGCAAGAGGAGAATGACTCAGTGGGACATCAAACCCCCGGGCTATGAGCTCGTGACGGCCGAACAGGCCAAGCTGTCTGGCATGTTCCCTCTTCCAGGTGCCCCGCGACAACAGGCCATGGACCCCACAAAGCTGCAAGCTTTCATGAACCAGCCCTCGGGGCAGGTTTCGAGTGCGGGGTTGAAGGCAAGCAACTCTCGCCAGTCAAAGCGACTCATCGTCAACAATTTGCCGCCTGCGGTCACCGAGGACGCCCTTATGTCCTTCTTCAACCTGCAGCTCAATGGGATGAATGTCATCGAGGCAACCGATCCATGTGTCCTTTGCCAGTTCTCCAACGACCGATCTTTTGCGGTCCTTGAGTTCAAGAATGCCATCGACGCAACTGTTGCGCTTGCTCTGGACGGCATTTCCATGGAAGCCGACGATGCTGCCAATGGCTCCTCCAACCCGGATATGTCAGGATTGATTATTCGGCGCCCCAAGGACTACGTGATGCAGGCCGTTCCCGACGAAATGGCTCACGACCCCAATACCGTCTCAACTCACGTTCCCGATACCGTGCACAAGCTGTGCATCAGCAACATTCCGGCCTTTCTTACCGAGGACCAGGTCATTGAGCTTCTCGCTGCTTTTGGCAAGCCCAAAGCCCTTGTTCTGGTCAAAGACCGAAGCACCGAAGAGTCACGGGTAAGATCAAGGACATCGTTATCCCATCTGTTCATCTCAATTAGATGCAAAGCTGACCATGACAGGGCATTGCTTTCGCGGAGTACCTGGAGCCGACTGCTGCCAACGAAGCCGCCCTGAATACTCTGAATGGAATGGACGTCGGGGGGCAGAAGTTGAAGGTGACCAAGGCGAGCTCCGGCTCTACCCAGGTTGCCAACTTCGACGTGGGCATTACGGCCATCAGCGGCCTCGCGTCCCAAATGGCCAGCGAGACGGACAAGGGCCGTGTGGTTCAACTTCTCAACATGGTCACGCTCGAGGAGCTGTTGGATAACGAGGAATACGAAGGTTTGTTTGAATCTCTCTACAGCCCGCTGTCAGCCTTTCTTGCCTCGGCCAGAGAGCAATGGTCGCTACACTTCATTTCTCCCCTCCCTTGCTCTCATTCTCCTGCGTACTTGCAAATGCTGACATTTCCTTGCAAAGAAATTTGCGACGATGTGCGAGAGGAATGCACCAAGTTTGGCAAGGTGCTCGAGCTGAAGGCTCCCCGACCGACTGGCGGCAGTCGGCAGTCTGCTGGCGTTGGCAAGATCTTTGTCAAGTTTGACTCGACAGAATCTGCGCACAACGCGCTCACAGCTTTGGCGGGACGGAAGTTTGCGGACAGGACTGTCGTCACCACGTATTTTCCCGAGGTAAGTTGTCCATGTGTTTACCGGTTGTGATATTGACAGGCTGACCCCTACACAGGAGAATTTCGATGTCGGCGCTTGGTAGAGGGTGCGGATTCTGGACGTCATGGCAAGCGTCTCGGGCATACGAGGCAGCTTGGGTACGCGACACGACAGGGAGAGGCACGGAAAGAAGAGAGCCAACAAGGAACAGCCAAGAAATGAGTGTCAGGCATTACTTTTGACATGTATTTAAGGTGTATAACAGACACAATCAATCGGAAACATGAGGGACCTGGACTTCCTATCACTAACGTATTGGTGAATTTTTGACGTGTAAACGGTGGTTGTGAGGAGGTTAAAGTTCTACTTTTTCTTGCCGCGCGGCAGACCAATGACACTATGAATTGTTTCGGTGTCAGCAAAAAGACTCGGCATAAATGGCGGGTGATAGAGACGGATCCAAGCGTTTGAGCATAGGTCAGAAGTCCAGTTCATTCATCGAGCCCGAGAGCCCTAGCATAAGAGGTACCAGAAAATAAAGTAGTGTTTTATCATCACGAAAGTCGCCGCGCAAGGAAAGAAAAGTCTCAAGAAAATTTGGGAGCAAGTGAGAACATACCATTACAGCCTTTGGCTAGAGAGTCCTTCAGAAGGCATCATCGCAAAGTCATTGCTGTCGCGATATGCAGTGGCGACGGACCAATCCGAGAAAAAGGGTTGGGTGGATGGGATTGTGAGAAGAAGATTCTTCAGGCCCGAAAAGACTGCGGTGAGGGACATTTTTTCCAGACCACGTGATGCTAAAGCGTCGAGCCTGCGACTAGCGCCCACCCACTGCCTCTGCCCTAACTAAGCGAAAATCTTGGTGCTCCACACAATCCTCGACAACGTGCCGCTTCACGAACTTGCACCGACACTCACCTTCTCTCTTCGCAGCACCACAACACCGCCAACATGGGTAGACTTCACAGCAACGGCAAGGGCATTTCTGCCTCGGCGATTCCCTACTCGCGCGCTCCCCCGGCGTGGCTGAAGACCACCCCCGAGCAGGTTGTTGAGCAGATCGGCAAGCTCGCCAGGAAGGGTGCCACGCCCTCGCAGATTGGCGTCATTCTGCGAGACTCCCACGGCATCGCCCAGGTCAAGATTGTCACCGGTATGCTTGTTTGCCCCGAATTGTGGCTCGCAATTGGCGACGAAGACACGAGTGCGCGCGCGAGCATTTCACTGACGCACTCCTAGGCAACAAAATCCTGCGAATCCTCAAGTCCTCCGGTACACCTCCCTGAAGCGAACTCGAGCACAATACGGCGTTGGATACGCATGCATGCACATGGAGATTTTCTCCCGCCTCTGTACGGTCAAGGCTGACAGAGTGATGAAAACAGGCCTCGCCCCCGAACTTCCCGAGGACCTGTACATGCTCATCAAGAAGGTACATTCATGGAGAGAGGCGATGCTGGCTTTTGGATGACTGACCATGTGACGCTGTAACCCAGGCCGTCGCCGTCCGCAAGCACCTCGAGCGCAACCGCAAAGACAAGGACTCTAAGTTCCGCCTCATTCTCATCGAGTCGCGGATCCACCGCCTGGCCCGCTACTACAAGACTGTCGGCGTCCTGCCTCCCACCTGGAAGTACGAGTCGGCCACCGCCAGCACCATTGTCGCATAAGGAGGGGATACTCTCCGGCTCACTTGGGCCTGGTGACGGTGGTTTTCCTGGGTCCTGGAGTTGGGGGGAATTTATGGAAAACCTGCATTTAGAGAGCCTCTATGCTTCTTCCCGAGATCTTGCTGGCCATGGGGTAGTCGAACAGCTCAGAATTGATAGCGGTTGACTACAAAGTTCAGTAATGGATGTCCCAACCTGGTATCTGTCGTCTCATATTGCACTTTGAAATCCGCGAAACGCCAGTCTATGCAATCCGTTTCCTGCCGTTGCCCAGCGTTCGAGTGCGAATCAAGCCTGACCGATTTTCTCGAGTTCCTTTGATTTTTGTATCAAGAATTCGCCCAGGACTCGTAGTGGATCGTGGGGTCTGGCTTGAGTGTGAGTCGATGAGGCAACACTGCGCTTCCGCATGGCAACTCACTGGTCCTTGGCCAATTGCTTCATTCCCTCGAGCAAGACCCCAGTGACCTTGGTATTCAGATATCGTCGGGTGGGATCGCCATGGGGCACCGCCTCTGAAGGCATCGTCAAGTTCGCGTCCGGGTGTGCCGAGGCAGCGCGAGAGCCTTGCGCTGGAGTTCCGGTTCGGGCTGGTGCAGGCGACTTTCCCGGCGTGTCAGCGAAGCGCTCCATAACCACCGCGAAAAATCTGTGGGAAGGAGGCAGAACTTTACCGCGGCTTGTTCAATGGGCGCGTCGGACATGACAACGTCCTTGTGTGGTGTGCCTGGTGGTGCAGTCGGCTGTGTTTGTTGCGTCAAGTTGGTGCCAATCGCGGCATCGTTTGTCGCGGGGACCTGCGGGACCTCCAGCATCGTTTCCGGCTTGGAGACATCGTCTGCCATAGTCTGGATTTGGCCGCCGGGCAAGCGACAGCGAGTTTGGTCAGAGGAGGTGAACGCAATCCCGGCAGTTGGTCAAGCTCCCACCCACCGGCTGAATCTCGGGCAGACTAGGACTTCAGAGTCCACTGGTACAGAGTACACTCAGGGAAACGCTCCACGCGGTCAGCTGACTTCGTGTTTCGACTTCAGTCGGCCGCTCCGCCGTTACGCGCCGCCCGTGCTCGCCATGTTCCACGTCATCTGCCGCCGCCAATACCCGGTGTATGCTTGTCATGTCGAGACGAAGGCTGAATCAGTATGGATGCCTTTGTGACAAAGCTGCCGGACACTGAAAAAGACGGCAACGGAGTCGGGCTGGTACCGAGTCACGGTTCTGCTCCGGGAAGACCGCCGAAGCGATTGAAGAGAGACGTTATCGACAGCTCGGCATCAGGAGGAGCAGAAGAATCCTCGTCGGAAGACGATGCCGCGAGAAGAACCGAAGATTACGGGAGCACCAGCGAGAAAGAGAACACGCGGCAAAAGCATGGCATCACCGATGTCGAGAACGTTTTACCACCAACGCAAAATGACGACCACGCCATCGAAGAGTATGAGCTTGCAAAGTCATCGCAAACAAGCTCTCATGAGCGTGGCGCAAATGAAACAACGCGGCCATTGTGGATCAAAGGAAGGAGCTCCATCTACGTCGATGCCTTCAATCTCGCCCTTGATACCGTGCTCGAGGAGGAGTCGCAGCTCTTCAACGAGAGGGAAATGGAGGTATTTCGACGGTGGAGAGACCTGGACTATGAGTCCCAATTTCTGTAGGTCGTGCCACCTCCCCTGTCCATGCCAATGTTGACTCTGGCCAGCTATGTTCGATTATTTCTTCGCAAAACTGCGGCGTGGCATCGGTCCAGTCGCTTGGGATACCACGCAGATGTCTCGGATCCGCTGGTGGCGATTGAATCGCTGCAGAAAACACGGCGACTCCCACGGACTGAAGCCGAGGACGCAAAAGATCTGATCCCTGGCCTTAACCTTGAAGAAAACAGCCTCGAGGAGTCTTTCACTTTCGCCGACGCATCGGAGGACCACATCACGACGGTCGATGAAGCAGCACCGCTACTGTACCTTGACGAGCTCAAGGCCTTGGCTAAGGAGGCGAAGGTTCAGGGTCGGAACAAGGCGGAACTAATCAGAGGCCTCTGCCGGACGAGCCAGCAGCAAGCAGGGTTGGCGGCCGTCGGGCTCAGTCGGCACAACAGCCGCGACTCAAATGCGTCCACAGAGGCCGACTCGCGCAAGACGAATGGCGCAAGCAGGCTCCGTAAGGAGGATTCGAGCCGGGAACAGCACTTTTTGGATAAGATGTTGTCCATGATTGGCCCATGCGTTCGCCTGTCGCCGGCCACGTTCAAGCTCTTTGAGCGTGTGCACCTCGTCTTTTACAGATCGACGGAGTGGACAGAAAAGTCACTCACGACTATCATTCTCGCCAAGATTGCGCGGCGGAGTTTCCCCGAGTACATAGTGTGCCGCACGTCGACTATCTTTGCGTCTCGCATGCACCTTTTGGAATTCGAGACTGCCATACGGATGGAGGCCGAGGTGGACATCATACTGGAATTCAACGGCACTCCGAGCGAAGCAGATTTGCAAAAGATTGTCCATGTCTTTGAAAGAACGCACCCTCGATGGCAGAGATTTGTTGCGGAGGAGCAGGACAAGGAGCGGACAGTGTACGAAATGGGTGAGGGGGCGTACTTGAGAAGGTTCAATCCCGCCCACGCCTACACTCGCATCATTCACAAAGCAATGTATGTGTTTGGGCGGCGCAAGGAGCACAGGAAAGAACACAGCCTGCTGATTGAGCTGCTGGGACAGAAGCTATTTCACCTAGCCCGAAGGGGCGCCTGGTATCAACGCAAGGCTCTTTTGGAGGAACACTACATGCCGAAGCCAGACGGGGATGCCCTTCCTCACGATCTGGAGCACCAGAAGAGGCACTGGAAGCGAATAGCCGTGGCGACATGCGAGACTGGCCTGCAGGACCCCGACTGCCACCTCATATACCACTATGATCTCCAGAAGCGGCTGCTGAAGCTGGAGAAGAAGCTGCGCATCCCTCGGCGGCTGCAGCATGACTTTGGCCACGTCCGCCTTGCCGAGCCCCTTGAGATGACAATCGAGGGGATTCAGCTCAAGCGAGACTTGGCGCCCAAGCCTGGTGCCCAAGCTGCCTCGACCAAAACGGTATGGCTGGACGAGCTAGACTCTGGAGGCGAGTGCAGCGTAGAAGATATGTGTCTGAGCCACTTTCGGCGGCAGGGCTGGAAGGGGTACCACGCCGAGGGGGGCGTGTTGCGTACGCTCTTCGCCTATCTCTTCTACGACGTACTCTTTCTGTACATCCCCAACGTGTTTCAGACGGCCTACCAGACGTGTCCGCTGGACCTACACACGGACGCCTTCTTCCCGGCGCGGGCCTCGGAAATCAACCACCGTCTGGTGGAGATTGCCAACGGGGAGGGAGAACGGCTCTTGCGTGAGGTATGGGAGCGGGAGCACGAGCGACGGACGAGCGTGGTTGGCCTGAACTGGGACTTTGACGTGGAAGACGTGGCCGAGCTGGTGCGGTGCTTTGAGGGCAGCGCTCTGTCAGCGATTTGCAAGGTGATGGCGCAGGAGTACAAGCAGAGAGGTGGAGGCGTGCCGGACCTGGTGCTGTGGCGGAGCAAAGGGGAGGAGGAGGAGGAGGAGGAAAAGAGGGGGCATGCGGCGGAGGCTGGCCCGGGAGCGCGGCGCGGCGAGGTCATGTTTGCCGAGGTCAAGAGCGCCAACGACCGACTGAGCGACACACAGAGGGTATGGATCCACGTCCTGACGGGCGCCGGGGTCAAGGTGGCGCTGTGCAACGCGGTTGCCAAGGAGGTTAGGGAAGTGGATTAACGGCCGCGTTTGCGAACACATGCGGAGCAACTGTACGGTATGTGATGCGCCCAGGGTGCTTTACCGTAGTTGCAAGCAGAACTGTTTACCTAGCAGATCCAACACCACCATCCACATACTGTACAACATGGTGGAGGTGCTTGGAAAGGGGGGCGCCCTTGGGAGAGGGGGAATGTCGCATTGGGGTTTGCTTGTGGCCGGCTGCCGCGCCACGGGCCGTTCAGATGCGTACAGTAGAGCGTATGGATGTATTTGTACGGCGTTTGAGTAATTATCGGGCCGGCGAGCTTGGAAGGATTTACACGCAAGTCTACGTGTGTGTGAGCATGACGTGGACGGCCTCGCGTGGGCGATTGTGCAGTGACGGGTTTTGCGATGCACCTGCCTGCTGCCTGCTGCATGTTGCGCGGTGCAAGTGGAGATGGGACACGAAGGGATGACGACGGAAACGCAGTTCGCGAGAGACTGGGAGAGCGATGGACCGGCCGGCGTTGTTCGCGCCGAGGTCCGGGCCGAGAAGCTAAGATGCAGCCGGAGCACAGGGGGAGGGGGGTGGATGCTGAGGCAAAGATACGGAGCACTCGGAGGCCCCCGGGTAATTCCACAGACGGTGTCGTGGAGGGATGAGATGAGATGGGAGATGGGGGCCTTGTTTCAGGAAAACCAAAGGCGACGAAGAGGGATCATGGAGCCATGCACGGCACAGGGTTCTGTGTGAGCGAGGGCGTATAAGTCCCTCTCATAGCGGCGCTGGAGGGGGGAAGACAATACATGGGGTTTATTTATCCATCTTCTTCTTCCCCTTTGCTCCCCTGGGCCCGGAACGCGCCGAGCGTCTGCAAGGAGAGTACCTGGTGCCAAAGTCGGGCTTGCGTTCGGAGAGGCGTCTCCTTGCCGTGCACGCTATTATTGCTTCTGCGTCCGAACAAGGGGAGTCCGTCGTCCCCGAGCATGCGTATGCCCGGTCACGGTGCCTCTTTGGACTCTTTTTGGGGGACGAATCGAAGCGGGCTATGCTGGGCCATGTTCCTGGGAAAGACGGGCCTTCAAGATGGACAGGGAGGGAAAGGGTTAATAAGAGCATGTCTCGAGAAGTAGAAAAGGCCCCAGGGGGACGTCTCTGCCCTGTCCCGAGCGGTGACGACCCGCCTTGTCTTGTTTCTCATGCACATACAAAGAAACCATAACATGACACAGGCACATGCATATCCGTACAGGCGTGTCCGTGTCGAAGAACAGCGCGTCGGTTCCGCGTCGTCCTGTCCTCTCAACTCGCCTGCCTTGGAAGCCGCATGTACACGCCAAGTACCGCCAGGGCTCACGAGGCAGGGCGCTTAAGCATCCAGCGCAGCAGCCAATCACGGCAACGGGCGCTCCCCCCGGGGGGCGGCGGGTGGGGCGTGTGACGGGGCGAGCAGCACACGCTACTGCGCCGGCCAATCACACGGCCCCGCCCCTTCCCGGCGCTTAACGGCCGCCGACTGGGCGGCACCTGGAGGTACATGCGGTCTTGCACCGTGTCACAGGACACTTCGTGTGCATCTGTTGCAGGTACGCTCATCTGACTCTAAAAACAGAACGCCTGCACTCAAAGCGCATCGTCGCGGAAGCCTGCAGACAGCTTGTCGTAGGCCGGGACCAGGGGTCTGGGTCGCCAATCAGCACGCACGCTTGATTGTACCTCGGTGTGCTCTGGAGGGGGCGGGGCAGCGGGGGTGGACGCGGTAAAGTTGGGGTGTGCAGTTAGCGGCCCAGCACCCGCGCCTTCTGATACTCGGAAGGAAGCGAGCGGAACAAGACGACGAGGGAGCAGGTAATTCGCCAGGGCTCTTTACACTGCCCTTCTAAAGCTAGCATGTATATATATACATGTGTATGTGTGCGTGTGTGTACAGAGGCAATCGTCGATATCCAACCAAGGGTTGCGCCCACAAGGGCTGTCATTTCCAGGTGTACTGTATTAATTAATTACTGTACGAATTCTCACGGCGCCATGAACTCCCTTCTACCAACCACTGAACAGCCAACACCTCAATGACTTGCCGCACTCCGCGCCCGCTAGACTCGTTGCAGCCTGACATCCTCTCAAACCTCCCCGCCTCGAGACCACCTCCGCACATGGCCTCGCCGCTCGTCGTCGCCTTTCGTCATGGCGGTTACTCCCTATAGCCTCGAAAACGAAATCGATTCCTTCTTTAAATCGAGCACAACTGGAACAGGACAGCAGTGCCATGATTTCGCCATTTCTCGCGCTGGCGGGCAGCCTCGTCCTGTTCAGATACAGGGGACCTTCAGCTATTCCTTGACGGCTGGGACCAATGAGTCGAAGCTCTTCCAGTTTCGGGTCCACTACCGTCTCGGTTTGCGTCCAACTTGGGCAGAGTTCGCCAACGTCTCCCAGCACTCTTCTCGGGGGCACTTCCCTTCGTCCTTACTCACGGGGACCTTTGCGAGATGAATCTCCTCATCAACTCCGAAACCGGCAGCATCACGGGCATCGTGGACTGGGCCGAGGCCGGGGTCCTCCCGTTTGGCTTTTCCTTATGGGGACTTTAGAATGTCCTTGGCTTCATGGATTCTGAGGGATGGCACTACTATGACAACCGCCACGAACTGGAGGACCTCTTCTGGCAGGATTTTCTCAGACAAGCCCGCAATATCTCGGACATTGACCTGTAGTTCATCCGGACCGCGAGGATGGCGGGCTTGTTCTGTCGCCATGGCTTGATCTTCGACGGCAGGGCTTTCATGGGTGTGGTGAACCAAGCCAATGCTTCTTCCCTCGCCTATGTCGATGCCTTTTGCACCGCTGACGATTGGGCCGTACAGCGTGAGCCGGAAACAAGCCGGGTGGCTTGGAGAGAATACATGGGAATCGACTTGGTATGACGTCGACTCTGTCTTTGAAAAGGCTCCACGATGGGGCGGAGCTTGGACAAGGTTTCAGGGGAATCTGGAAAGAAGCATTCGAGACGAAGCATCGGTCCATAAAGCGGACAAGGTTTTGACGTGGCGGGGTTTGCACAACAGTGCTGGACATGACCCTGTAATTATTCGAGCAGAAAATTCAGCAACCGCAGTCCTGAGATCCCTCCCGACGCACACGAGACCATCTTGTCACCAGGCGCATAAACATATATGAAGACGCTTAGTAGATGCCATCCTCAGCCCGCAGTACATTCATGAGGAGATGCTCCTTCCTGATCCTCCCGTTAGTGAAGACCCGGTGAGTGTCCTTGATAGTCTTGGCGTGGCTTTGACTGGCCAGCTCTTGAAGGGGAACTTGTTGCACGTCCGGCTGGTCTCCGTCGTCAGGGAGAAGGTAGTGACTGTTCCAGCAAGGTGAAAGCATAGGACCTTTTCACCATATGGCTCAAGCATACGTCGGCGATTGATGGCTGCTTCAGCACCTGGACAGCGGGAGGAACCATGAAGGCCGGGGATGACAACGGGGGATTGGACAGTGACGGCCATGATGCAGACAACGGCGCCAACGGCCATCGGATATATCAAAAGAAAAAAAAATGCCGAGAGTGAAGTGCGGCAAAAGGCAACGAGCTACAAACGCAACCAGACCCGGAATCGCCCCTGACTGACCGGCAGAGCTCACCAGACTCATCACCACCACCACCACCACCACCAGGATGACCATCGGCCGCTCTGGCCACTCCGTTTCTGACACGGGCTACCTACAGCCAACGGCGGAAGCTCTGCCTTGACGCTGGTCCTCGACCCGTCCCACAGTCTCCCATTCCGTGTCTGACTCCAGCCATCCAGACGTGCGCCTACGGCAATGCACTCATCCGGAAGCCTGCATCTCGGCGCCCCCCTGGTAGACGCATGTACGTACGTACGGCTCTATGCAGTGATGCACTATATCTCGCCCCCCCCCCCCTCGTCGGCCGCCTGTAGAAAAGGAGAGCGTAAAGAAATACCTGCACGGCAAGACGACAGCCATCATGGCCGCCGCCATGCGGCCGCCAGCCAACCCCGTCACAGCAGGGCCACGACGACGACAACAACAATAACAACAAAAGAGCAGAACAAAGCACGCTCACGCGCGACTCGCATGTGCAAGCCCTTCACGTAGCCAAGCGCAACAAAAGAGGGGGCGTGGGCGGGACCTATCAGGCTGGCAGCCTTCGCCAAGGAAGCCCACTGTACGACACATTGCTTGCCTCGCCTGCCTTTGTGTGCTATGCTCCTGCTATTGTGCTTCTTGGGCTGATGGAATGGCGGTATGCAAGCTGACTGGTTGACACGGGGCATCCATATACACCCACCCATCTGCATCCATGTCATGACCAACTGTGGCAACTTTCACAAGGCAACGCGTCTTGATCCCCCCCCCTGCTCGACTCCAACAACCTCCCGCCTCTCTGCCGTGCAATCACCGCTGCAACCCCAGTGTCGATAAACTGCCGCCGCCCGCCGCGGCTGCTGGCGGCAGCAACTCCAAGCCATCCAGCACTCGTGACCACCGCATCCCCCACCTTCCTCTTCAGTCCTTGGTATCGAAGGGAAAAGATGGAGAGAAATGTAAACAACGCAGGAAAAAGGGAGAAAAGAAGGACAGAGCACCTGGCCGAGACAAGTCGGAACAAGAGTCAACATCAACGCCGTAAAACACCCCTCTTTGTCCCAAGTCTTTGCAGTAATCAAGTTCGACACAAGCCTCTCTTGGAGTCGACCTTGCATTAGTAAGAAAACAACTGGTCGTGGTTCCAAGCCATCCGCGCCAAGAGCAGCCTCCGTCATGATAGGTGCCGCTGCGGATCCCATATCAGGGCCAGCCCGAGAAGTTGCGTCTTCGTAGCCGTCATTCCGTGACATCGTAACGCCGATTCCGCCGGCACCTTGCGTCACTCCACCTTGCGTCGCTTGCCTCTGGGTGCCGGGTCCATCTTGGGCGTGTACGTGACGGTCCGGGTCACCACCTCTCGGATGTGCCGCACGCTGGTGCGCGAGGCCTTGTGCTTCTTGAGGTCGGCGAAGCGGGCTTGCAAAGCGGCGTCCCAGTCAAAGACGGGGCGGACGGAGCGGGCGCTAAAGGGCGTCCTGACGGCGCTGGCGCTGAGGGGAGAGTCGAAGTTGGAGACGGCAGGGCTGGGAGGGAGCTTCAGGCTGGGAAACGAGGCGGCGCCGATGGGGGGAGCCGACATTGGAACCAGAGGCGCGTATGGACTGGGCGGGACCACGGCCGAGGCTGTGCTTGGAGGCGTCTCCTTGGTGGCCGTGGTGGAGGTGGGCGAGGCAGACGAGGGGAGTGAGGAAGAGTCGTCAGCGGCAGACGAAGCCGAGGCCGAGTCGGGCGTGTCGTGGCCCGAGTCGGGCAAGGCGGGAGAGGCGGGAGAGGCGGGAGAGGCGGGAGAGGCGGGAGAGGCGAGGGACATGGCGCGGGAGAGGAAGTCGGTGTAAGCCGAGGGCGGGCTGATGGGCGTCTTGATGAAGTCGGGGTCGGGCTTGCAGAGGAAGTGGACGGCGGACAGAGGCGTGGCCGTGGAAGCCGACGTGACCTCGGAGGGAAAGGTGGCCGAGAGGGGCGTGGAGAGCTTCTCGAGCTTGGGTTTGACGGCCGGCATGGTGACGTCGACGACGGCAAGAGGTGCAAGGCGGTGGGAGAGGGGAGGAAGCAAAGATGGTGGAGAAGAAGAGGAGGAAGAGCAAGGCCGCCGACGACGAGGGTTATATCGCTATGGCCGAGGAGGCGAGTCGCGAGGGCCGGCGAGGGTGTGCGGGACCGAGGGGATGGAAGCAAGGAAAGACGGCGGTTTGCTTCTGCTTGGCGCCTTGTCTGTGACCGCGTATGTGTGAATGCGTGAATGAGAAGGGGGGGCGTCTGGCGGCAACGAGGAAGACTGCGTTTTGGATATGCGCCCGATGCAATGGTTCTGCCTGTCCGAGCACAGGGACAGGGACAGGGGCCGGGGGGGAGGAGAGGCTGAAGAAACGAGAGAGCAAGCGCCGCCGCTGCTGGAGGGGTTCGTGGAGAGCGAGATGCAAAAAGAAGGCAGCCAAGGAGGAGACGCGGGTGGAGGATGGGCGAGAGACCAGGGGAGGGGGAGTGTGTCTAGTGGTGTGCGTAGGCGCGTTGGGGGCAGGCATCAGCGGCTATGAGGCGGGTACTCCCAGGTACATACAGTAGATGGGTACCTATGTACCTACCTCTGCAGAAGGTGAGCCTGATGTCAGGTACGGAGTACTTTGCTCAAGTATCTTTTGTATGTGTTCTACCTTGATCTCTCTCCCTTTCCCTCTCTTCGTCTCTCTCACTCTCCCTCTCCCTCTCTCTCTCTAAACCCCCACATTTCAAGCCCTTCCATCCATCGCAGCCAGCCCTCTCCTCTCCTCTCTTCTCCTCTCCTCTCCTCTCCTCGTAGGTATTCCGCAGCTACTCACTCCTCCCTACGTGAGTGATTACCCTCTGCATCTGCGTGTCAGCGAGACGAGAAAGGGGGGCCGTTCGCCCGTCTCTGGTTGGTCGGCAACGGAAGCGCTCCCTCTTCGCGGCCATCGCCAGCAGCCAGCCGCTGATTGGCCCTCTGGGGCTCGAGGCACAGCCGACGGGGGGGAGTGCTGGGTCTTGGGGGGGAGCCAAGGAGAGGGAGAGGAGCAAGCCCAACGGGGGGACCTGCCGCTGCCCGATGCTGTACGGACACCGCCGTGGTATGTATGTACGGATATACAAGCCTGCTTTGCGTGAATACCTACATCCATCCATCCCGAGTGCATTCATGTACGAATTCCTAATAATTACCTACAGTGTCGTATGTATGTATGTATGTAAGCGGTGCCAAACCTCGAGTCACTCACTCCGTCGGCTCCGGCCGGGCCTTGCGGGGCCGACAGCCGGCAGATGCTCCTCTCCTCCGCCCTGGCCCGACGCCCACTCACCTCCCCCCCCCCAGCCATTGGCAGAGCCCATGACCTCGGAGCTGAAGACGCGGCGGCAGCGGCAAGCACAGCGCCCGTCCGGGGCTGCAGAAGAAGAGGGAGCTGCTTGCCGATGCAGCCTGATTGGCTCGCCGCCGACCTGTTTCGGTTTCGGTTGCCCATGGCTTGCTCCGTCGCTCCATCTCGACCCGCCAATCCGTCCAGTGACTCCTGTTGTCCAAGTAGTCGCGCGGCTCTTGATCCCAGTCACCAGACAGACAGACAGACAGACAAGACAGACAGACAAGACAGACTCTCGCCGCACTGGAGCGCGCGCCTTGGCAATCCCAACCTCTTCCCCCTTCCCTTCCCCCTCCCCCTCCCCCCAGGGGGGGCCGCCTGCCCCCGCTTCCTCCGGCGCCATGCCGCAACCCCCCCGACCGGCCCGACGACTGCGGCCCGCCTCTGTCTCCTCCTTACCCCCTCTTTGTGCCGTCCGTCCTTCCGTCTCGGACCTCGAGCGAGGCGGCCCCACGTGGTCCAGGCCCGTCGATGCATGGTTCCTTTGCGCGCGCCTGCCTGCCTGCCTGCCTGCCTCCCTCCCTTCTCGTCCTCCTCTCGCCTCCCCATCTCTCCTCCCCTCGCCTCCCCATCTCTCCTCCCCACTCACCCTCGGCGTCTATGCTGCTACTCCCCCCCAGCCGGCGCCAGCGAAGCCTCGGTCTTGGGCTGGCCCTGGCGTATTATACAGCTTGCGCGCCCCCCGGCTCAACCAAAGTAGCCATCCGCCGCATCTTCTCCGTCCTCGGTTCACGGCACCCCTCCGGCGCTTCCTACTCTCGCAGCTCGCGTGGTCAGCCGGCGGAATTGGCCAGCAGTCCGGTTCCAGTCCTCGCGAGTCCCTCATCTTTGAACCGTCGCCGGTCTCCCAACAAGCACGGCAGGCCGCTTCTACGCGCCTCCTCTGCCTCCTTTCTCGCCCTCCCTTCGCTTCCCGTAACCGCTCCGTCTGGCCTTGGAAACATGACTATCAATAGAAACTGCTCCACGTGCCCTGCAACCAATGAACCGTCGCGCCCAGGCAGGTCTCCAGACGGCGTTAGGCTAACCCTGCTCGTCACTGCTAGTTGGATGTTGGATAGCGTCCGCGGTCCGGTACCTGGCCGCAGCGGAACATGGATATCGTGAGAGAGTCGACTGCAGGCATCAAGTGTCTTTGGCGCCTCTTGCTGACTCTACATCTCACGACAGCGTCGAGCTAGACAAAATTCCCCCAGACCAGCCCAGCCGAGGACTCAATGAGACAACACAGTTGTGATGCTCCCAAACCGGCCCAACACTCTCTCAGGTGACGATGGACTTCATCTATCTGCAGCACATCTCAGGCATATCCATGTTGGGTTAGCAGCCGCTCATGGCGCAGACTCCCTCCGCAATCCTGTCCTCCACTTGCTTTGCGCGAGACATATCGACACTCGCCGTGTCTTACCCAGCGTGGCCGAGAAGAAGGGTACGTGTTCGTCAATGCCAATGCGGATCCTTGCAGAAGATACATCGAGGCCTAGCATCCTAAGCACCATCAGGAACAGCTTCACGCCCCTTGTGACTGTGACACCTTGCGCTACGTTAGCCAACGGTCTTGGACTTTTTGGATCTTGACTTATCGGTGCGAATAGCAAGCCACTCTTCTGGTCCTCGCGTTCCCTCGCCGGCATCCCCCATTCAAGATACTGCCGGGGCTCTCGGGCCTTGAGTATGCCGTCGGCTGCTTGGTCAAAAGACAACAAAGCAAGTCAAACCCTTGCCTGACTATATATAAACTCGACTGGGAACTCGAGCGGCATGGGCCCAAAGTTGCCGACTATCTGGCTTTATTCTCTGGTCTTGAAGAGCCAGTGCTCCCGGAGGCCAGTTCGATCGTTTGACTCCCACATTGTTCCCTTTGCTTGGAGATTCGGCATCGTGGCGACACGTGTTGAGCTCGAGCTGAGTCCCGGAAAGGCTTTGTCACCAATGACTCCAAGCCACACGTTTTCGCCTGATTTGTCGTCTGGGCCACCGCCTCTCGGCCAACATCGCCTTCGGGTCTGGCCAAGCCTCGACCGTACAGGCGTTGAATGTGTCAACGTCCCTGCCCCGTAGGGCAACGTCATGTCCAGAAGTTTCTCGTCAAACATCTGCAATGACATGCTGGTCAGCCTGACTTGACCAGTCGCCGCGGTCTCTTGTTGGACTTGGGAAGTCGTCTTCTGCTGGACCTGTCAACCGGTTGCGCCGAGATTCGAGTTCTTGGGCCGTTCTTTCGCTGATGCGATGCCACAGTGCCGTGGCCACGAGGGGCGAGCACCTCGCCGAGCCCCTATCTTGGCTGGCAAGTCTACTGCCGCAAAACACTCGACGGATGGCGCCGACTTCGTCCGGCATTAGAGCTCCCCTCGACTCCGAGGTCTGTACTCTCAGCCCTGCCGGGAAATTACCACCCGCATTCATCGCAGCCCCGAGCTGTCTCTCCAAGATGCCACCGGAATGGCATGTGCATGGCACGTTGGCATTGGCCACGGGCTGCGTGTGATGGAGCGCGAAGAGATGCATATGTGGAAATTACAACAGGCGGCACCCACCCCATCTCGCCCCGGGGATGGCCGCAAGCGGTAGGAGATGGACCGGCTGACATTCGGATCACCGTGGTAATATGTGTGTCCCTAGGGGTCCTCGAGTCGCAGGTGAGGGCGACACAGGAGCGGACATGCGGCACACAAGCACACGAGGGTCTGCCGAGGAGTGTTGCAGAGGACATGCTTCATCAGCGCTCTCCAGGGCGCACAAAGCACCGATACGTGCCACACCAGTCCGACGAGTTGGTTGCGTCATCAAACCGCGTTGACATGCCACGGGAAAGCGACCAGGGATGGCCAGAGCTGATTACACGTGTACCAGGAAGCGAATCAGAGCCTTTTCCTAGGCGCCTGAACCGACGGCCCGTGGCGGCTGTACCCGTGCTCGAGGACCAAGGAGAGGGGGGAGGTCCTCTATTCGCCCGCAGAACCTCATCGCGCGGGGACCTGTCAATCTGAGCTGTCGTCTCCGTCAGAGATCAAGCTATGCACCCGGCGGTAGGCTCACTGTCGTCCGTCCCCGTGGGTCTCGGGCAAAGAACAACAAGTCGGCCAAGGAGCTTTGGCGCTGGACTCTGAGCTTACTGGACGGCGGGATGATTTTGCTTGCACGCATGTACTGGATGTACTGTACTCGGTCCTCGTATGCACGTAATTCCCAAGTTCCTCGCGGATCAATAAAGTGGCTGATGGCAGAGTTGGGCAGGTGACCTCCTCAGCTGCTGTCCGAGCCAGAAACACCGTGGCACAGCATATGATGCGAGAAGTAACACGACGTTGCCATGCTCTGCGAGCAGGAGCGTGTACCGTCCAGCTCTGTATCGACCAGTGGCCATTGGCTGTCGAGTCATGCCGGAGCAGAGGAACATGGATGGATGTCTCGAGCGGGATACCTCGTGTTGCCGCAAATACATGGCGTATTCTCGTGTCCTAGACCCGCTGCCGACGTGACCGTGCCCGACCCCGACGGCTCAGGAAGTCATGAAGGCGTGGGGATGGATGGAGAATCAAGTCGAGGGCAGACAAGGCTTGGGGAGCCACACGTCGCTTGCCATGCTGGCAGAGGCAGCGACGATGCGGCTGGCTGTTGGACAAGAAAAAGTACAACGAGGTGTTGACGTGTGTATGCACATCCGAGCATGCGTATGCATCCATGCTGGTATGATGGATGGATCTCAACGTCAACCATGCTGTGCCCAGCCCGCCCGACGAAATATCGCCCACCTGGGTGCTGTAGAGACTCAATATGTGGCAGCTGAAGCTCGCTCGCATCGTCCAGGTTCTCCCGAGCAAGAGAACGAGCCGGCGTGGTGCCTGGTCCCTTGAGCGAGCTTCCAGGGCGTCGAAACAGCTGCCTGTCTTGCAGGGCCTCTCTCCTTTGCACTGGATTGGGCTTTGGACGACTGGGTAGAGCGACGGACGGTGGCCATACGCCAGAAGTGACAGGCTGCTACGGCCAACACTTGGATACAGGCAGGCTGCTTGACGTGGGCGGCTCAGTTGGTCTTGAGTTGAGCCATGATGTGCGGTTCTTTGATCGAACGTCATCAACCAAGCGAATCCTAGGAGTGTCAGGCCGGTCTCAATCTTATCAGATCTTGTAAATCCAGGCCAGCTTGAGGCTGTCCATTGTCGAAAGCGAATGGAAGGAGGCTGCCGCAGAAAGGCAGCAACAACCACAACCACCTTCGGACGTCCGGGATGAAGCAGGGCCAACTGTGGCCGACGAGGCATGCCAAGGGATGTAGTTTGTCAATGCGAGCACTGTGCTTGGTGAGTCTGCACGGTGGGCGCTACCTGAGCCCGCCGGCCCATGGACACTAATGCAGGACTGTTTGCAAGTACACATCATACAGTGCGCGCGATGTACTCTTGAAGTGGTTCACCGACTTTCAGCCAAAGGAAGAGACAGCGGAGAGGCACTCCGGGAGGCTGACGCGACAATGTCTGGGGGTTAGACATGACTTTGCGGGGAGATGGTCACGTGCCTTTCTTTCTCTTGGTGTCACAGGAGGCTGGAGAAGCAGTTGGAGACGGCATTCCGGGGCCATTGACGGGGGAATAGCAGCTCTGCTATGGGAGAGGTCGGTGCTGTGCATGCTGTCAAGTCTGGCACAGCGAATACCGTGTGCCGTCACCGCCTCCATGTATGTATGTACTCTTGCAAGGGTCGTTTCCCTGGCAAGAGTCGGACGCACTGTGCCGTCATCCGTTGGAGTTTATTGCTTTCTTTTTCCCTTGCATGTCGCCGCGCGTGTCTCTTGCAAGGCAATGGCATGCGCTACTTGGCTACGTCGACATTTGCAGTGCCCTGGGGAAACAGCCGCCAACGTAGCTAGTGTTTTATGAAAAGGCCGCATGCACCGGCAAAGTCGCGTTGGGCAGCCCTGTGTAAAGTTATGCATGCTGGCGTTGGGCGTTTGCGTGTTGGCCCACCCACCACCGCGCGAGTTCCGCGAGCGGCCAATTGCTCTGGGCGGCCGGGGCGGGGGGGGTCTGGCATTGGCCGGCCATCTTGAGGCTTACTGCACTCTCTTCAAACATTCGTCCGGCGCTTGTTCCTATCACTGGCAAGCGCCGGGACGAAACCCACGTCGTCTCTCCTCGTTGATTTTACCGTCGGGTTGTGACCGGTGGGGCGCGGCAGACGGAGGGAGCCGGGATGACGAGCCTGGCTAGCTCTTTCGGGGGAGCTGACGAGAAGAAAACCTGGAGCGAGGCATTTATTCTGCCTACACTCCGTACCGGTCAACCACCCTCTGGAGCAGAAGTTGCACTCATGCACACTAGAGAAATGCGTGCCTTTTCCATGCATGCACAGTCATCTGTGCCAGTTTGTCGGGGGCCAAGACGCAGATACAGTGCGTTGTCGAGTCTCGAGTCGGGGGTGGAGGCTTGAAATCAGTTGCCCCGTGAGTCACCTCCAAGGGTCTGTCGCGGCATCTAGATCGACGACGTCCAGCGTCCAGGCCCTACCCTAATCAGCCCATTCCGTTCTGCCTGTCCCGAGCATCGAGGCGACGGCGGAGAAACAAAGCAAACAGGCCAGACGAGGTCCCCGAGACGAGACTGATGCAGGCTGCATTCTGGCAGTGGCCTGCTAACCTCAGCATATGGTGGTAGCTTTGCAGGCCTCGTCGATGCACTGGGCTACTGCTTCGTCTTGCCTCGGTCGGGGCTTCAGAGAGCCGCCCGCGCGCTCCGTCACGCTTTTCGCGGGCACAGGACAGGCCCTCTGTACAGTACCCGACGAATTTAAGCTCGTCGACGCACAGAAACCCGCGCGACGAGTACCGCAGCCACTGTACGAAGGTCTCTGTCCTGAAGAAAGCGCCGTGCGACAGGTGGCCGTGGACGACGCTGCACATGGCCTCGGTACCTCAGGCTCTTGTACTGTACCTTGCCGTACCCGCACGCAGTGGGGTGGTCCGTGCACGCATCGGTTCCCAGCAAATCAAGGTCACGTCGCGACGCCAGCAGGTGCTACGCGCCCCACCGAGGAGCTGAATCAGCCAGTCACAGCTGTTAAAAGACTCGGTGCCCCCGCCCCTCAAATCAAATCACATCCTCGCATTTTCCTTCGTCCTCCCTCGACGGCCTTTCTCTTCTCGCAACGGCCAATCAATCCCCCTCGTCCGCTCCTCCACTCAAAACGCTGAGACTCTGCTGGAGCCAGCAGGGAAGGGCAAAAATTAAGGGCCTCGCTCGTCGCGTGCGCGCGCGCTACCCAAAAAAACCTAGAAGCGCGGACGGCTTCGAGACACTACCGTCCTTGGGGCTGGCCATTCACAGTCGCGCAAGCCGCCAGAGGCTCGGTCCGCTCATCCGCCAAACAGACGTCCAGTGGGCGATGGGAAGCCAGTCAGAAATCTTGCCCACCCTTCCCCACACACCGAGATCCAGGAACGGGGAAGACGACGTCGAGGAAAACTAGGGGTCAAGAGAAGGACGACAGGAAGCTTGAGCTAGCTCGTGAGGCCCTCCTCCGCCCAACCAAGGCACACAAAACGTGCCTGTCGCAGACCCGGGGCCTAACCAAGCAGCAGACTCGGGCAGTGCCATCGTCATCCCTTGGACCTTGGCGCGTGCATTTTGCACCCACCGACGCCTTGGCTTGCGCAGCTCTTCCATCATCCTGCCGGCGAGAGCATCCCTGCAGGGACGTCGGCACCCACCAAACAGCGCCGGCTTTTCACCTAAAACACCGCCGGCCCCCCCCTCGTCAGCAAATCAGCTCCCGCCTTTGCCCGTCGACATCCATCGCAGCTTCGCGGCGCCAGAGGCCTATCATCGTCACCAGCCTCGTCCTCGCCCTCTCCATTGGCCGTGCTCCGCGTCAGGTGACAGCACGCGTCTGCGGCGCCCGGCTCTTTCACCGTCCGTCATCGGCCTTTTGCGCAGCTTTCGCTCGCCGCCAGCACCAACTCCGAGCCGCCGTCGCCCCCATCCCGGCGGTTGCACAAGAAGCAGAGGTACGTAGAAATGCTTGTCAGCCACCTCGCAAACGTCCCGCGACCGCTTCGGTCGTATTTGTCCCTGGCCGTTGCATCAATGGGCTGCGCGAGAGGCAAGCCTTGTCACTCCCTACCTACATTCATACATAGGTAGCCGGCCTTGATAGCTTTCCCCTCTCGGCTCCTCCGCCTTTCTTGCGGCGCGCCCCTCGTGCTTTCTTGGGTGTCTCTCTTTTGGATGCGCCATCGCGCGCGCCTCTTGCTCTGCGCCTCTCGCTCTGCGCCTCTTCACACTAGCGACTTTCTTGCGCCAGACTCTTCCGTCGCGCGTCTGTTTCCTCGTCGTCAGCCAGTGCTGCGTCTTCCTCCTCCCCTGCCGGCCTCTCCGCCAGCCTCTCCGCCATCATCTCACACGGCCTCATCCAAGGTACCCAGCTGCCTGATGCGCCTGTCAATCCCACGTCACTTCCGTCTTGGGCCTGAAGTCACCATGCACTCAGCTCAAATCAAATCGACAGCTTCCCCCCTCCGCATGACGCTAGCCCGAATCAAAGATCCCAAGCTTCCCAATTCTACCAATTCCCCCGTCTCCAAATGCAAGGCCACCGAGCTCCGCCTCCCTCTCTGCCCCTCCCCTGCCCGGCCTGCCCGTCCCGACGAGCACTGCAATAGCGCGAGAGGGCATCCTCTGCTCACTCGCCTCGGCCTGGGGCTTGCGACGCAGCCATGCCTCTCGGCGGGCTCGGCGGACCTGGCCTGTGCACGTTTCCGTCATGCATGAGGGTTTGCCAGCGCATCGCCAGTGTGGCCCCAAGCGCCGACGACGTCGTCCGCCAGCACCCCCCCCTCCCCTTCCTTTGCGCCCTATTCTTCCGTCGTACCTCTCTTGTTCAACCATTCGGCCTATAAGCATACAACAGGGGCTAACGGCTTTGGTTGGATAGACACTGCTAGCTCTCCGGCCGCGGCATCTTGCGAGACAAGGGACCACTCTGTTTCGCTCGCTTCTTCCCGCCTCAGTCGCACTGTCGATACCACAAACGGGACTCGATCTCACGTGGGGTCTCCATTTCTCCACGGCCGAGCCGCCCATCCACAGCTCGTCCCCCCCGCAACCGCGACATCAGCGTGCATGTACCCTGACCGACCTTGCACCTACGACACCCCAACGACTGCCAGCACATCCACACATCTCCGATAGATTGGGTGCCTGCACAGCGCCGCACGCAGTCGCGACCATCATACCCAAAGCGACTTGGGACGTCTCCCAACGCGCTGCCCGTGCCTAACCATACCCAAGCTGCTGCCCGCGCGTTTTAAACCCCAGTATTCGCTGGAGGGGTCTGTGCCTGCAGCCATTTGGTGTCCCATCTGTTGCTGCTTCTTGCTTGGCTGTCGCCCGTCCCGCCCAGTCGCCCTCATTCGTCCGGCCGTGGGAGCCTCGTTGGAGCAGAGCGAATAGCGTCGGGGATTCCCCAACAAGGCTTCGCGACGCACTCGCCACATACCCATTGTCCTCGTCCCACGGGATGATGGAATACGCGCAATATCCACAACAGCAGCAAAGTACGCATTCGGGTTACGCGGGTTCGGGCGCAAGCGCCGGTCTCACGTCGCCGACCAACCGCAGCATCGGCCAGCACGCCGTGCACTCTTCGCCGCTCCTCAACTCGCAGCAGCAGACGCAGCAGCAACCACAGCCGAGTCAACACCAGAGCCCCGGCATGTATCAGCCGCAGTACGGCGTGCCCCAGCAGGGCATGCAGCAGGTTCCCTACGGCATGCCCGGCATCCAGGCCGCCGCAATGGCTGCAACGGCCGCCGCGTCCGGCTCCAACTACCCCTACATGCACTCGGATCCCAGCATGTCCCAGACATCGCCCAGGATGGCCGGAGACGGCTCCAAGAAGGACAGCCGCCAGTCGCCGAGGATGAACAGCATGTCGCAAATACCCGGGCGGCGCATGAGCCAAGTGACCAGCCCCGGCGTGCCCAATGCGCCGGGCATGATGAACCACGGCGGAGGACGGCCGGGCGTCGCCCCACCCCAGATCCCACCCGGGCAGGCCATGCAGCATCCCCAGTCGCCCGACATGCCTTCTGGCGCGGCCGAGGAGTCGCCGCTATACGTCAACGCGAAGCAGTTTCACCGAATCCTCAAGCGGAGAGTGGCTCGGCAGCGGCTGGAGGAACAGCTACGGCTGACGTCCAAGGGCCGGAAGCCGTACCTCCACGAGTCGCGCCACAACCACGCAATGCGGCGGCCCCGCGGGCCCGGTGGCCGGTTCTTGACGGCCGAGGAGGTGGCGGCCATGGAGAGAGACGGCAAGGGCGACGATGCGAACAAGGCGGAGGGCGGAGACGCAGCCGCCGCCAGAACGGCGGACTCTGCAGGTACGAAGCGCAAGTCCGAAGCCGGCTCTGGTTCTCCTAATAAGAAGTCGAAGACAAGCACCAATAGCCCCGAAGACGGCGGGGACGAAGACGACGGCTGACGGATCTGGCTCGTCGGCCGCCCTTTCTCTCCGGGAACGGGTCGTGTTCCGCACACCATGTCATGTCGGCAGACAGGAGCTGCTCTTGTCACTTGCCTTGTTCCCCCTCTTCTCCACCTCGCTGGTCCCAGCCTCTCTCTCCTTTTGCTACGCATGGCGAGGTGTCGAGTCGATGGACAGGCCCGAGAGGAGTTTGTCGCGGTTGTCTATCACTCAGGATTTGGCTGCGCGGCCGCTGTCAAAGGAGGAGAGGGACGGCGAGTCCGGCAGTTGATTCGAAGCTTGTGTTTGTAATACATCCCCGGACTGGCAACAGCATGCTCGTGTGCCAATCATCATGCGAAGCGCAGAGGTATACAGGAACACTGGACGGACAGAATGCATGGATTATTCGATACGATGGATACCCCTCTTCCCTGTTTTTGATGCGGGTTTTGATGTGTGTTTTTTTTTTCAATACTGTCTTTGAACTTGAACCACCTGTGCTTCAGGGTGCTGGTCAAAGAGCGGGCCACTCGGTGGTGAGTGTGCGTTAGCAAACGTGGCAAGGGTCAATAAAGGTCGGAGGTCTTTGATGGCTGGATATAGACTCACGGGGTGATTGTCCGTCGCCGGATATTTATGGGGAGACTGCGTACGTGAAATGAATGGCTTTGTCTGTTTGTGCTTGGGTGTACTTGGTGTAGCTCGGTTGAAGCTGGGTCGTACAGGACAAGCAAAGCACCTTGGGTAGAAGGAGGCATGAGGCATGAGGCTTGAGGCTTGAGGCATGAGGCATGGAGGGTTATCCATCGGCTTGTTGCCGGCGAGCGGAAGTACCGAGCAGGCCCGGGGCAAAAGGCGGGGCAACGACCGAGGCGGCTGGGCCTCGGCTTGGCGACCAGTCGAAGCCGGTGCAGCCGGCCGTCGGTGGCCGAGAGTACGAGAGGGCAGCGCAATTAGCAATTAATTAGGGGGGGAGTACGGGGGGTGAAACCAGACAAGGCAACCAACCCCCTCGTCGTCTCTTTTTCCAGCGTCACACACACGACAGGCGCAGACATATTACTCTGTACTGTACATACATTCGTTGACCAGGCAGTGCCACTCTTTCCATCGTTGCCTCTTCCGGAAATCGATTGAGCTCCGCGCCAGCACCAGCGTCAAGCGCAGCCTGTACTCCCACTTCCTACGCGACGAGGCCCGGATAGCTTTGCTGGCTGCAGCTCCGGGTCGAGATCGCACCGGGTCGAGGTCGCCATGGCGGGCAAGGTGCGGCAGCCCATTGACGAGGCAGCCTTTGCCAAGTTTGTCACACAGAATGTGCCCCAGATCAAGACGCCGATGGAGCTGAAACAGGTGAGTGGCTGGAAGTCGTAGCAGCCGCCGCTCTAACGCCCTCGCGACCAGTTTGGCTTTGGCCAGTCCAACCCGACGTACCTGGTGACGGGCGCCGACGGCCAGCGCTTCGTGATGCGCAAGAAGCCGCCGGGCAAGCTGCTGTCCAAGACGGCGCACAAGGTGGAGCGCGAGTACCGCATCATGCACGCGCTCGAGGCCACCGACGTGCCCGTGCCCAAGACGCACTGCTTGTGCGAGGATGAGTCAGTCGTGGGCACGCCCTTTTATGTCATGGAGTTCCTCGACGGGCGCATCTTTGAGGACTTTGCCATGCCGGGCGTCGCCGCCGCAGAGCGCTCGCGCATGTGGCACGCGGCCGTCGAGACGCTCGCCCGCTTTCACGCCGTCGACGTGGCGGGCGTCGGGCTCGGCGGCTTCGGCAAGCCGAGCGGCTTCTACGCTCGACAGGTGCAGACGTGGAGCGCGATATGTGCCCGGCAAGAGGCCGTGGCTGATGTCGAGACGGGCGAAAAGGTGGGCAGGCTGCCGCACTTTGACGAGACGGTTGCCTTCTTCTTGAAGGACGGGCTGCAGCCGCGCGACAGGGCGACGCTGGTGCATGGCGACTACAAGATTGACAACCTCGTCTTTCACAAGACCGAGCCGCGCGTCATTGGGATTCTCGAGTGAGTTTTTCCCTGTTCCCGACAGACGGACAAGTGACTGAAGATGGGCCAACGCAGCTGGGAAATGTCCACCGTCGGCCACCCCCTTTCCGACGTGTGCAACTTCCTCACGCTCTTCTACACGGCCAAGGACCCGGCGACGGGCCGCCACTCCTCGCAGGGCTTCCTCCCCGGGCGGACACCGGGCCTGCCGACGGCGGACGAGGTGGTGGCGTGGTACGCGCAGGCGTCCGGGTACGACCCGCGGGCGGAGCTGGCGTGGGGCATGGCGTTTAGCATCTTCAAGCTGGCGGCCGTGTGCCAGGGCATCGCGGCGCGATATGCGGCGCGGCAGGCGAGCAGCGAGCAGGCGAGGCAGTACGCGGCGACGAGGGGTCCGCTCGCTGAGCTGGCGTGGAAGTTGGTGCAGGAGGCGGGCCGCGGGAGGGGGGAGCGGCTGTGAGGTGCTTTCTTCTTCTTTTTGCATGGAGCCTGAGCATTTGTTGATGCATGGATAGGGGATGCTATAGAGATGAAGCGTGATGTTCTTTGTTTACAGAAGCCGTCTTGCTGCTCCGGGCACACACACACGAGGCCAAGTTGTCGAGGGATAGGCAAAGTGGATTACAGATCCATCGAATATAGGAAAACTCTTGACTTGATGGAAGAGGTTGCGCAAGGCTGAGCGTTCAATAAGCACTGCCACTTTTACACAGCTTGTTTAACACACAGTCATGATGTCGGATAGGCTGCCGAGTGCTGCACCCCCCTGCCGACTAGGCAGTCATCGAGCGCTCATGGTAAGTTGCGTGTTTCTGAAAAAGAGAATAGTCGACTGTGTTCTGCATGGGATGGTAATTAATTTCAACTACAGCTGAGATGTCTGTGCAGGATGTGTTACTCGTGTTAGAATATAGTCGTGGCAGATTGTTTCCCAGCTGAGCTCACTTTCCAACATGCGTGTCAAGTATCAGAAACTTGTATAAGGATGCTGTTTGGTGACGAAACAAGTCGAGTTGATTCGTCGCTACCCGCAACAGTGACAGCCCGTCCAGACACCCCTTCAACTCAGTCGCTTCCCATCTGCCCAACTCATCCATCATCATACCTGCCCCTTTTTTTTCTCCAACTCTCCCGCCGGCTGGCTCCTGAGTCTTACTTCTTGCAGCATGTGGGTGGTGAAGTGTATTCCAGGATCAAGTTTGCTTGAGTATTATCGTCTTGTCCATCTCGGTTTGGCATTGGATCGATGATGTTGTGTGAAACATGGGGGCTGAAGTAGCTGTTGGAGATGTACAGTAATTACTGTACCTCCGTACAACAGAAGCAGTTCAAGCCGGGACTGTTGCGTTCGGATAATTACAGTGCTTGTAATTCATTTATTACCTGGCCTTTTATTGGTGGGCGTCGCAACGCTGCCGATGATCTCTCTCGGAAATCGACAACCTCAGACGGCCTGGCAAATCACGGCCCGGCCCCGCTCCTCCACGAGCCTGTTCCTGGTACCCTTCTGTAACCCCCCTGTTGCAATGACGCCAGGCGCTGGAAATCTTGGTCCGGCTTCAATCCTCTCCTCTGCATCCTTCTTTTCTTTGTTGCTATTTTTCACATTTTTTTCTCTCCTGCTTCACTTCTTGTTCATTGAACCAAAGACAAAAGTCACAATTCATCAGATTGGATAAATCCCCTCTTCCATTGCCACCCCTCGTCTCTCCGAGGCCGCTTTCTCGTCCTCTTCGCCACGCCTCGAGCTTCATCCACAAACGCTCCCAGCTCCCGCCTCTCCCTCCGACAGAGCCTGCTCCCCCTCCCTCCCGGCCTCGGGGCCCGCTGCGGACGCGCAATGGGGGATCGCAGGCGGCGCATCACCTTGCCGCCACTGCCTGCCTCCCCTCCTCTGGCTCCTCACCCCCATGACGAGCGCCGCCCGCTGCTGAGCCGCCCGCCGAGCCGTCAGGACGACCACGTCTACAGCTGCATGACCAACCCTCACAGCCATCTGCCCGTCTACACAAACATCCACCGCATCCGCCGCGACATCATCAGCGTCGTCGAGGACCACCTGAGCCTCGAGCAGCTGAGGGATGTGCGCATCAACGTCACCGTCGTGAGGCCCCTCGTCGACAAGTTCTACGAGCTCGGAGACATATCCATCGGTGAGCCACTCACTCGCTCTCTCTCCTGCTCCTCTCGCAGCGCTGACGGCCTCAGTCTACTGCCTGCTGGTCAACCGCGCCCAGTTCCTCACCGAGGAGTCTCAGTCGAGCAATCGCCAAAACGTCAACTGGTCGCGCGCCACCCTCTGCGAGCTCATCGCCACCCGCATCCTCCGCCGCTTCGGCGAGGACTACGACGGCTCCGACGGCCTCCTCCTGCTGGCCCACATCCTCGTCGCCGGCTTCGAGCCCTTCCAAAACGCCCCGCCGCACATCCGCGACGAGGCCAACGCAAAGACGTCGTGGACGCACTACCGCACCCTGCCCTCGCTCGAGGTGGCCATCCTGACGGAAAGCAAGCATTTCCTCAGCTCCTCCACCTGCCAGCGCGTCGTCGCCGCCATCTACGAGGGTCGCATCATCTACACCCCGTCCACCTTTTGGGACATCATCCCCGACCACTACAAGCTCAAGCCCATTTCCCTCTACGACCCGCGCGAGTCCCCCTTGCTCAACCAGTATCGCCTCATTGTGCCTCGCACCCGCAACATGCTCGAGGCCTTTCAGTTCACCGTCCTCCTCGCTCTCTACATTGGCGTCATGCTCATGCGGGAAAAGGACAAGGTTACCGTCCTCGAGGCCGTCTTTGCCGTCTACGCCTTTGGCTGGGGCCTGGACCAGTTTGCAACCATCCTAGCTCACGGCTGGTGAGAGACCTCTTCCCTGTCCCCTCTGACTTCCCCGATTGACTGGCCACCAGGAGTGTCTATACTCAGAACCTTTGGTCCTTTCTCGACGTCACCTTCACCTTCATCTACCTCGTCTACCTAATGCTGCGCCTGCATGGACTGCGCCTGGGCGACGCCGGCCCCGCCGAACAGGCATTCGACGTGCTGGCCCTCGCCGCCCCCGTCCTGGTGCCTCGCCTCGCCTTTGCCCTCCTGTCGGACAACTTGGTCTTTCTCTCCTTGCGCTCCATGATGGCTGACTTCTTCCTCCTGACTGCGCTGTCCGCCTGGTGCTTCTTTGGGTTCCTGCTTTCCTTGCTGTGGCTGGGAGAAGGCGCGCATCCCCTCGTGTAAGTTGCGGCCTGGCACGTTGCCGGAGAAGCAAGCTGACCGATTAGCACCATCTCGAAATGGATGATTTACATCTGGTTTGGCCTGGATGGCACAGGCATTCAGCGCTCGGTAAGGAGAGAGCGACCTTAGGGGCAATGTCTGTCATCTAACTCGGCACTCTAGGCGGAATTCCACTGGTTGCTGGGGCCCTGCGTCATGGTGGCATTTGCCTTTCTCGGCAATACCCTCTTCCTCACCATCCTCGTCTCGATGCTCTCCAACACCTTCAGCAACATTTCCACCAACGCCACGGCCGAGATCCATTTCCGACGGGCCGTGCTGACTCTCGAGGGCGTCAAGGCCGACGCCGTCTTCGCCTACCAGCCGCCCTTCAACCTCCTGGCCGTCTTCATGCTGCTGCCGCTCAAGTTTGTGGTGAGCCCGCGCTGGTTTCACAAGATCCACGTGGCCACGGTGCGGCTGGTCAACCTCCCCCTGCTGCTGCTCATCGCCGTCGCCGAGCGCCGCCTGCTGTGGCCGGCCGGCGCCGCCAACGCCTCGGTGGTCACCCCGCCGGCCAGGAGGTGGTTCTGGCGCAAGTGGCAGCTGTCGGCGCACAAGTACATGCGCGCAGTGTTCGAGGTGCCGCCGCCCGACGACGTGCACGACGACATTGCCGTCGACGACGACCTGACGCACCACCTGATCCGGCGGCAGTTTACCAGGCAGACGTCGGCGGTGCAGGTGACGCCGCGGAAGCCGTCTCGGCGGGACTCGATGTTCCCGGGCCTCGCGAGCAAGCTGCGCACCTCGTTCACCGAAAACGGCGGCGACCCCGAGGCCATGGCGGCCAAGATTGTGGCCATGGAAAAGTCGATGCAGCGCATGGAGGCGATGCTGGCGAGGCTGGTGCCGCGTGGCGAGGAAGACGACGATGTTTTCGATGGGCATGGAGAGAGCAGCACACTCAAGGAGGGCGATGGGTTTACGGCCGAGTCATCCTACAAGGGCCAGGAGTGAGTGAGAAGCATAGCATGGCGTTTTTGGTATTGCACAGGGTATTTGGATAGGTGCGGATGCGTTGATGTCGACTATCTCTGGTATTTGGACATGGCATACACATACCCATACATATAGACTGACTATGAAGACTGACGTTGGTGGCCTGTTTGCTGCTCGTACGCGCTGGTTACGTTACCGTTGACTACCTGGTTGTCTGCCCGGCTTGCGTGGTGCATGCAACAAGTCGTTGCCCGTTGCTCGAGCGTGAGTCACTGAATGATTGAATGATTCGACAATGACCACCTTTCGTCTTTTGCCACGACTACCATAGATAGACTTTCGAGAAGCAAGGTCACGCAAGGCAATCACACAAGACCTCTCCCCCCCCTTCTCCTCTCCAGAAACAAAGGCCCAGGTCATCTACAGAGCCGTCGCCACTCTCGCTCGCTCGCAGCAAACACACACAAGCACCAGCAGAGCACAACGCAGACGCAATCAGCAATGTGCACAGTCACCTACTTCCAGCACAAGGACTGCGGGCACATGTGGGCGGCGGTGACGGAGCCGTGCGGGCCGCGGATGGGCTTCTCGACGTGCCCGAGCTTCGTGGCCGCCGACGCCGCCAAGCCGGCGCCGCGCGTGTACCGGACGCGGACGCGGGCGTGCCCTCGCTGCTGCTGCTGCTGGGGGGGCGGCGCGGCGTCGTGGTGCGGTTGCCACGACGGCAACGCGGTGCGCGTCGTGGAGCGCATGGGCTGGGGCGTCAAGCTGGGCGCCGGGCCGGACGAGGGCGACTGGGGCGTGGATGTGAGGTTTTCGGCGAGGGGTGGCGGGTGCGTCGTGCTGTGACGAGACTTGAGGCCTTTGATGATGGAGGGTTTGGGAGAAGTGGAGGTCGCGGTAGGGATCACGGCCCACCCTTTACTGCATCGACGTCGAGATTTCGGATACTTTGACGAATCACAATGTCAAAGAGCGTGGCTATGAGTTTTCCTCAGCCACCACCGTCCGTCCCAACTCTGGATACGCCATCGAGTCTAGTTGTGAGGTGGGTCTAATTACCTCGTCCATCTCCAGGAAGCCACCAAGACAAGAAAACGCAAGAGAGGAAGAAGGCAGCCAGATGAAAAGCCTCTAATCCCCTCCCCATGCTGCCCACGCCCGACACGTCGCACGTGCCGTACGAGCGCGTCTACGAGCCGGCCGAGGACTCGTTCCTGCTGCTCGACACGCTCTCGTCGGCGGCGGAGCGGCAGTTTCTGCGCCAGGCGCTGGGCACGGCGCCCGGCGGCAGCACGGCCGCGGCGCCGCTCGTCGTCGAGGTCGGCACCGGGTCCGGCGTCGTCGTCGGCTTTGTCCACGCCCACGCCCGCGACATCCTGGGCACGCCGGCCGTCCTCACCGCGGGCGTCGACGTCAACGCCTTTGCCTGTCGCGCCACCGTCGCCACCGTCGCCAGGGCGCAGCAGGACGCTGACGGCCCCGAGCAGCATGCCGCCTACCTGGGCGCTTGCATGGCCGACCTGACGGCCCCCTGGCGGGACCACTGCGTTGACGTGCTCATCTTCAACCCGCCCTACGTCCCGACCCCGGACCTGCCCTCCCGCCCGGCCGGCTTCTCACACGACGTCTTCGGCCCCCCCGGCCCGCGGCAGCAGCAGGCGCTGCCGTCCTTTGACGACGACTCGTACCTGCTCGCCCTCTCCTACGCTGGCGGCGCCGACGGCATGGAGACGACGGACCGCCTCATCGCCTCCCTGCCGCGCATCCTCTCCCCGCGCGGCTGCGCCTACATCCTCCTGTGCACCCAGAACAGGCCCGACGACGTCAAGCGCCGCATACTCGCCTGGGGCCCCGAGTGGAGGGCCCTGACCGTCGGCTCCAGCGGCAAGACGGCCGGCTGGGAGAAGCTGCAGGTTGTGCGCATATGGCGTGAGGCCGCGAGCTGACGCAGGTGGGCATGACGACTCTTGGTATTCCCGAAGCTACTTTCCGCGCTGGAGTGGTATATAACCCCCCTTTGCCATTCTCCATCATGCCATCAAAGTGTCTTGTTGTAAAAACGCAGTATTGTGACCCAACGTCCCCAACGCCCAAGTCCATGGCCTAGCGGTATTCGTCTTCATAGCCCGTCCCCGCCATCTGAGTTTGGTTTTTCTCGGACCCTCAAACTCTGCACCAAGGCCGCAAAGCATGGTCTGCGACCCCTCGCTGCCCCCCAAGCACTGGCTTTGATCTAGCCTCGTCCACGACCACGCCCGCGACCGCGACCTCTGCCGCCTCCTCTGCCGCGCCCACGTCCTCCCCGATCGGCCTCCTTGCGGGCCTTGTTCTTGGGCTTGGGGGCGTCGTCGATCAGTAGCGTGTCGAGGGGGAGCGAGTCGGGGAGGATAAAGTATCGGATGGTCGAGCCGCGAATGTTCATCGAGTCGAGAGAGATGGGGCTCTGACCCTTGGCCGTCATCTTGACGTTGCGGAGAGACGTGTTCATCTGGGGGGAGACGGACGCAATGGTGCCGTGGACAATGGTGCCTGCAGAGAGCGTCAGGAGTCAGCCTCGTGCATTTTTGCTACTGCGCGTGCGCGGGCGTGTGTCTGCTGGTGTAACAGATGCGGGACAGCTTCGGCAGTACCATTCTTGAGCTCAATCGTCACCGTCTCGCTGGCGCACTTCATCAAGAATCTGGTCGCTCGACGTTAGCTACGGGCTTGGCTTGGGGACAAAGGCTCAGCGCAGTCCCGTGTCTTTGGGAGGGTAGTTGGGGAGAATAATCACCTCACGAGCTTCATCTTGGCGGTCGTGGCGTGCGAGCGAGCTGAGTGTCGCAAGTAGGAGAAATGCTTCGGTTGCGACGCGATGAGCAGTTGCGTTTCTCGCTCATCGACTGGGGCGCGACCTCGAGAGGCGCTCGAAATTGTACGGCGGCGGAAAAACGATGGGCGAGGCTGGCTGTCACGTGCAGCTGTCAGCTCGCGACATCACCTACCCTGTAGTAGCGTGCAGGTACTAGTTGCGGTGAATAAAGTACCCAGATATCGTCGCCCTGTCAATCTTCCGTCTGCGCCATCTGCTGCCAGCTGCAAAGGCTGAGCTGACGGTGAGCAGTCACTCGAGGTTTGCCATTTCTGCAATATTTTTCCCGTGAAGATCACAGTGCCTACAAAGCTCGTAGACGGAGACCTAGAGCGTACTGTTTGTACATGCATACATACCTGGTAGGTACCCAGGTAGGTATTTACACGGCGTTGTGGAGCAGGGCATTGTCTCACCGCCATCCAGATCTGGAAATCCCCAGTACCCCGGGCCGGCCTGGGGCTCTTATCGATAAGGCCCGTTTGACACTGCCAACGCCGGCTTCCCTGACCCTTTCCTCCTCTTGACCTCGTGCAAGCTTTCGGGCAATTTGCCAAAGCCGTGAAACCGCTGCATGGCCATGCGACGATCCACGACCTGCTTTGTCTCCCTACCCTACCCAGACCACGAGTTTCGAGCCATGCGTCCCAGCGGTTGCAGATAAGAAACCGGCTCGCCCGATTGCCCCACCAACAAGCGACTTTCAGCTCTACAGCACACATTGCCATCCATTACCCCCAGTCTCGGCGACGGCTGCGAGGCTCGGGACAGAGCTGAGTCGCCATGATCTCTGGGCGAGGGGGCTCGGGTGCCCGTGGTGGCCGCATCCGACCACCTCGTCGCTTCGTACGCGTGAGCAACCGATTCCCTCATGCTGCCCCTGTCACTGCCCTCCTCGCCCCTCAAACAAACGCACCAACGCACACGGGTGCACGACTACCTCCCTCCCCCATGCTTGACACGTCGGGCTTCTTGACTACATCCGCAGAGTGGCTGCCTTGGTGGCGTACGGCTCTGTCCACGTCCTTCGAGACTTCATGACCCTCCTTGACTCCTTCAACATCCGCTGGCCCCCACGCCCACGCCCCGTGTCTTTCGAGCGGTGCAGAGCGGTGCTTCTGGCTAACACGCAGAGGCTGCAGTCCAACGGAGAGGGTGCCGATTTCGAGGCTTGCTGGCACATGCTCGAAGAAGCCCTCCGCGACATCCACAACAAGAGCTGCGGCCGACTTTCCTTCGAGGAGCTCTACAGAGCTGCATACAAGATTGTCATCAAGAAACAGGGCGGCGCTCTCTACGACCGAGTCAAGCACTTTGAGGAACAGTGGTTTGCCCAGCATGTCATTCCCAAGATCGAGGTCTTGGTTACCAAGAGCCTCATCAACATCGGCGTCGACAAATCCTCAAGCTCCGTCAACGAGCGACGGCAAACGGGGGAAAAGTTCATCAAGGGCATTAGAGACACTTGGGAAGACCACAACATGTCGATGAACATGATGGCTGATATCCTCATGTATCTCGACCGAGGCTACACCCAGCAGGAGCCAAACCGCGTGCCCATCTTCGCCACCACCATTGCCCTTTTCCGCGACCACATCCTGCGTTCATGCCTCAACGCAAACACCAGTCAGCTAGTCATCGACATCCTCATCTTGGTCATGCTCGATCAGATTGACATGGAGAGAGAGGGCGACGTCATTGACAGGAACCTCATCCGGAGCTGCAGTCGAATGCTCAACTGTCTCTACGAGACCGAGGACGAAAGCGAGAGCAAGACGCTCTACTTTACCATTTTCCAAAGTCGCTTCCTCGACAACAGCCTCGAGTTTTACGCAAAGGAGTGCCAGCGACTGTTGAGAGACGCCGACGCCAGCACCTGGCTGAGGCACACTCAGCGGCGCCTCGGCGAGGAGGTCGACCGATGCGGGACGACGATTGAGCTGGAGTCGCTTCCCAGCATTCTGGCCGTCATTGACCAGGCACTGATCAGCGCCCACTTGCAAGATTTTCTGCTGATGGAGGGAAGCGGGCTCAAATGGATGGTTGATAATGACAAGATCGAAGACTTGTCCATCCTCTACAAACTCATCACCAGAGTGGACGGAAATAAGACGGCTCTGCGGGAGATTCTTCAGCGGCGAGTCGTCGAACTTGGCATCGAAATCGAAAATGCACTCAAGGACACGGACTTCTCTCCGGCCCAAGGCGACGGAGACGATGCCGGCGAGGGAGAAAAGACCAAGACGCTGAACCCCGCGGCGCAGCAAACTGCAGCGGCCATCAAATGGGTCGACGACGTGCTGCGCCTCAAGGACAAGTTCGACACTCTGCTGAGCCAATGTTTCCAGGACGATCTGGTCATCCAGACGGCGCTGACCAAGAGCTTCGCCGACTTTATCAACTTGTTCGGCCGCAGTTCTGAGTACGTCTCTCTCTACATTGACGACAATCTCAAGCGAGGCATCAGGGGCAAGACGGAGGCGGAAGCCGACGCTGTGTTGGAGAAGGCCATTGTCCTCATCCGGTACCTGCAGGACAGAGACCTGTTCCAGACGTACTACCAGCGTCATCTCGCGCGGCGCCTGCTGCATGGCAAATCCGAGAGCCACGATGTGGAGAAGCAGATCATCTCTCGGATGAAGCAGGAGCTGGGCCAGCAGTTCACGAGCAAGTTTGAGGGCATGTTTCGAGACTTGGTCACGTCGACGGAGCTCACGTCGAGGTACCGGGCTCATATCAACACCGTGGGCGACGGCAGCAAGACAATCGACCTGCACATCAGCGTCCTCACCACAAACTACTGGCCGCAAGAGGTCATGGGCCGCCAGGCTTTGATCGGGGACGGATCCCGGGTGGTGTGCAACTACCCGCACGAGGTGAAGCGACTGCAGGCGAGCTTTGAGCAGTTCTACCTGGCCACCCGCAACGGACGCAAGTTGACGTGGGTCGGGTCGACGGGAAGCGCCGACATTCGATGCACGTTCCCGGCCATTCCCGGCAAGTCGGGTGCGCTGGCTCGGGAACGGCGGTATGAGATGAATGTGCCGACGTTTGCCATGGCTGTGCTGCTGCTGTTCAACGATTTAGGGGACAGCGAGAGCCTGTCGTTTGAGGAGATTCAGGCCAAGACGGGCATCTCGACGCAGGACCTGATGAGAACACTGACGGCGATTGCTGTTGCGCCCAAGTCGCGCGTGCTGTCCAAGGAGCCGCCGACCAAGTCGATCAAGACGGGTGACAAGTTTTGCTTCAACGCATCCTTTCAGAGCAAGGCGGTGCGAATCAAGGCGCCCATAATCAATGCCGTTTCCAAGGTGGAGGACACGCAGGAGCGGAAGACGACGGAGGAGAAGAACACGCAGACTCGAGCCCACATTATAGACGCGGCCATTGTGAGGATTATGAAGTACGTTTGCTCTCGTGTCGCTCCAATGCCAATGCCAATTTGCTGACAGAAGGGGTGGCAACAGGTCCCGAAAGGAGCTCAGCCATTCGCAGCTCGTCAGCGAGGTTCTCGGCCAGCTCTCGGGGCGCTTCAAACCCGAGGTGTCGCTCATCAAGAAACGGATCGAGGACCTCATTGTGCGAGAGTACCTGGAGCGGCCGGAGGACGAAGACGCACCATCGACGTACCGGTACGTGGCCTGACGAGAGGCGCGCCGTCTCACGAATGACGAAGGAGGGGGCTGCATTTTGCACATGGCACGGCGTCGGGGGCATCTGGAGGAGATTTTGAGGCGCGGTGTTGGTAGGCTAGACGTTGATATCTTGTGTGTTTTTGGCAGAGCGAGCTTTGGATGGCACATGGCACAGGCCGGACGCAGAGTAAAGGTCAGATTACAGGGCGACGGGGTAGGAGCAGGCAGGCAATGCGGCCGAGGTTTCTATTCATTTGAACGTGCGGTTTCTGCTGTCTCGTCGTGCACGATGTCGTCGACGGGCGGGGCACGCTAAAAGATGGGCCTGTCCCCACTGTAGCTCCGACCGACGTCGGCCGCCCGAGGACGAGGCAACGACTTGCCGAGACACTTTGCTGTACTCGAGCCTGTCTCACCCTCTGCAACTTCTGTATCCGTATTTTTTCCCCTCTTTCCTCGCCGACTCAGACCCCTTGCTCATTCGTCGTCCAAACGGGAGAGAAAAGAGAGGGGGCGGTCGCCCAGGGACACAGCAAGACACGGGAGCAATGACGGCGCTCAGGCGATGCATGGCCACGATGGCGTCGTCGCGGGGGCTCAGGCAGGCGGGCAAGGTTGTCTGCATCGGGCGCAACTACGCGTGAGCACTCCTGTCCTTCCCCTCTATCTCCCCCCCTCTCTCTCCCCACGCAAAGCCGATATGGTTTCCCGAGTGCGTGTCTCGCTCGATCAGGACGCCGTACACTCCACCCCTCCCAGATGCAGCCATGCTTGATTCACACTATGTAAAATGGGAACGGCATTGCTGATGCGAGAGAGTCCGTCGAAGAGCACACATTGCCGAGCTGGAAAACGCCAAGCCCAAGCAGCCCTTCTTCTTCCTCAAGCCGCCGTCGTCGATGCTGTTGCCGGGCGAGGGCCCGTGTCTGCGGCCCAGGGGCGTCGACATGCACTTTGAGGTGGAGCTCGCGCTCGTCATGGGCAAGATGGTGCGGGACTTGAGAGCCGAGGACAAGCAGGGTGCCATGGGCGCCATTGAGGGTCAGTCTCTCTCTCTCTCACTCACTCACTCACACACAAACACACACACACTAGTTGAATCTCGCCGTCACTGATTTGTTACTGACGCGCGTCCCACGGGCCAGCCTACGCCGTCGCCATTGACATGACGGCGCGCAACACGCAAGACGAGGCCAAGAAAAAGGGCCTGCCGTGGTCCATTGCCAAGGGTTTCGACACCTTCCTGCCCATGAGCCGGCCCATCCCCAAGGCGGCGGTGGCGGACCCGCACGACGCGGACCTGTACCTCGACGTCAACGGGCAGGCGCGGCAGCGCGGGTCAACGGGCCTCATGGTGTATCGCATCCCGCGCATCCTCAGCGACATCTCGCGCGTCATGACGCTGCACCCGGGCGACATTGTGCTGACGGGCACGCCGGCGGGCGTCGGGCCCGTGGCGCCGGGCGACGTGATGCGCGCGGGCTTGCTGGTGGGCGGGCGCGAGGTGGCCGAGGGCCGCATCGAGGTCCGCGTCGAGGAGTCGCCGTCGTCGTATGTGTTTGCCGAGACGTGAGCAGCGGGGGTGATGGAACTATGTATCTATATATCAAGTCGTGGTATAGATGGAAAGACAACAAGGCAAGAGGATACAATTATTTCGCACGACGGATATAGAGGTCATCGATATCATCCCACAACACCAGGCAATGTTACACACGTCGAGTCTAGAAACTGAGCCTCCTCCTGTTGCCGGTGAAAGCGCCTCAGCACGCCTCAGCCTCGAGGTTGGGGTTGGGGATGGAGCCGGGCTTGGGCGCCCAGTCGGCGAGGGTGCCGCAGACAGGACAGGTCCGCTTGTCGTCGCTGGCGCGAAAGTCCTCGACGGCCAGCTTGACCTGGGAACCCAGGTCGGTGCAGTGAAAGGCGGCCTCGTGGACTATGACGGGGTTGTCGTCGTGGTGGCAGCGGATGCAGTACCAGCGCATGCGGTCGAGGGCGTCGGGGGGGCGGCGCTGCTCGATGACGATGCCGACCGTGTCTGCGAAGCGGACGGGGTTGTGGGGCACGTTGGCGGGCAGCAGGAACATGGCGCCCTCGCGGATGACGACGTCGCGGAAGAGGCCGTCGTCGACGACCTTGAGGGTCATGGCGCCGCGGTACTGGTAGAACCACTCGGGGGTCTGGTTGATGTGGTAGTCGGTGCGGCTGTTGGGGCCACCGACGATCTGCTTGGTGGGGGCCGGGGGTCAGTCCGAGGGGGCGCGTCCCGGGGGAGGAGAGAGGAGAGCGGAGAGACGGACCATGACGGTCACGTCGTCATCGTAGATGCAGCAGTTGCTGACGGGGGGCTTGAGGAGGTGGCTGTTTTCCTCGAGCCTGGGTCATGTCCAACCAAGGTCAGCTCGTGTTTGGTAGCCCGTGGCTTGGGGGATCGACTCTCACCACTTTGGCAGGTTGATGGGCGACGAAAGCATGCCTGTTGGAAGCCGGCGCCGACACCTGGTGATTTCTTTTCTTGCTGTCTCGATGTCTCACCCGTCTTGCTCTAGTGAGGAGGGACCAGCCGCCGAGAGTCGGACGTGGCCTGATGGCGGGGCTGTGACCGCCTGCCTATTGTTATTGCCGAGGCCAGTGAAGAATGAATGGCTGACCGGGAGTGGATTTCGGGGGAGGTGGGATAGAGGCTGTCGAGCCTGATCGGTCGGCAGCCCACGGCGACGGGTGGCGACGGGTGCAGTGCAGGAACACCTGCGCAGTTGCCCCGTCGCGGCTAATAATAAGTACACTTTGCGTGCAGGCAGGGGTGGTGGGTACCTGCATGCTCGGGCTTCCGATGGCGCCTCACTTGCGTCGTTTGCAACAGGCGCCTCGACACAGAGGCAGGTACAAAAAAACTCCGTAACTACTCCGTACTGTATCTACATTTTTGGAAGTACCAGGTAGTAGGTACTTTGCAGACTGACCTACAGCGCTGGCCCGTCATGTGTCTTTTGGCATCTCGTCAACCAGCAGATGATGCATCAATACCAAGTGCGGGAGTGAGTAAGTTTATTCGTACCTACCTTATCCGTACTTGCGGACTAATTAATACATCGTAAACATTGGATTCCTTGTTGCCTCATCTGACCTGCAACGCCACCACCAGAGGTATGTACCCAGTATCTACCTACCCACCTACCTACCTTACCTCTAGTACCTGCTCCCGGCCACCAAGCCGGGGCACGTTCCCGCCCTCACGGACCCCTAAATCCCCTACACGCTGACCGTGACGACGTCTCTGGTCCGAGTACGGAGTACCTCCCTGCTCAAGTGCCGTCTACATGCTGCGCGCCGGCCGTCCCTAGCACGGTACAGGTCGCGTCTACCTGCGGACCGTTTCCCGCGCCATTAGCGAAACGTGCTCAGCCGATGGGCCTGGTGGACGAATGATTATCTGCTCAGCCCATCCACGCCCTTTGTCCCGCCTCCCTTTCTATGGCCTTGCAGCCCCCATCGCCTCGAGCCTCGCCCGCTCGCTCCCACTCCTCCTCCTCCACCATCGTTACCATCGTTACCATCGTTACCACCGTCACCACCGTCACCACCGTCATCGCCAGCACCACCCCGAAGCGGCTCCCCGGTACCCGACAATCCTACGCCAGACAGCCAACCTCTGTCCTCCTCTGCGACATCGCCCTTCAACATCCAAACCTCTATCCCGGGGTCGATCCCCAAAACGACAAGCAAACTAGGCGGGAGCACCACTCGCCTGCCTCGTCGCCACCGCTTCCTCTCCCTCGCCACGCCCTCGTCCCGGGCTATGGACCATTCACACATGGGCCACGGCCACATGGGCCATGGCGGCTCGGGCATGGACGACATGTGCAGCATGGACGTATGCCATTCCTTTTCACTTTCTTCCTCTGACGATGCCATCCAAGCCCCTCTCGCTGACCCTCCCTGCTCAGATGCTCTTCACCTGGGACACGACAAACCTCTGCATCGTCTTCCGCCAATGGCACGTCCGCTCCACCACCTCCCTCGTCTTCTCCCTCATCGCCATTGTCCTCCTGGCCATGGTCTACGAGGCCCTCCGTTCCCTCTCCCGCCGCTTCGAGGCCAGCCAGAACCGCCGCCTCGCCGACATGCCCAGTGAGCACAACCCCCCCCTTCCAAGGCTTCTTTCTTGCAATTGCGCCATTTCTCCTCGTGACCCATGGGATCTGTGCCGATGCTGAAACGTTGCCCCCAAAAAAGGTTGTCAACACCCTGCTGAGACCACCCCCTTCCTCGTCCCAGGGCAACATCGGGTCCAGGCGGCCCAACGCGTGCACCTCATCAAGGCCCTTCTCTACGCCCTGCAAAATTTTTACGCCTTTATGCTCATGTAAGAAGCCGTCTTCCGTTTCCTCCTCCCATCTCCTCGACCCGACGCCCCTTCGCTCAGTGGCGTACGTGGTTCGCTCCCTGAAGCTAAACTCGTATCCAAAGGCTGGTCTTCATGACGTACAATGGCTGGGTGATGGTGGCCGTCTCCGTCGGCGCTTTCCTCGGATATCTCGTCTTTGGACAGTCGACGTCGGCGACAAAGGACAATGCGTGCCACTAAGAACATCCGCGTCGCTGCACATGGCCCTCGGCCGGCTACGGGCAGGCCTGGGTCGCCCTGAATTGCTCGCTTTGTACAGATCTCCTTCTAAGAAGCCTTGTCTAACGTACAGACACCGGTCTTGTTCTCTTGAGCCTCTACCCGCCCCTCTAACATCATCTAGAAGCGCCATTGCAGCTCGAGCCTCCTCTAGTCAAATCCAAATAGCCAAATCCAAAAAAAAGGTACACATGTGCAATTGTGATATTTGGGCAGACGCAATGTAGGCGTCTTGTCTCATGTCACACCGTCCCAGCCACCCGCTACATTTTGGGAGAGCCCTTGTTCCCGTTGGCCTTGTCCTGCGGCGCGGTCTCTTGGAAGGCGCCCTCCCGCTCGGCGCGCATGATGATATCGGAGTCGCCAAGTGTCTGGTTGTGCTCCATCTCGGGCTCCTCAGCGTAGGCGATGCGGGCGGCGTCGACGAGGACGCGGCCCGTCATGCCCCAGACCTTGAACCGGCCCTCGAGCTCCAGCTGGTCGTCGACCGCGCCGGCCAGGTTGCTCTGGGCGCTGGCGGCGCTGCTGCGGCGGCGCGGGCGCGGCTTGGACACGCGCTGGTTATTGACGGGCACGTAAAAGTTGTGAACGCGCCAGGGCACGTCCTTCCACGCGATCCAGGCGCCGTCGTACCAGTGGCCGGGGGGCAGGGCCTGGCCGGGGGGTGGGGCGAGGTCGGCGGTCTTGAGGAAGTTGTAAAAGGGGGCGCTGAAGACGGCGGCCACCTCGCGGGCGTCGAGGCGCGGGATGAGCGACTCTTCTACGAGGGGCGGCGCGGTGTCGTCGTCATCGGCGGCGGCATCGGAGGACAAGAGGGAGCGGTCGGCGTGGAGAAAGGCGACGCAGGGCCTGACGACGAGGTGGGTGCGGGCGAGCGAGGGCGGGAGGAGGCAGAGGGGCTCGATGCGAAAGGGGCGCGGGATGCGCTGGTCGTCCATGGGGAGGCCGATTTCCTCAAAGGCCTCGCGGCGGGCGATTTGGTCTGCTCTCGCGCATTTAGTCAGCCTTGTTCTTGCTCTTCTTTCCAGGAAAGTCCAATCAAAAAAAAATTAAGGAGCCTCTGCAGGAGTTGTGAAGCAACGAGGGAGAGGAGACTCATACAGGGCGTCTCGAGGGCGCTGTCGGCCTTTCCGCCGGGCAAGGCGGCGTGGCCCGAGAAGCTGCGCAGGCTGGCGGCGCGCATGGTGACGACGACGCGCAGGTCGCCGGCGCGGTCGGCGTAGAGCAGAACGAGGACGGCGGCGCGGCGGCGGGCGGGCAGGGCGTCCCAGAGGGGGAAGGGGGGCGGCTTGTAGGCGCGCAGGCGGTTGAGGGCGGCCTTTTTTGAGAACCGACAGGGTGAGAAGAGCACGATGGGCAGGGAAAAGGGGGCATAGACATACCACGGAAAGGGGGTTTAGCGAGGCCATTGTCGACGCATCGTAGTAGAGGGACGCCTGCGGCTGGGCGGCCGACGCCGGTTCCTCGTCGTCGTCGTCTTCCTCGCCGTCGTCCTCGTCGTCGTAGTCCTCCTCTTCGTCTTGGTCGTCCTCGTCGTCAGAGATAGTATCCGGCCCAAGCTGTTCGCGCACACGAGATACGTCAGCCTCGACGCCGAGGTCCCGCTCCAGCCGGTCCTGCTCGTCGTCGTCGTCGCCGTTGTGACTGTCGCGCCGGGGTCCAACAGGTAGGGGTTGTTGCTGCAGCGGAGACGCAAGCGTCATGTTCTTCCCCCGGCCCGGTCCACGCAACCTCGTGCTGCTGCTGCTGCTGCTGCTGCTGGCCCTCTTCCTCCCGCAGCAGCAACGCGAGTCGAGAGATTGGGGTGGCGACGGGTGGTGGCTGGCGTGGTTGTTGTTGGCTGGCGGGTTGGTTCCGACGTCGTTGGATGTTCGTCGTTCGTTTCACGCATGGAGAGGAGAGGGGATGACAAACAAAGGCCAATCTCGGGGCGCCGGAGGGAACCTGGGAAGGAGGGGTTGTTGGTGCCCTCGCACCTGCCCTCGCACCTGCCCTTCCCCCTCCGCGGGCCCGCAGCGGCCGACGACGACGACCCGAACCGACCGGTCGTTAGCTCATCTCCTAGCCCGTGCAGTACGTAGAGAGAGGCGTGTTAGCGCGGGCGTCTTGCCACCCAAAAAAAAAGTCCCGACCGATTCGGCCCCCAACTTTCCTCTCTCTCCCCTCTCTCCCCTCTCTCCCCTCTCTCCCCTCTCTCCCCTCTCTCCTCTCTCCCCTCTCTCCCCTCTCTCCCCTCTCTCCCCCCTGGTGCATATTCCCACCACGTCTCGATTCTCGTTTCCATGTCTCTCCGTCTCATCGCTGGTCTCTCCGCTTCCGAGTCTCTCCGTCTCAGTCGCCCGTCTCTCGCTCGCCCGTCTCTCGCTCGCAGACCGACCAAGGTCGCAGCTGCCCGTGTGCAAAAAACGGACAAGGCTTTCTTTGGGCGGCACCAACGTCTTTCTACTGCTGCTTTCTTTTCATCTGCGGCTATGGGTCCCGGTGGGGAGAAAACATGGAGTCAAGGATGGATGGAGAAAGAGGAGTGGTGATAGCAAACGCTTTTGAAATCGTAACCCAACAGTAAGCAAACTGGATACCTATCGTCGGCTGGACAAGCATAGTGAAGGACAAACAAACAAAGGAAAGCCAACGAGAAATGCTCCGACACGGCTCTAAGCCCCTAACGCCGCGTACAGACCATCTCCCATTTGTACACAACGGAGATGGCGTCGGCCGAGTCGATATCTCCCATTCTCAATCTCATCCTGCACCGCCCCTCCTTTCCATTATCGAAGCACCTCAAACCATGTTGATAGAAGAATTAGAATAAAATAAAGTAAATAAAAGGATATTCAAGATGAAACAAGCGGAATAAGTGGAATAAGAGATCAAGGAAATATGTCAGCACGGAATCCTTCGTATATACCGCCGCAGCTCTCCTCTGCGCCGCTCCTCTCGCGGCATGTGTAGAAGCCTCGCCCTGTCTTTGGCATGGTGCAGCAATTCCCTCACCTGCTCCCCGGCTTTGGACGTTCGCGGGGCCGCCTCGTCCTGTTGCCCTTTCCAGTACACGTGCGGGCTGGGCCGGTCAGCCGTCGCTCCCGCCTCGTCGCTCCTCCGTCCGAACCACTCTCGGATCCCGCTGCCGCCCGCCGCCCGCGCCTCCCCGTCAGACGAGTCGCTGTCAAAGGCGCTTACCGGCGTCCGCTGTGGCGAGGGCGGCGTCGCCGGAAGGGCCGCCTCTGTGCCGCTCGTCTGCTTGGCGGCCGAGCTAGGGTCCACGGGATGCGACGCGTTGCGCCGTCGTGGCGAAAACTTGGCTCCGCTGCCAAAGTTGACGCTCAGCGAGGGCCGCTTGCGCCGTGCTTCTGCCGCCGCCACCGGCACGGGGCTCTCTCTGGTGCTGCGGCCCGTGTGCCGCGCGGCGATCTCGGTGGCGATCCGGTGGTACTCTCCGGCCGCCTTGCTGTCGCTAAACTGTCCGTACGACGGGTCCCAGCGCCTCATCCACTCCTCGCCCAGCGCCCTTTGAACTTCCGAGCTGACCAGGAGACCGCCGAGGCTTGCGTCGCTGCCGGACCGGATGACGGGTTTGCCAGCATTCAGGGGCGAGCCTGAAGGCCCTGACTGCGGCGACATGGGCGCCCATGAGCTGCCTCTGCTGCTCGGCGCGTCCCCGCTGTCGGCCTCGAGCACAGGCACGAGGTGGTAGCCGTCGTCGGCCCATTCCAGGCTGTACACGCTCGAACAGTCCGAGTCGGGCGGGCTGTCGTCGGCAATGTCCACGTCGTAGCCCGTGAGTTGCTGCACCTTGTACGAGGAGCGTCGCCGGGAATTCGTCCGGCACGACCCAAAGGCGGGCGCATGGCGAGGTCTGGACGCTTCTGGATCTGGCGTCTTGGACGCCTTCCTAAGCCCCCACAGCTGACTCACGGACTCGGCCGGGGCGGCCGATGACCGGCTTCCCGGGCGACTCGAACGCAGGTTGAGCGGCAGTGGTGGTAGGGGTTTGTGGGCGTACATTTCCATTAGAGCGGGCGCCGAGGCGTCAAAGGGCCGTCGAGAGGGAAGATCCAGGCCGCCTCGCAAAGTAAATGCCGTCATCATTCAAGAAGCTGGGGGTAGTAATAGTTGATGCCAACGGTGGTGACGAAGAGTCAAGACGGCTGCTGGCAGTGATGGGAAAGATGGTTCGAGCGGCGGCGGTTTAAAAGCGGCGGCCGGAACGGCGCGCGCCTTGTTCACTCTCTATGCAGTGTCCGCAAGGGTCACCGGATGGTGCTGAGTTGCCAAGCCGAGAAAGGACAATGGCCTGCAGGCGGGCCTCCAAGACTGGGGGCGATGCAGGGCGAGCCGGGGGCGCTCTGTCCACCGAACGGCGGTTATATCCTCTCGACGAATGCGCCTTCGCCAACAGAAACGGTCCGCGCAACGTGGCGAGCCCTTGGCTCGTAGGGATCTGTTGCCGCGGAACAGAAAACAAGGGGAGCCAATGAAAAGAGAGGGGGGAGATATGAGTAGAGAGAAAGAAGGCGTGTCGCGTGAGAGAAGACGAGAGGAGAGCGAGAAAGGGAGAGGAGGAAAGAAGTGGTTGAGAGGCCGGGTAAGAACAAGTTGACTAGCCACCGGACCCGACAAGGCTGCATCGGTATTATACACGCCCTGCTCGCTGGCAAACACTCACTCGCACACACCGACAGCCCCCGAAGGCTGAGAGACGAGTTACAAGGGCCCGTTGGCTGAGACCATTGCTGACGCCGCCCCTCGTGCTGCCCAAGCAAGCGTAAGACAGGGTTGACCAGTCGGCGCCATGCCACCTCGGCGGACGCATTCACCGGCCAGCTTCGACCGCCGCGCTACGAAATCTCCGCGGCTGGCCAGCTCGGCATGACTCGGGTTGGACCCATGGTCCCCCAACTTCACACACCGCACCTTTGTTCTGTCGCGCCGGCTGGGACCGAGGTCGCAGACGGGGCCCCACGCGGGAGGCTGCCGGCACTCGCTGCTTGCCTGCCATCTCGCCCGTGCGCTCTCATCAAAAGAAAACATGAAATAATCAACGGGGAGCAGATGGGGATCCGTGGCACGGCACACGAGGCGGCAAACTGTTACACTCCGCTTCTGGAAGCCTGCCGGGAGCAAACAGGCCAGGCAGAGAGGCCGCAAGGGCTCGCGCACATGGCCGAGCCAGAGGCCAGGCCAGCCGATCCAAGGCGGAGAGGACCAGGGTGCTTGCCCACAACTGCGGGGACGCCGCGAATCGTGTACTGTATGACGGCATCTGACCAGAGGCGAATCCCAGTGTCAGACGCAACAACTCAACTCGGTACGCTAATGCTTGTGGCCCGGCCGGGGGGAGGGGGGTGTCGGATGTGGTTGCACACGCCCTTTGCCAGAGACATCTTGAGTGACGGTCGTCCAACGTCCAACTGCCGAGCGCATCGCCGCGGAAGCCGTGACCGGACGGGCGAATTTCGTCTTGGACCAATCTAGTACCCATCGCCAAGCAATACGGGAAATGGCAGAAGCCACGCACGTGGGCTTGACGTGCCTCGCGCTCGCGCTCGCGCTCGCACTGTTCCTCTAATCTCCTCTCCATCTCTCGCCCTGCGTCTCCCCGCTCTACTCGTCGTCCTCGTGCTTTCCCTGGTAGTCGCCCAGTAGGATATCGTCGATGGAGAGGCCGGTGGATGAATTCCGAATCCACTCCGTCTCCACGCGGAAAAACATCCAGACCCAACGCCGCAGCACCTCGAGCAGCTGGATCAAGAAGATGCCGCTCTCAAAGTCACTGAACTTGTAGAGATGAGGGCTGAGCTTCATGGACCAAGTGCAACGCAGCATCAGATCCAGACCGATGACTGCGTAGTAGAGACCGGCGGAACGGAAGAGTAGCCGGTCACGCAGGCCCCAGGCGTGGTGAGGAGAGTTGCGCTCTCGCCGTGGGGCGAAGAGGGTCAGGTCCCAGTCTTTTGCCACATCCCAGTAAAAGGAGTAGAGCGAGTTGACCAGGACTGCCGCCAGCCAGGACCTGTTGAGGGCGGCCTGTGCGCCCTCGTCCTGCACGTTGCGCTGCAGCGAGCTCGTGATGAGAACGGGGAACGCCGTCGAGTACTTGAGCGCGTTGGCCAGATGCTGTCCTCCCCAGCCCGTCGATTCCTTGTAGGGAGCGCGCCGCACGCGCAGGTACTCGATGACGCACTGCCGAAATCGGATCAAGCTCGGCACGGCCATGAGGAGCGGCACGAGAACAACTCCTCCGCAGTTTCGATCGGGGCGGTCCGTCGACGAGCCGCCGGGGCTAACAAACATGCAGAGGGCGACAAAGAGGTCGCCGCATACCTTGGCATACGATGTCAAAACATCGGCCAGCAAGATGTCCCCAAACTTGCCGTCGTGCGCCTCGGCGATGCCACCGATGCTCACGCGGCGCAGAGTGGCAAAAAATCGGCGCCGGCCGCCGCTCGGAAGGGCTCGCAGGGGAAGGAAAAACAGGGCGACGAGGGCGACGAGGTAGGTCATGGGCAGCCAGTCGTAGGCAATGACGCGCGATGGCAGGCGCCATGTCAACAGCCAGAAGAGGGTGATGGAGAGGGCGAAGAGGGCCGACAGCGCCGTGGCAAGGCGATAGGTCGAGGTGTGATGGGCGGCATGGTGCGGCGACGCGCGCCCGGGGTATCGTATCAAGGCCGGCACGTCGACGTTGATCAGACGGAGGCCATGGAGGTTGAGGGCCCATCCCCAGACGGCTGTTAGGCAGAGGTCAGAATACGTCACGGGCGGAGGGGAGGGCGAGCCTAGCCAAGGACTGACCGAGAGTCACGATGAAGCCGACGCGGTATGGCAAGGGGAAGACGAGGCTGAAAGAGTCGAGCTGCGGCTCGACTGCAGGATCGCCGTCCATGGCCGACAGGGGCGCGTCGACATGGATTGGCAGCCGTGCAGGGGGGGCAGAAACGAAGAGAGGAACGGGGGCTATAACGACGGAGCAGGCGAAGGCGGGAGAGACGCGTAAAGAGGCATTGGCCGAGAGATGTGCAAAAAAAGAGTGACGACGTTGTACGGCAATTCACGTGGGGGAGCGACGTGGAAATAGAGTGCAGCGGCTTGACAGACGCCACTTACCTAATCCGGCTCTTCAGGCTTCAACCGTGGCCCTTGGCGCAACATGGCAGCGGGTCCGGCAGAGGGCGCCCACAGCGTGTAATAATAACAATAGAGGCTCAACGTCGCGCGTTGGGGCATCGAACTACACCGAAGCCGAGACAAGATAGGTCAAGGACGGGGAAAACCATGGCGATGCTCTTCCCCACCTTGACATCAGAGCATTGGAGGCTACGCTGCGCCGCCGGTGAGGGGCAGGCGCCAAGAGACGAGCAAAAGCAAGGTGATGGATTGCCTGGGACACTGTCTCGCTCGTATCCTATCCTATCCGTGTCCGGTTCCTGCTCGCGCTGTTGAGGATCCGAGATTGATTGTTTACAGTGCACTGTCCGTGCCCGCAAAAGAAACGGTCGAGACCACCCTGGACAGAGCAACAGGATGGCTGTGGTCCGTCATGAGAGCGTCATCGAGGCTCTGCAGGTCTTCTCGCGACCACGGATTGAGGCTTCCACGCTGCTGGGCGTCTGTCATTGACTGTCCGCGCATTCTTGATGGCAAAGTGGCCCTGTGAGCAAAGGTCTAGGGTAGGTGGCCAGACACGGATGGCCGCAACTCGCGAGCGGAAGAAGACTCCCCCCTCCTATATCATGTTGGAAGATTGCATAATTACCCCCATTTCGCATGACCGATGCATGGCCTCATAGACCAAGGTTAACCGCTCGCCGAGTCACGTGCGTGCCAAGCCACCGCCGTCATCGTAACTGCGGCAGGCGCAGCCCAGCCGCCGCGAACAATGAGCATTCCTCGCATCGCCTCGACAAACACGTTCTCACCCACAACAAGCTTGCCAGCGCAGCAGAGAGAGTAAGAAATCTCGTATCACTCGAGGGCGTCCTTTCTGAGTCGATAGACACGCTCGAAAGACACGCTCGAAAGACACGCTCGAAAGACACGCTCGAAAGACACGCTCGACAGCATGCCGTCCGAGGCATTCGACCTCTGCCTGCTTGTCTGGCTTTTCTCCTCGCCCCTGGCTTCCCGGATTCACATGTCCGAGAACCTAAATCAAAGACGGCTGCAAATGAGTTCCTCTGCAGAACGTCGGGCAAAAACATATGGCGCGCATGCCGCCGCCGACACAGCATCCATTCTGTGCGGCCAGAGGTGGAATGCCGTGCCGACGTCGCTTGCCGGTTCTGTCTCTAGTCCAGTCTCAACTTGTTTGAAAGAGCAGCGCAGTAGGGCCAGACAATTGCGCCGACGAGACTCAATGGCGGGCAGGCGCGCGTACCTCGCGCAACCCCCCCTAATGGCCCAGCATAGCATCCCGCGCGAAAAAATAAGTCTCACCAGTCGACTTGCGGTCGGGCGAGACACCGACATGAAGCTCCCCTCCCGTTGCAGATTCCCCTTGATAGCCTCGCCCAGCAACATGAGCCCAAAGTCTCAGAATCGCCCTACAAGTCCAGTCCAGAGACGAACATTGGCCAGGAAGAGGGAGGCTCTCCGCGGCGTCGAGGGCTATATAAGACGAGCTCCAGTCGACTGAGAATCGACTCTATCCCCCCTCATCACACTCATCACCTTCACAGCCAAGCTCAACAGCCAGCCTTCACCTCTCAACTGTCCACCCTCAACCACCCTTCCACACCAACCCCCAACCGCCAACATGAAGTTCGTCGCTGCTGCCACCGTTGCCCTCGCCGGCGTTGCCCAGGCCGGCGTTGCCAACCAAGCCATCAACCAGGACTTGGCCGCCAACATGAACGGTGCCGCCGGCATGGACGGCATGACGCTGCTCACCGGTATCTACGGGGGGCATGGTCACGGCAAGATCGGCTTTGGCGGCAAGATCGACTTTGGCTCCATCCTGAAGAAGGGTGCCTGCGCCCTTCCCTGCGTCGAGAAGGCCGCCACCAAGATTCCCTGCAAGGGCAAGAACCTGGTCGATAGTGCGTGCAGTAGCATCGACGAGATCAAGAAGAGATCCGAGTCCTGCATCCGCAAGTGTGACGTCAACCGCTCCATTGTCGGTAAGTACAGCTTCGCAAGGCCTTTCCACGAGCTCTCCGGGAGGTTAACACTTGTATTATAGACCTCGTTACCAAGGGCGCTCACTTCCTCTGCTCCAAGCGCCAGGGCGGTCGCGGCGGCGAGAAGCACGGGAAGCACGAGAAGCCCGAGTATAAGGAGAAGGAGGAGAAGAAGGAGCCCGAGTATAAGAAGAAGGAGGAGTAGAGCAAGGCGTAAGGCTGCTCTGGACGATTACGAACGCCGGCTACGGCGCATGATGACTACAAGACGAAATGATTATTCCAGGTCGTGCGGCGGTTTGACAATGGTGGCTCGGGAAGGCGGATAATGTTATGGAAGAGGAGGAGAGTTAATGGGCCGATGTCGTAGCACTAGAAAACTCCAGTCTGCTGCCGAGACGGAGAATTGACCAAGTGCCAGTACATATCGCAAGCGCCCTCTGTCCCTTGTGAATCTGTGTCTGTCCCTTGTGAATCTGTGTCCGGCTTGTTATTGATCGTGGCTGATCATGGGATATCCAATGGACATTTCTCAGCCCCTGATCCCCTGGAAGAGGGGAGACCGTGAACAACATGGACAATCAAGCTGTCTTTCCAAAACTCTTGTCAGCGTCATTGGACAATTCGAGTCGGCCCTGGCGGCTCTGTGTAAGCCGCTGCCAACGCTCCGCGCCGGTGGGTCCCGCCGAGTGCCGAGGCCCGCATCTGCCCGCGGTACCTGCGCAACCCCCGCCACGCAGCCGCATTCCCAAGTACCAGCTCGGAGGGCGGACCGAGACCAGCACCCGGGCCCACTCTTGCTCCCCAGGTACATACTGTAACAACCTACTGTCTGTCCCGCGGCGCCGGCCATCTATCTCCATGCATATCTCTAGCGCCTAGCGTCACGAGCCATCATCAAACAACTTCCCTCGTCCAACCCTCTTCCCGAGCCAGCACAGCACCACCGTCCCCCGTCCGCACGCTGCCGCCGCCGACACACCCAAAAGCATACCGCCATCACGGCAACACCCACCCCCCCCATGGCCGGCCCCGACCCGTACCCCTACGCCTCGGCCCCGGACATCGTCCGCGCCCACCAAAAGGACGCCTACTTCGCGGGCCACCTCGCCAACGCCCTCGCCGACCTGCACCGCCGTCTCGCCGGCGCCCGCGCCGCCCACGCCGCCGCGCCCGAGGTTCGCGCCCTCGCCGCGCCCCTGCTCTATCTTGGCCTCACCACCCTGCCGGGCAACCGCACCCTCGGCGAGGAGTACTGCGACCTCGTCCAGGTCCACGCCCCGGGCGGCAGCTTGCCCGCGCTCAGGGCTCGCGCTGCCTACGTCGTCGGCGCGGTCCTGGTGCCGTATCTTGCCGCGCGGGGTTTGCCCCGGCTGAGGGGGTGGGTGCGCGCCGTCATTGACCGGCGGCTCGAGAGGCTTCGACGGGACGCCAAGGCCCCGTCGCCGTCATCTTCATCCCTGTCCTCTACCGCCAGGGAGGCGCGCATCCTCGACTACATGGCCCGCCACCTCCCCAGCCTCATGTCGGACGCGCCCCTCAACGCCCTCGTCCTCGCCCTCTTCTACTTCAACGGCACCTACTACGAGCTAACCAAGCGCCTCCTTTCCCTGCGCTACGTCTTCACCCGCACCGTCCCCGACACCCCCGACCGCGCCGGCTACGAGGTCCTCGGCGTTCTTCTCGTCGTCCAGCTCGCCGTCCAGGCCTTCCTACACCTCCATTCCACCCTTCTCCTGGCCCCCTCGGCCTCGACCTCGTCCGCGCCCGCCGCCTCCTCCTCGTCGACTTCATCCGCTGCCGCCGTCGGCTCCCCCCCCCGCCAACGCGGGCCCTTCCAACGCGCCACCGTCGACGTCTCCCTCGACCACGTCAACTCGTACGCCGCAAACAGCGACCTGCTCCTCTCCGATCTCGGCGCCTCCCCCGGGCCCCAGGCCAGCCGCGTCGACCTCGCCACCGCGACGCACACCCCCGTCGCCGCCGGCCCCCGCTTCGACCTCGCCGACGAAAAGGTCATGCCCTACATCAGGGGCCAGCAGCAGCGCAAGTGCACCCTGTGCCTCGAGGAGCTCAAGGACCCCGCGGCCACCCAGTGCGGTCACGTCTTTTGCTGGGGATGCATTGGCGACTGGGTCAGAGAGAAGCCCGAGTGCCCGCTGTGTCGGAGGGAGGCCATGGTGCAGCACATTCTGCCGCTGCGGGTCATGTAGTGTAACCGCACGAGTGACGTAGGCGCTGAGTGGCCTCATTCATGACCTGTGCTTGGCCTCATATTTCTACATCCACAGTGACATAATACACATTCACGGTCCAGGAGCGTGGCCCAGTCATGCCCTGTGGGCGCAACGACAAAAATTTTCATTCGACGCAGTGCGATGCCATCCAAGCCCTTGCCATGGTATCCGCCATTACCCTCCCGGCCATTACCGCCTTGCTCGCCTCCAATCCCCATAATCGTGTCAAGCCCTCTTCAGCCGCAGCAGGGGCGTTCCCGGCCGACCACCAGCATCTGGGTCAGACGCGCAGTTTTTTGTCTCCCCACCGTGGTTCATGCTGCTTGCTCCCCAAGCCGTGAGTCCCGCTCAGGGCTTCTGCCATGTAGTCATACAACGAGTAATTTGCAGCAAGATTTGTCTATCCCATCTTATCTGCTGGATATCAAGTAACCCAGGGCGCGACGTGGTTGCGCGAATCCCATGCGACGCTCCAATAACCCCCGAAACTCCCGGCCAAGATTTTTTTCTTGTTTACCTCGGATTGGTTTTTCCTCCGAGTAGACCAAGTGCCACGTGCCTGCATGAAATCGCAGTGCGGCGGTGGTGATGTCTCACAGCGAGAAGAGGACAATCTCGCCGCGTTCGTTCCGGCGCAGTCGCAAGCCCTTCCATAGCTCCTTTTCTTCCTTTATCTTTGCTGCGCTGGAGCCGGCGGCTTCGCGTTCGCGGTGATATCGCTTGAGAGCCTTGTTCATGCTGCAACCGCGCTCGCTCTCGGGGCCCTTGATGACGAAGCTGAGAAAGGCAGCGGCGCGAGGATTGTAGACAACCAACTGGCTGTCGGGGTTGGCCCCTTTGCCGTCCTTGGACTGTGGCCGAACCTGCTTCTTGTTGTGCGACGACTTTTTCTTCGGCGTCTTGTGTTTGGTGCCGCCCGTGATCATGTCCATAATGCTGTTGCTGATGTGGCCATTCTTGGAGTGCTTGGCGTGTTTGCTTTTCTTGAGGGGGCTGGCTGGCGAGTTGTCGGCGACGTCGCCGCCAGAGTAGTCTGGAGAGGGCGGCAGCGTGGCGCGCATGAGCCCCTTGAGGCCGCCGGTGAGGCCCGAGTGGAGGACGGGAGGGGCGTCCGTCATGACTTGGTCACCCGGGACGTCGACGTGCAGGCGCTTGCGCTTCTTGTCCTTTTTCAACTCGCCATCCTTGGACTTGCGCCGCGCGGCCTTGGGTGCGGGGGTGACGAGGGCGCCGACGGACACCGGGCCGGAGCCGTACTGGACCAGGGGCTGGTCGTCGGCGTCCATAAGACAAGTCTCTTCATGGTATTGGTAGCGAACCAATGAGGCGTCGCCGATGTCGTGGTCTCGGGGGAGGTGGAGGTTGGACGAGTTTGGCGTCTGGCCGGTGGTGACGAGGAAATCGAAGACGTTGACGTGCTCCTCGTGGGCAGCGGCGGGTGGAGTGGGAGCCTCCGGGGGCGGCTCAGCGGGCGATCTCTCGTCTTCGGTATGGCCGACGGAGTCGTTCCAGGGTTCGTATGCCCGATCCTCCCCGACATCTTCCACATATGGTTGCAGGGCCATGTTCTTGGGTGGCGGGCGGTCGACGGGCTTGTTCTTGGGCTTCTTGTTCTTTTCCTTGTAGAGGGCGCCTTGATACTTTTGATCTTCGGTTATACAAGACTGTCGAGGTGTTAGGGGAATCGACAATGGCGAGCAGGAATGGGGACAAACCGTATGAGAGCGATATTGGACGCCGGCAAAGTGGACCATGCAATCGAGGCAGGTAAAGGTAGCTCCGTGGCAGCGGTTGCGATGAGGGTCAAGCTTCTTCTTGGTCAAGACGTCGCCGCAGGCCTGTTGCAGTGTCGTGTATCTGGTTAGTCAAGGCGGGAGGTGATGAGGAGGACGAGGACGCAATGCGCCGCGGGGTGGCGCCAGCTGGGTATTTGAAGGAGACGAGACAGGAATCAGGGAGAGAGCTGATGATGGAACAAGCAAGCGAGTGGGGCCCAGGGTATGTATGTATGGGGAACAGGACAAGGGAGCTCAGCAGCCGGGTGATGCGTCTCTCCCGGGAAGGGTGTGAAGCGCGTCGGGTGAGGTGATGTCAAGGTCGAGGGTATGTGCAGGGCTATGTAGAGACCCAAAAAAAGACAGGGTACTGGTACCCCAAGGCAAGGTGGTGATGGTGTGGTGTGTGGGTGGGTGGATGGGCGTGAGCCGTGCGTGATACACACGGAGAGGCAGAGTGAGAGTGAGAGTGAGGAAGCGGACGAAGAAGAAGAGGGTGTGGAAGATGGGTTGGGGGGGCGACGGGGTGACTAGAGGCTACCTCTGGGGAGAAGAGATGCAGGTCAAAATGAAGGAGACGAAAAAAGAAAAGGAAAAGGATTTACCTCGCACGAAAAGGAGACCATTGTTGCCCGTGGCGCAGACGGGACCCGACTGGCTGGTGCGGTATTTGACGGAGGTCGAGGGAAAAGGAGGCGGGCTGCTGATGATTTGCAGCCGTGCGGCCGCTGGTAGGAACAGAGGAATGAGGGCGTCTCAGACCAGGGACGGGCTGTCGCGTGTTTGCGCCAGGTGGTGATGGCCCTCGCGGCGCTGGATGGATTGATGGAATGCGGAGGGAAAAACTCGGTCGAGGGCGGGGGTCGGAAGACGGCCAGTGCCAGTAAACGGGGAATGGCAAATGGCTGTTCGCGGGGAAGAAAAAAGCAAAACGAAGAGGAAGAAGGATTGTGATGAGAGAGAGAGGATGGGCGGAGCCAGATGGCGAGGCGACAAACTGTAGGGTTTTGGTAGCCCGAGTGCGTCTCCTGGCGTCTTGTTGTTTATTACTGTACAGGCGGTTGTTGACGGACGATCGGTCGAGAGTTTTTTTCCGCTAGATGGGTGTTGCCGGGTTGGCTGTGCGCGTGCGTGCGTCGTGCGACCCGACGTTGGCTGACGAACAAGAAAAAGAAGGATGGAAAAGATGGAAAAATGTCGAGAGGGGCCGGCCACGAGGTGGAAGCCTGCCCTATCATCCTACAGTACTTACTAGAGGTAAAGGCAGGTAGTACGCTGGTGATGTGCATATTTTGGTCGTCCCCTTCTACAAGCAACCAACAAGTCTCTTTCGAAACAAGTTGTCTGCCTGTCTACCTGGTACCTACCTAGGTATGCCCACTGTAATTATTGTACCTAGTAGTACTTATTCGTTGGGCATGCGCGCAGCTCTCGTCCCCCCAAAGCCAACCACTCGCTGCCCGGCGTCGTACCACGACGAGACAAATGGTAATTATCGGGTACCTACAGGGTGACTGGCGGCGGTTATTACAGAGGGGGCTGCAGTGGGTGAGGGGAGGGGGCGCCGCCATGCGACCCCGAGAACCCGCTAGAACCTCTAGGCTGATAGGCCCTGCCCCTAGGCCTAGGGCTGGACCGTGGATTGGAGGGCGCAATGCCAAGGGCGGGCTGCTGCTCTGCGCCAGCAACCAACCAGCCAACCAGCCGTTCTTTGTTCATCGTGCTCTTCGGGCTGCAAAGCCCGTGGCTTGTGGGACCGAGTGACGTTGGGACTCTTTGCTCGGGGTGTGACGATGTTGCGGGATGGATGCCCAAGACATGGGAGAGACAAAGACACGAAACAGGGGGGTCGAGTCAGCCCGCGTTGAGGACGAGAGCTGATGCTGTCCTCTGGAGATGAAGAAGAAAGAAGAGGATGATGATGGTGGATGGGGGCGGCGGGCTTGTATTCGTTCTCTAAAAACCGTAAGCATAAGCACAAGAGTATACGGACTGACAGAGTATTCGTAGCGCTGGTGGGCGCTGGTGGGCGCTGCTTCATGTGTGTGCGCAGCCGCGCGCTCATGCGGATGTGCATATGTGCCCTGTAGGCGACGGGCTGGCCCAAGAATGTGACGGCGAATCTGTCCTCCAATGCTGCTTGCTATTCCTGGCGCGCATGAGACACGGCGTTGCGCACCATGATGCCATCACTCCTCTCCACCTACGGGACGGGTATTACAGCTGCACCACCCCTCGGACAAAGCCTGTCCCAGTCGCCGTGGAAACGTCAACTCTGCTGCTGCAGGGGCAGCCTCATTTGCCCGACGTGGACTGGATGGTGACGCGCGCCTACGTTCTGCACGTCTCGCGTGGGAGCTTCAGGAGGCACCGTCACACGTCGTCGTCCCACACCTCATGACGCGCCGCCCTTTTCTTGTCTTTCCTTTTCGCCCCGCGTCCCGAGCCCAACTGGCGCCGGCCGATTCTGCAGCCAGCCGCGGCGTCATCGGTCGCCAAGAATCAAGAAATTGCCGCCATCGAATGACGGCCTCCTTGCGACGGGCCATTCGTCGCGCGAGCGAGTATGCGGTACATCCAGGACGACAAGTGACGGTCCATCATGATGCCAGCCTCTACTCCGTGGGTTGGCTCGTCTTTGGTGGGTGCCAGCTCCCGAGGGGTTCAGTCGAGAGTCTCAGGGGAAACAGCAAGCGAGGGAAGCACCACGGCTCGTGGAGGCCAAGCCGAGGAATGGACGTGAACGAGGCGAAAGGTCTCGCATCAAGCGTAGGTCGATGGGATACCCCGTGCATGAATGAACATCAGTCAAGGTATCCGTATGTGGCTCACGGTACCTCGTGTACGACATGGCTGCTTGCGAGGGCCATTATCAGGAAATGTCTCTGTTTAGTGCTCAGACAGCTTGCGGGAGGAAACCCAACCCAATAGCTGCACGTCATGGTGCTCGGGAGTGCCCTTCTCGGTCCCCGCGGCACGGTTTTTGAGGGGAAGATGGCCCGACACGGCGTCGCAGGAGCAGCGGTTCACATGAGGGACGCTTGGCTGTCTGAGTTGCCAGGAACTTGGCTCAAGTTGTCGAGGTTCAAGTTGCGTGTCATGTGTTTGAAAGGTTTCCCATCTCTCGGCCAAAAGCAAGTTACGGGGTAATTTGCCTTAGTAAGGCTGACTTGTACAGAATACCTACCTACCTATCCTGTACCTCTGCTCCCAGGCATCCTTTGCTTTTTCCTTCTTCTTTCCCACCCACACGCAACATCGAGTCGCCTCTAATTAACTGCCCCTGCAGGCAACTCGTAGATATATGCACAGGAGCTTTCTTCTCTTGCCTACTGCACAGTACTGTAATTTCCCGGCGGCTGTTCATTGCCTGATGCTGTGGCCTGTCGGTCAATGTTCGGGAGACCTACCGTCTACTTGCCTCTCGCCCATGCATGCCCCCACCGGCTCGTACCGAGTCCGTATTGTACCTGTCCATCGGTATTACTCATCACGTCCGTCTTGCTTCCCCAACCAAGCTTTCCATATCGCGCGGCACCTCCGCCTTTTGCCCCAAAAGAACCGTTCGCGTGGCCATCGCCGCCTACCTACGCAGCAGCAGTCTTGCCGTCCTCATCTTAATACATGCAGCAACTACACAATACACATTGCGTCTCTTCCCTTGCCGCCTCAGCCATACATATGCTTCGCTCGTGACGATCGAGTGCTGCCCGTTGTCCGGCACGCGCCCTCCTTCTCGCACATCAACGACGACCGGGCCTCGCTCTGACACACGGCGCGTGTTCGAAGAGAGAGAAAGAGCGGGGAGCAGCATCGGGATCAATCATAAGCAGACAGGGAAAAAAGCAAAACTGCCAGGCGGGAGCCGGAGAGCAAGCAAAGGGGACGAGACCCCCGCGGTTCCGAGATCCGCGTCAGCCACAGCTCAACCAGGGGGCTACATTCCTGCAGCTACCTTGCAGTACCGTCCTTTGGCTCGCGAGGCTCCATCCAACCTTGTTTTCCTCTTGTCGCCTCCTTCTCTAGGGCTCCCAAGGCGAAAAAAACACGACACACCCGAACCGCCGTCGTCCGCTGAGCCTGCTGGGCTTCCCGACCGACAAACTGTCCGCCCGCCATGTCCAGCCCCAACTCGTCTCCGCCATCCTCTCTCACCGGCTTCCTGGAGCAGACCGCCTCCCTCCTGAGCTCCGCCGCCTCATACATGCGTCTCCCGGCCCTCGCATCCACGGTGCGCCCCCAAACCCGCCAGGCCACGGCACGTTGCATCACAAAGGGCTGGCTGACGCTATCTATTCCGATGACGTATGCAGGGCATCGCTGCCGCCCTCACCTCCCTCCTCTACTTTAAGCAAAAGTTGGTTTGCCCGCCGATATCTCCTCCTTCCCGTCCATCTACCCACCCATCACTCTCCTCCACCACCACCTCTCGCCGCGTCGTACCGGCAGGGTCCCATGTGACCCCCCCAAAGTCATATACATATATGCAACACACATACACACACACACACATACACACGCACATACTTCCCGGCCTTGGCTCCCCGCAAATCGTCCGTCAAGCTAACGCCGCCGGCCATGCCTACAGGGCCCTGATCTACCCGTCGCACATGCCCCCCAACTCCCGCACCGATCTCCCGCGGCCGTCTCAGTTTGGTATTCGAGACTTTGAGGAGCTCGTCATCCCCACCGACGACGGCGAGAAGCTCTCGGCCTTCTACATCCGCGGCCCACGCGGCGGCAAGAACTCGGACGTAACCATCCTCATGTTCCACGGCAACGCTGGCAACATCGGTCACCGACTGCCCATTGCCCGCATGATCATCAACTACACCGGTTGCAACGTCTTCATGCTCGAGTATAGGGGCTACGGCACCTCGACCGGCCAGCCTGACGAGTCGGGCCTGACGCTCGATGCCCAGACGGGCCTCAACTACCTACGTGAGCGAGCCGAGACGCGCAGCCATCGCCTCATCGTCTACGGCCAGAGCCTCGGCGGCGCTGTCGGCATCAAGCTCGTCGCGAAGAACCAGAGCCACGGCGACATTGCCGGCATGATACTCGAAAACACGTTCCTCTCCATGCGGAAGCTGATCCCTTCCGTCATCCCGCCTGCTAAGTACCTGACACTGCTGTGCCATCAAGTCTGGCCAAGCGACTCCATACTGCCGAGCATCAAGTTGCCGGTACTGTTCCTCAGCGGCCTGCAGGACGAGATAGTCCCGTGAGTTCGACCTTTCTGCATCCACACTTGACGCCCGCGTGCTCCTTGACCGGGACCCCTTGATCGCATGATGATTCAACTTCTTTACCACCCACAAAATATGAACCGCTTACTTGCGGATTCTGATTTGAAACCGTTATCTATTGCGTCTGATGATCAACGACACAACATGATACACCCCACTGCTTGCGCAGTCCCCATCCTCTTCCCGTGCGCCATTGCAAAACTGACCTGTCTCCGTCCCTACCACAGACCAAGTCACATGCGCCAACTGTACGAACTCTGCAACGCACCCGGCAAGAAGTGGAGGCCCTTGCCCGGCGGTGACCACAACTCGAGCGTTCTCGAGCAGGGCTATTTTGAGGCCGTAGCCGAGTTTGTCGCCGACGTCACGGGTGAGTCAGTCGAGGACAAGATGCGGTTATAGTGGTGCGACGGGCGAGGGTGCGGGACGGGTCTTGAGTTGAGAAGGGCAACCTTGTGCCCTGATATTGATACCCACGGAGGAGCTAGCTTGGCAGGTTGCGGAAGAGGCTGGGATTCGGAGCGATGCGACTAGCAGGGCTGGCCTGATGGAGTGAGACGCCGGAACTATGGTCCAGACGAGCCAAGCGAGCTCGGTAGCGAGTCGACAGGGGCATGGACGTCAAGGAGAGAAAGTGAGAGGTAGGTGGTGGGAGGGGCGAGGCAGAGCTCATGTGACGATTTGTCTTGTCTTGCTTGCGGATGATTGGTGGGTCGCGTGACGCACCCCGGAGACAGGCGCCGGCCCGAGTATATACGGATGGGTGTCGAACAAGTGCACATCGGCATTTTCACCTTGTTTCCCTTCTCTCGCCTCCTTGTCTGCTCTGACACAGTGTTGCGTGTATGTTGTATTGCATGTCCCTCGAGAGCGGTGTGGGAGGCCATATGGGCGGCGGTGCTCACGTGGCTGCATGTTGGCCCCCCCTCGAACAGAGCGAGCGAGGACAGGGGAGGCTTAGACCACCGCGAACAGCCATGATAGCCCCTTCGAGTGCGAGGTTGGCCCCTTCCACGACTTCTCGTCTAGTAGGGCCCCGCTAACAGTTGCATTTCCGAGCTTCGCGTACTTGGTAGGCGCCGCGGCAAACGTGCATCTTGGTGCTTCCGGGTGGCCCGTGCATCATGAACGCTTGCCTACAAGGCCATGAACCAACTGTCAAGCCGCCGTATGCTAAACGCGGCCATCATTCCACCGCCGCCGCGGGCGCACGGGGCCCCCGGAAACCCAGCGCCACGCTGTCATGCTATCCAAAGCTCAGCACTCGACATCCCCTCCCAGGGCATCCCAGGCCTTCCCTTGCTCCTTATCCACCTTCTTCCTTCTCAGCCCCAGCAGCTTGCGCCCGCCGCTCTTGGCCGGCGCCTCCTCGGCGGCTCTGGCAGACTCGAGCTTCGCGGCCGCCCTGCCGGCGACGGCGCTCCATCCCGCGCCATCCTTCTTGCCAGTGTCTTCTCGTCGCGAGATGTGTTCGCTCGAATCCACGTGGCAGAGCAGCACATTGCCCGCCACGCCGGTCCGCTCCACCGTCTTGGCGAGGCGCGGTTTGAGGTTGACGAGGGCCTGCTCCATGGCGGCCGGAGAGAGGAACGCCGAATAAGATGCCGTGGCTCGCATGAGAATCTCCTCGGTGGGGAGGAAGCTGATGGCAAAGTGAATGGAGGGCTGGGAAGCCAAATCTCCCCCGAGTGCCCCCTTTACATCTTCCACCGTGAGATCGAATCGTACCGACGTCAGCAGGAGGCTGTTGAGCGGATCGTGGACCGGCCCCGAAGGCGGACTCGGCGGCCTTGAGGCGGCGGCAGCGGCCATGGCCTCGGTCGCTTGTGCGTCGCGAATCTTGATACACTGCGCCAGCGTCTTGCTCGGCGCAGACACGAAGCGAGAACCCTTGTAGACCACAGCATAACGATGCGGCTCAACGTCCTCCCCCTTACTCTCTAAACCATAATCCTCGGCCAGGGCGTGCAGGAACTGCCGATACGTAGATGACATGGGCTTGTAGCGCATTCGCACCTCGTTGGCGCTCTTCGCAAAGACGCGAAACTCGCGCTCCTGGGTCTCGGCCCACGCAAGGTTCTCCTTGAAGAGTCGGAGAGTTGTGTCCGAGTAGGGGACATGGTCGTTAGCATGAGAGGACGGATCGATGTTGAGGGCGGCTGCCAGCCGGCGATTGCGTTCCAACCGGAGACACTCTTCATCGCACTTGATCTCTGGCCTGGCAGGCGTGGGGTTCGAGCTGCTCGCCAGGCATTTCACCTCTTGCTGACGCAGGCCACACGGGCAACAGACGGTAGCCTTGGCCGTGCAAGCGGGAGATCCATTGCATGCTGCAGGGGGTTAGCTCGTCATCAAGACCTCGGTCAACATGAGAGAGTATCTTCAAACAAACTTACGAGTTTGTCCATGGCACTTATTCTGGCATGGGTGCTCGCAAAAGAGCTTGGTCTTGCCGCAGACTTGGTCGCAGATCTTGCCCTGCAGGCCGAAATCCTGGCACTCACCAGGTCGATGGCAGAGCTTCTTGCAGCTGTGCAATCTAGGGCGACCGTCAGTTAGTATACAAGATCGGGTCCGTCGCTAGAGCGCAGAGAGTGATGCGGCTTACCCGCACTTCAGCTTTTTGCCACAGGGCCTACCGCAGTGTGCCGCCTGAAGGTGGCATGGCTGGCTGGAAAGCTTCTCTTTGCCGCAAGCGCACCGCTTGTCCACAAGGTAGGGACATTTGGGGCAAGACGCGTCGTTGGGGTGACAGTTGTGTTCAACCGGGGGATGGCCGCAACCGGGCCGTCTCTGGCAGTTAAAGCGACACTCGGGGGAGCGCGTGCCGCAAGGCTGAGGCGGCTGCAGAACGGTTCGACCACAGTCGCAGCCGATCTCGTGGAAGATGGCTTCCGGACAGCTTCCGCATGGGCCACGATGACACATTTGCTGGCACTCGTGGCTGCCACACTTTAGCGGCCGCCCACAGGTCCTGATGCAGATATGCTCTGGCTCAATCGAGTGGACGTCTCCCATGGCCCTGTTTTTCCTCCTTGCGGCTTGTCTCTCAGCTGCCGTCTTTTCACCGGGACAGCAGTGCTCGCCACACTTGTGACGCCCACAACTCAGGTTCGCCTGGCAGGTTCTCATGCACAGAGGATGCTGAAGGTTCCCTTGGTGACACATGGACTTGGTGCTTGCCCTGCCGCATCTGCAAGAAACCTCGATCGTCTCGCTGCAAAATCCGCAATCCCCCGTGTGGCATTTTGCTTTGCACCAATGCCCACATGCAAGGGGCTTCTCGCAGGGTCTCTCGCAGCGCGGGATGGGGTCTTGGCAGGACTGTCTGGGCCGCTCTAGAAGTTGATCGAGGGCAGTCTTGCCACAAGGGCAATGGTCGATAGCGTCGGGTGCATAGGGGCAGTGTGACGGCAGTTCATCTTGAGCATGGCAAGATTTCGAGCAGTTGTGAAGGCCACAGTCAAAGCTTCTTTGACAAAGTTGTTCGCAAGTGAACGAGCCCTCGAACCATGATTTGTCCGTGGCGTTAAAGGACTGATGGAGATCCTCTCGATCGTGGCAAGGCAGTTGCTTCTCGACGCGGCCGCAGTAACATGTTGCCTGGACCCTGGTATCGCAACCACCGCACAACCCGGAGTGACACGGTTTGCTGCAAAAGTGCTCGCCGCAGGGTAACAGATCCCCACACAGCTCCTGGCAGCTCCAGCCATGCTCATAATTCGTCTCCCTGCATAGCTTTTGAGACGAATTTTTGCCGCAAAAGCACGATTGAGCCGGGCCCGTCAGCCCGCATGGAGGACAAGGTCCCGCATGACACTGCAGAGAGCAAGGATGAGGGCAAGTCGCTCGTGGCTTCGCACAAGTCTGCCCGCAGGAATGAGGAGGAAGTGCCGCGCTGGCAGGAGAAGGCTTGAACTCCTTTCCACACCAGCAGTGATATGAGCCTGGGGAATCCAGCAGCTTGGAGTTGCAACCCGGGCACCGCCACGTGGATTCCGACTGGGGCTCCGAGGACTGGAGATTGGCCTGCTTCTTTTGGTTTTCATGCCATTTCCTGGCGCATTTGAGATGGACGACGGTCCAGCAAACGGTGCATGACCATACGTGCGAGATCCGCAGGACGTCGTCTGTACAGACGGCACACTCGTAGTTCCAGTTGCTAATGTCCTCGTGGATTCTAGTCCCGAGATCTGCCGCCGTAGACTTTGGCGGCTTGGCTGGCGGTCGATCTGAAACCGTGGCCCTTGGTTGCCCGCCGCCCAAGTTAGCCTCTGATTGCTCAGATAAGCAGAGACTGCGGTATCTTACCTCCTTGAAACTACTGGTTGGCCAGGGACGAATTCTGGTGCAGCAGCGCTCAGGAAGGGAGCTACGGGCCCAGCCTCATCCGCCTCAGAGGTCAGATGTCCTCCAAAGGCCCTGTGAGCCGCGGGTCTCGGAGTTCCATGGCTGGCAGCGACTCGGCCGCCAGACCGCGGGCCTCGCCCCCTCCGATTACGTCCTCGGTAAGTATGGAAAGGCCGCTCGGATGCGGCCCCTAGCTGATGGAGTTCTGTAGGGGTTGCGGCTGGAGATAATTGGTCCCGAGCGGGCACATTGCCGCCTCCAGAGCCAGACCCATCTACCTGAGCTCGACCTCGACCACCTCGACCACTGCGTCGTCCAGGTTGTCCTCTCCCACGCTGTCTCTGGGGCTGAGGCCGCGGCTGAGAGCCCTCAGTGTCAGGCATAACCTGCGTTGGCGACGAGTGAGCCTGGAAGGTCGAGCAGCTAGCCAGGGTGGCGGTGTGAAGATAAATGCTCCGATTGTTGACTTGGGGCGTCTTGGGGAGGGACGGAAGAGCGGTCTGCTTGAACCAAAGCAGCACCGGGTCAGACTCCAGCGATAGTAAAGTCAAGAGAGCCCTGTAAGGAGGCGAGAGCGTCTATGAGGAAAATAGCCAATGCCAAAGAGAAAGAGAGAGAGGGGGAGGGGGGGAGTCGAGGGAAAAGGCCGGTGGCGCTTTGCGAGAAGTCGAGGTCGAGGATGGCGGCCAACATTTTGGTGGAGCTCGGGGCCGCCCTGTACCGTTCTTAACCACCGTGGCAAGCTGACAAAGACTCTGGATTGCCCAAATGCGCCCAGCAGCAATGAGTCACAGTCCAGCTCCAACAGAAAACTGGAACCGTTTGACCAATACCAACCTCGCTGCATAGGCGGTCTTACACTTCGTCTCCAGCGGCGGGGGCAAAAGAGTCATAGGGATGACACCAGGCTGATTCTGCAGTCTTCCACGGCGAAGCCTCCGTCGGTCGCGCTGCATCACCTCGAGCTGCGGCCGCCAGCACCGACGCCACGCCGATTTGCCGGCGTCATGTAAGCTGGAGACGGCGAGCTGGGCCCGTTTACTTGCCCTTGGAAGCGACCTCGAGAGTCAATGGACCTCGCGCGCCCCCTTGCGGACTCGTTTGATGGCCTGTCCCGAGAACAAGTCGCGACGCAACATCACGCACCATCGGCTGGCCCTCCCTGCCTATTGTGTCAGTCGCGAGCGTGCACGACACGAGCAACTATCCGCGGCGAGGGCTCTTTAGAATGCTGCTTCTGGAAAGCGTCACCCGCTCTGGGCTACCCAAACCACATGCTGGAAGGAGAGCCGAACCGCTGACGAACCTGGAACCTGGCTCGAACCACAGCAAAGCTTCCAAGTCCAGCAAAGTGAGTAATTGCTTCTTTTGACGAACCAGTGTCAGACATGGACGGACCGCGGCTCGTCGCCCGGAGCCATTCCGATGCCTCCTTGATTAAACTGCACTACCATGACTGGTCCGTACACGTTCCGAACCTCGGGGGTTGAACAAGAAGGCTTCTTCTTCTACACAATCCACTCTGACATGCATACAATGTTGGTACAGTACGTCTGTAATACAGTACTCTGCAGGGGCATGGCGAGGCCCAAGCTCCGTCCGATATATCCATGCAAGTAACTCGGCCCTGGCCCGAGCCGAACCAGAGCCCGTTGGCCAACGAATATCCGATCGAGCTTCCGGACCCTGACAACGTGGGGAAAAAAGGCATGGGGTGACTCGGCAACACCTCTCGGGCCGGGCTGTCAGAGCGCGCCTATACTGCGCCGAAGACTTACACGCTCGAGAGCGATTCCTCGCCGCCTTGATAAAGCTGACGGACTAATCGTACCATGCCAAGCCCATTAGAGGCAAGAGATGTGACCCTGGTCCCATCAGGGTAAGTTTGTACGATGTCTTGGACAGGACATTTCCGCGTAGCCGGAACATTGTTCATGGAACACGACAATGATGCGTTCTTGGAGCAACAAAGCCCCGAGAAACCCTGGAATCGCGAGCGCCAAGCGATGGCGGCTGTCTTGCTGCTTGGTACTGTGTGGTCGACGACATTGGCTTGCGGCCGGGACGCTTCAGCCGACGGAATCAAGGGCCAATCCCTTGTCTAGATGAAAACGAACGACGCTTGAAGGGGGGCTTGTATTCGGTTGTACGGCACTTGGAGGGAACGGCTGGCCGGCCAATCTATGCCTGCCGCCAGACGTACCTATGCAGTACACGGAAGCATTGCAGGCACATCACAATGAGTGCTGGATGCGGGTTGCCTGCTTTCCGGAGTTAAGGGGAAGGACGAAGTTCAGCCCCGTCCTGGACGAAGGCACCCAAGTACGAAATAGATGCGAAATGTGGCCGAGCTTGGGCGTGGGGCTAATGAACAAGAGGGTGCTTGACTGTCGAGAAGGGTGGTCTCTCAGCCGCATTGCTATATGTGCCCATGGGGGGAGAAGGTGTGCATGGAGCTGAGGCGAGGGTCCCTCGTGGCATGTCCAACACGTAGGGGCCAAGATGTGGATGGGCTCATGACTGGGCCCATTACTGGGTTGGACAGAGTGAGGATACGAGCTGCAATCTGGAGCGTTGTGCAGCCCAATCAGAGGCAGCTGGGGGCTAATTTAGGCATTGGAGTGCGCATGTGAGTTGAGAGGATGGGCCGGCGAATCGACAGAGCATGTATGCATGCCACACCTACATATCAAGTATGTAGGATGGTAGGTAAGCAAGGTACCGTACGACAAACATGGCCAATTGTGGCGATGGCCTTGTGATGCGCTGGATGAGTGAGGCCCTGCTCAGTTGAGTGAGGCCCTGCTCAGCCCGAGCGACGGGGCGGAAGTGGTGTAGAGTCGGGAGGCTGCCGGCCGCCGCTGGAAGAAGCGAATCGTCATTGCCCGCGAGTGGAGGGAGGGAGGGACGGTGTTGCAGTTTGCTTCATGATGGGAAAGATGGTGTTGAAGCTGACCTTCAGGGATCAAGTAAGATAAGGTACCTAGGTAACTTACAGAGTAAGTTACTGTAAGTTACTGTACAATACCTTGAAATGAGCAAAGGCACCGTAATGGGCAAGTTGGTGACTGCCTTTTTCTGCTCCGTTCTGCAAGTAACTTACTTACCTGCTGTACTCTGTACTCCGTACAAAGTACCTACTGGCCTCTGCCCTCCTTTTTCCTCACCACTGACGATCCTTCGACAGCCGAACATGAAAGGCCTGAAATCCTTCGACAACCAAAGATGAAAGGCCTGAAAGCAAGCGAGCCTCGGGCACAAAAAACGCCCGTCCTCGCGCCGCCGTCTTGCCGCCCTCGGACGACTCGCCGACATCGAGAGGAACCCTGGAGCCGCCACCTTGTGCGGCGAACAGGGACTTGCAGGCAGCGGCGGCTATCACTGTTCACTGTACGAATCACCTGGCTCGAATCCTCGCAGGCAGGCTGCTCCCTGCTCGCGCCCGGGCATTCGACCCTGTCTCCAAGGATCTCAACATGTCACGTCGGGACACGCTCCGACAACCTAATGAGTGCATCATGTAGGAGACAGACCCGAGATATCCGCACCATGTACTTGTACTGTACATGGTCGCTTGGAGGGAGCGCCACGGCGGTCGACTGACAATACCCTGCTGATCAGCCGTGGAAATGGATTGCTGACTGCGAGGCTCGATCAAGGTAGACGGCGGGCGAGACCGTCGAGCAAAGGACCCTCGTGACAGCGGCTGACGAACAATATTTTGCATTGCACAGTCGCATCGCCTTTCGCGCGCCGCACCCTGGGGTTGACAGCCGACTCCTTGTTGACAAGGTCAATATCGTCGACTTGCTCTGCCCTACCATTTGCCCGCTGTGCGGAGTTACACCCGCCATACAGAGCGCGAGTACGAAGTAGCCGTCGCTAAGCTTCCCGAATCCACCAGCGCGCTACACGATGGGGGCAAACCAAGGCAGTGCAGCGGTGACGACATCCACTTTGGGACGAAACCTCCGTGCCCCTGTCGCCATGTCCTCGACCGCTCTCTGCTTGCTTTCACCCCTTCTGCCGACGTGTCCTGTCTCCCTACAAGCAAGCCGCCGAGTCGGCGCAAAGAAGCATCAAGCCGTCTCTCCATGCGCGCGAGAGGATAAGGGCCAGGACAATTTTGCCGAGTAAGCAGCTAATAACTCGTCGTCATGTAGCTGCGTCAAGAATAGTGTCGCAACTCTCTCGTATTTCTTCCCACGGCGCTCATCCGGCTGCATCGAGCTGCATATATAATTAGCGCCGCCTCTCCACTCTGCGCCGCCGCCAAGGTTCGACAAGACAAGAAAGCTTTGCACTACAGTAATTACGGGTTCACGTCAAATCAGCCTCGTTGACCCTTTTATGCTTGGTACATGTGGCTGTTTCGACAGTGTAAGTTAATTATGGCCCCCCCTGAATCCAGTACCTCATCAAGCCGCCTCCAACCGCATGCAAATGTCGCGCCGTCGACCGGGACCGTCCGTCTACCCGTTCCAGCCCTGCCGTCGACAAGGGGGGCACCTTGGGCTGATGACCGTCTTAGTTAACTTACTCCCCCCCTTTCATTCTTCCACCTCTGGACAATTTCGTCGTCAGGTGTCCCCATCACTTGCATCATACCACACCACGAGCATGTCCCCTGTTGCTCCCCATGCAGCTCCTCTGCGCCTGAGCTGTCCTCCGTTTCTTCCGCCCTCCCCTCCACCATGACCCTGGAACATCCGCCGCCTTTGACCACTCGTGGTCCCTGGTGGGTGGCTCGCCAAGCCTACGGGTTGTGTGCGCATGCAGACCTGCATCTGCATGCTTGGGCTGTATGGGTGTGTTGCGGGAAAGGGTCGCGGCCGCAGGCCCGACAGGCTCGTGCGCTGATGAAGAGGAAGTGAATATATGACAACCAATGCCCATGATGGCCGTGGCATAGTCCCCTTGGCCCACCACTCCGTTCTCCCATCTGGCGCTGTCACGCGTTCCTTCACTCAATTCTCTTTTCCCCAACTCCGGTGCCGTCGTGCCTCGAGTGCCTCAACCGTCAATCATGAAGGCCTCACCGGGTATTTCGCTTCTGACCCTCGTTTTTCTCTGTTCCCCGGCTCCGTGCCGCGCCACGTCTTTGCGCAAACGTGATCTGGTCGTTCCGCCTGGCTTTGACAATGGGTGGAAGTATCAGGGCTGTTATGTGTATTCATTCCTCCCTCACTCCAACCGTTCATCTGGCTCGCCCAAGATACTCATCAGCGAATAGGGATGTGGGCCGTACGCTCGACGGGCCTGATACGGCCGACCCCAAGATGACAAGTGAGAAATGCGCCAACCTTTGCTTTGGCAAGGGTTATCCTTACGCGGGAACCCAGTATCACACTGAGTGCTACTGCGGCAGCAAGATTGCCACTGGTGGAGTCAAAGTCGTAGAGAAAGACTGCAGCACGCCGTGCGGAGGGAATGCCACACAAGCCTGCGGTGGACCAAAGCGGCTCACCTTGTATCAAACAACTCAAATCACGGGCCCGACGGTAAATCCTGGAGTGGACGGCTGGGCATCCATGGGCTGCTACTCGTAAGTGCCGTTTCCTCTCACGAGGCGGCTTGCGCAAGGAACGAGACTCGCAAGGCTGACCGGACCGGGCAGCGAGGGCACCACGGGCCGTGCTTTGACGCAGGGCATCAACAGCGTTCCCGGTGCGCAGATGACTGTGGCCAAGTGCACGGCGGCCTGCAAAGCCTCGGGCCACTCCCTTGCCGGCGTTGAGTTTGGAGCCGAGTGTTGTGAGTGCTCAGAAGCAGAGAGAATAAGCGTCCGCACACCGATAAAACGCTAACCCCGGTGGCTCGTCTTTCTCCCGTTCTCCCCAAAGACTGCGGCACGAGAATCTCAAACGGGGCAAAGCCGGTGGATGGTGGCTGCAGCACGCCTTGCAGGGGCAACAGTTCGGAATACTGCGGCGGAGGTGGTCGCCTGAACGTGTACGGCAACAACGTGCAGACCCCCACGAGTACGAGGTGAGTGAGAGCGGCCTGGGACCCCCGGGGTGAAAGCAACCACCAGAAGTGGGACTTGGAATACTCGGTACTGATTGAGAGGCCGGAACGTCAACACCAACAGCGCATCGGACGGATCCGCGACCCCGACTGCTTGTCCCAGCCAGCCCCAGAGCGTGGGCGACTGGATGTCGTACGGCTGCTACACCGAGGCGACTGCCGGGCGGGCTCTGAGCGATAAGTCGTACTCGGCCAACGACATGACGCTGGCAGCGTGTGCCAAGTTCTGCGCCGGGTACTCGTATTTTGGCATCGAATTCTCGCGCGAGTGCTTCTGCGGAAGCAAATTAAACGACGGCGCTGCCAAGAGGCCGGACTCGGAGTGCAGCATGGTCTGCTCGGGCTCCGACTGCGAATTCTGCGGCGCGGGCAGCCGTCTGTCCGTTTACAACACCAAGGGCGGCGGTGTCGATCCTCGCAGCACCGCGCAAGGAGGCGCGGGCCCCCAGGTGACGGGGCTGCCGGACGGCTGGGCAGCCTACGGATGCTGGGTAGACGGAGTCAAGGGCCGCATTCTCGGCAAGCAGGTGCCCGATGACCCCAAGCTGACGCTCCAGTCCTGCGCAAAGACGTGCGCGGGCCTCGGCTACACCGTCGCGGGCGCCGAGTACTCGCGGCAGTGCTTCTGCGGCAACCAGATCGTCAATGGCGGTGTCCGGGCCAAGTCGGAGTCAGAGTGCAACTCGGAATGCGGCGGCGACAAGACACAGAAATGCGGCGGGCCCGGCAGGATGAGCATCTTGTCCGTGGGCGAGCCCCAGGTCCTCGAGCCGCCCCGGGCGATCCCCCAGGTGGGCGACTGGGCTTACCAGGGCTGTGTGCAGGACAACGTCAACCAGACGCGCACCTTTTTCTGGCAAAACTTCTTCGAGGCCAACATGACGCCGACGGCCTGTCTCGAGAGGTGCGGCAGCTTTGGATACATGGCCGCCGGCATGGAGTACGGCAAGGAGTGCTACTGCGGTGACCCGGCCAACATCAAAACGGCCGGGGCCAAGTATCTCGACGACACCGAGTGCAACATCCCCTGCACGGGCAACGCCTCGGCCCTCTGCGGCGGCGGCAGCCGGCTGACGACGTATTTCTGGAAGGGCGAGCCTTTCTACTCGTGGAATTTCCCCGAAGCCGGCACCCCGGACGCCGGATCCTACGACTTCCTCATCGGCGGCGTTTGCGTGCCTCTGATGACATCGCAGGCCATCACCGGCAAGGTCACCTTCCTGGAGAAATGGGGCACCGGCCCGCCCAACTCGACGGGCGCCTACGAGCTTGACCTCTCCCTTATTAGCGACTTCAAGGCGGCGTGGCGGGCGATGCACGTTAAGACGGACATCTTTTGCGCCGGCGGCATCACCCTGCCGGACAAGGCCGGCCGCCAGCTCACCGTAGGCGGCTGGTCGGGCGACTCGACCTACGGCGTCCGCATCTACACGCCCGACGGATCTCCCGGGGTGCCGGGCAAGAATGACTGGCAGGAGAATGTCGACGTCCTCAAGCTTCAAGACGGCCGCTGGTATCCGTCGGCTATGATCATGGCCAACGGCTCAGTCCTCGTTATTGGCGGAGAGGTTGGCTCGAACGGCGCCCCCGTGCCGACCCTCGAGCTCTTGCCCTCGACCGGCACCAAGCCTCTGCGCATGGACTGGCTCGAGCGCACCGACCCTAACAATCTATACCCCTTCATGGCCGTCCTCCCTTCTGGAGGCATCTTTGCCGCCTACTGGAACGAGGCTCGCATCCTCGACGAGAATACCTTTGCCACTATCAAGACGCTGCCCAACATGCCCGGCGCCGTCAATAACCCCAAGGGCGGCCGCACATATCCGCTCGAAGGCACGGCCGTCCTGCTTCCTCAGCGCGCCCCCTACACCGACCCGCTCGGCATCCTCCTCTGCGGCGGCTCGACAGAGGGAGCCTCGACGGCGCTCGACAACTGCGTCAGCACCTACCCAGATACACCCAGCCCCAAGTGGACGCTCGAGCGCATGCCGTCGCAGCGCGTGATGCCCTGCATGGCCCCCCTTCCCGACGGCACCTACATCATCGCCAACGGCGCTCACCACGGCGTTGCCGGCTTCGGCTTGGCCAAGGACCCGAACCTCAACGCCCTGCTCTACGATCCGGCCAAGCCCATCGGGCGCCGCATCACCGTCATGGCCAATACGACCGTGGCTCGCCTGTACCACTCGGAAGCAATTACACTGCTCGACGGCCGCGTGCTTATCTCGGGCTCCGACCCCCAGGACGGCGTCAATCCCGAAGAGTACCGCGTTGAGACATTTACGCCGCCCTATCTGCTCAAAGGCAAGCCTCGCCCTACCTTTACGCTGAAAAACACCGACTGGAAGTACGGACAGCAGGTCTCGTTCAACCTGGGAGGTGCCGCACAGAACGGGGACATCGCCGTCTCGCTGCTGGGCTCTGTGTCTAGCACCCACGGCAACTCGATGGGCGCGCGCACCATCTTTCCCGAGGTTTCGTGCTCGGGAACTTCTTGCACCGTCACGTCCCCGCCCGGAAAGTACGTTTGTCCGCCAGGCTGGTACCAGTTCTTCGTCCTGGACGGCGGAATCCCGGCCGTCGGCGTCTTCGTCCGCATCGGTGGCGATCCTGGCGAGGTGGGCAACTGGCCCAAGGGCGACGGCTTCACCAGGCCCGGAGTCTGAGGGGCGAGACAAAGTCATTTTTTTTCCTGTCGAATTTCTTCTCTATTCTCGTATTGTTTAATTTCTCTTAGGGAATGAAGGCTACGAGCACACTCGGGGGCTATCGGAGGAGCACGGCTGTGGAATGAGGAGACAATAAGAGGATGAGAGCGCTCAAAAGGCTTGGCCTGGCGAGCTGATGTATATGCTTTGGGCGAGTGACTGAAACGGGGGCAAGACTCGGTAAACGGAGCGTGAGAGGGAGCATTGGAGCTTAGTTGTGCACTTTGTATGCTTTCTTGGCTGCGCTACCGGACGACGTTACCTAGATTTAGGGCGTGATTGCTGATGTTACTCGCCAGAATGTGTTCATTGACCAACTCTCCACGTTCTTCATACGTCGGTCACGGATTACTTGTTGCGGAGAGGGGCGAGGAGTACGAGGGCTGTTGAGTCTTGTGGCCGGGCACCCTTTCTGGCTTTGCGAGTCTTGGGCCGTTTGGTCGTCCCCTCGCCCTGACCTATTCGCCTATGCTTTCGAATCCTGCCTGAAAGACATAGAGCACGTTCTGATTGTCTTCACCTTCCCTCGAGGTGCCCTCCATCTCCAAGGCTGCTCAGTGAAGGCCCGTCCATAATTACCTGTTGGCAACTGCCCGCGTAGCTTTCAAGCATCCGACCGCTCAGCTCGTCCCCGCCGATCAACCTCGACCCCGTCGGAGACAAAGTCAAGCTAGCCGACTGCTTTGTGCCCCAGAGCAGTGGCGGTGGGTTGAGTCACCTTAGTTCCAGGTCGTCATCAAACCTTGCCGCCGCAAGCAAGCGTGCGCTTAAAAACAAGCATATATGAGGCGCCGACGATTCCCCATCTCGAGCAGCCTGATGTCATCAAGCCCGGTGCGACGACCGATGGACATGCCGAGTTCTGGTTGTATTGATTGGGTGCGATGCGCACATAATATCGCTGGTTCGGATGGAGTCGTGGATGAGCCAGACCCCGGGCTGCAATGCCGGGCGGGGCCGATATTTGCGGGGCCACCGGGGGCGGGCGAGTGCCGGCTCCGGGCTCCCCACGCAAGACGCGACGTCACGATGACAGCTCAGTTCTCCCAGTCTCATCCCCCTTTGGCCGTGTGTTCTCCGTCCCGACTTAGTGGAGCATGATGGCTGTATGTAAGTTGTCAGCCCCTCGGCCGCCGGGCGCAAGTGATGGGGTAGCCCAATGGCGCGAAGCCCGACACGTGTTCTCCATTCTCCCGGCGTCGTTTAATTTCTCCTATTTTTTTTCTTTGGCGTATCGTACTCATGCTAGAAACTATTTTTATTGTTGGAGCAGCAATCCGTTGGGGCAATGTCTCCCAATGCGTGGCGCTTAAGAGGGTATTCCCTTATAATTAATCTTAGTTATATTTTACGGGCATCCCTCTGTCCCCTCATCATGTTGATGATACGGCGCAGATGAGAAGACCATAGTCTGCAGGTGAGACTTACAAGAGTTACAATGATGAGCCGCATCTTGCTTGCTGTCGTTGCCTTGGTCTTGGGCGTGTCTGCCAGTCCGGCACACGCCCCCGAGGGCTTCAACGTCACCGTTGATCTCGGATATACCCTCCACCAAGGCTTCCTCAATGTGGGTGATCACGATGACCTGCGGTCGCCGCATGCCTAGGACCCAAGCTGACCTCACCCTAAATCCCCAGAAAACAGGCGACTTTTACACCTTTAGCAACATCCGTTTCGCCGAGCCGCCGGTGGGCGAGCGACGCTTCAAGCCGCCGGTCCCCGTCTCGACAGACCAACGCTTCAAGCCGCCGGTCTCCGTCTTGACAGCCCACCGCACCGTCAACGATGGATCCGTCGGCATCGCCTGTCCGCAGAGCATGCCGGAGTGGATCCTCGCAAAGGCTGCCAAGGAGCAGGACGGCTCTGCCTCTGCGATGCACCAGATGTTCGAGGTCGACCAGGAGCAAGACGAAGATTGCTTGTTTCTGGATGTCATGGTGCCGAGGAAGATTTATGAGAGAAGACCGGGTGGGATGGATGAGGATTCTGGTCAATACGGCAAAGCCGGCTTTAGCCCAAAGAGTCGAGGTTCGTCAGCCCCGCGCTGGGGTTTTACAGCGGGATAGAGTCGTCAGACTGACCAACGCACGACGTGCAGCCCCAGTCGTGGTATGGATCTTTGGCGGCGGCTATGTCTTTGGTACGTATCCAGCTTGAGCTCCTAGTCTGTTGACGAGCCAGGTCGTATTGTCCTTGGGGACCAAGACAAGAAGCTGATCCATCTTTAGGCCAGAAGCGCATGGTCGGTTCCGAGATCGACAACCCTGCCGGGCTGATTGCGCGCTCCCACGATAACGGCGGCGAGGGCGTCGTCTACGTTGCCATCAACTATCGCCTGGGCTTGTACGGCTGGCTTAACGCCGGCGACGACCAAGACGTCTTTCCCAACGTCGCTCTGCAGGACCAGCGGGTGGCTCTGGAGTGGTGAGCCGACATGCCCCCGAAGTGCCAAGCGTGCAGGCTGACTGGCGGACCAGGGTGAAGAAGCATATCCATCATTTTGGCGGTGATCCCGACAATGTCACCGTCTTGGGCGAGTCGGCCGGTGGCGGCAGCATCATGCACCACATCACGGCAGAGGGTGGGAAAGCAAAGGTCCCTTTCAAACGCGCCATCATCCAGAGCCCTGGCTTCCAGACGGTTGTCGACGCCCCGGGAATCTGGAAGCGTACCTTGTCCACGGCCAGCAAGCTCGCGGGCCACAAGATTCAAAACGGCGCCGATCTTGCTGCTCTCGACCCCGAGACCCTCTCCAAGGTCAACAACAGGGTCGTCGCCGAGTCACCGGACGGCACCTACACGTTCGGGCCAACGGTCGACGGCGGCTATGTGGCCGACTTGCCCGGCGTCCTGTTGCTCGAGGGCAAGTTCGATCAAAGTCCGGATCTGATGATGGGTCACAACGCAAACGAGGCGCTTGTATACCTCGAGCCCGGTGAGATCACCGAGCGCGACATCAAGACCAGGGCCAAGGCCGTCCTGCCAGGGATTACCAAGTGGGTCAGGCGTTTCATCTGGACCCAACTCTACCCGCCGCCGCACAGAACGAAGCTGTACAAGACGGAGCACGAGAGGGGCGTGCTCTTCATGTCGGAGCTCTCCTTCACCTGCAACACACGATACCTAAGCACCGCCTGGGGCAACAAGACGTGGAACTACCGGTTCCAAGTGCCGCCGGGGGCTCATGGCCAAGACTTGTCGTACACCTTCTACAGCGGTCCAAACAACAGGACCGATGGAAAGCTGGCCGAGGACATGCAGCGGTACTTTGCAAATTTTGCGCGGTCTGGCAACCCCAACGTTGGGGGAACGCTGCCTGACTGGCCCGTGTACGGCGAGAGCGCGCGGCTCGCGACGTTTGGACCGGAGGGAATCGGCACCGACGTGGATAAGACCCGGAACGAGCGGTGCGCGTATTGGCAAACGGGCAAGTATCGATTATGAATGGAGAGGTCTGGCTGGAGGTGCTGGGAAGGACGCGCGCTGCTCTGGTTGCCGGTCCGATGCTCGGCCAGTGATTCGCTTTCCATATATCTTGGACCTGTCCGATGGAAGAAGAAGTGAGGAGTAACAGAGCCAAGAGCGGGCAGAGATGAAGGGTGTAATTGTCGTGTCCCTGAATGAGAGCTCCGCTGGTGAATTTGATGGGAAGGTCGACGTGAAGTTTCTGGCGCCAAGTTTAGTTGCTGCGGAAAACGGAACGCCTTGAACGTTGCGACGCGCCCTGGCTTCGTGACTTGCCAATGCATAGGGAACGGGCGGCGTAGACGGATGAACAAGGCGCTAGAAGTCGCGGACGAAGGTTGGTCTTGTCGTCTCTTTTGGGGGGCCCCATAATCATGGATGGAGGTTGACGATATGAGATATGAAGGAGGTGGTCAACGCTGCTGCGTGTGCACGTGACGTGCGGCCCGCCAAAATTCGGCGATGAGCCGCTGGCCCCGGAGCCAAGCATCTTCGCTCTCAATCTCCCTTCCCAAGTCCCTCCGCAGCGCCCATCACGAATTGACGGCCCGGCACTCTTCAAGATGGCGGCACTTGTCAAGGCGGCGAACGCCAAGATCAGATCCAACCCCATGCTGAGCTACGTTTGCTCGACTCGTGCGCCCCCCCCCCCTTTTCCTTCTACTCCGACTGCACTGCATCCGTGGCCTCTCGCAGCGAACACGCCGCATGGGGGCAGTGCCGGGAGACCATGCTCGGGCATCGTGAAAAGCCTCAGCATGCTCTGAAGCGTCTTTGCACCGAGAGCGTACACAGTCAATAGCTCCCGCTGCTCTCGTGACGCTCGAGAGCTTGCCCCGAATATCGGAGCTTGCGGGTTGGACCAGCCCGGAGGAACACAAAACTGACGTCTTGGTGCAACAGACTTCTGGGGTCCCGTATCCAACTTTGGCATTCCTGTGGCCGCTGTCCTGGACACGCAGAAGAGCCCTGACCTGTGAGCCTCCCCATTCCTCCGTCGCCAGTCGCTCCGCCCTTCTAACGCGTCGTCTCTCGCAGCATCTCGGGACAGATGACGGGTGCTCTGTGCGTCTACTCTCTGACCTTTATGCGCTACTCCCTCGCCGTAACACCCCAGAACTACCTCCTCTTCGCATGCCACTTTGTCAACGAGTGCGCCCAGCTCACGCAAGGGTACCGATACCTGTCATACCACAACTGGGGAGGCAAAGAGAAGCTGCAACTTGAAAAGGGCGTCGAGGCGGCCAAGGCAAAGGTCGAAAAGGTCGGCGACAGCGTCAAGAGCGCCGTCAGCAAGTAACCGGTGGCGGCGGCTGCGGCCAGGAGAGCCGTCGGGAGCTCGGGGTGACATGGGCCGGAATATCGGGCGACTGGGCTCCTGAGATCCGGGAAGCCGACCGGTTCCGGGGGGACATCTACTGTATGCGAGCTGACCCTTGTCTCGGGGCCAGCTACGCTCGATCACCAATTACGCAGCTACTCGCACCAAGCACACCCAGCAAGAGGGATTGGGGCCCGCGAGATGCTGTCAGAGGGGCTTGCAAAGCTTTAGACCACAATGAGCAAGCGTCACTGGTGCCCCAGCCATGCCAGGCATGTGAAGAAGGGTGCCGAGCTGATGTTGGCATGGATATGGAAGTCAACATCTTTGTGACCATTTTGGCTCTGATGTAATAAACGCATCCATCCACTTAGTACAGACATGTTGACGTAAGGCGAAGAATAGAGTGCGTCGACGCAGCTGTGCCCCTGGCTGCCTGGCAAGGCACACGGCTCTTGCGCGGAAGGGACCGCGTCTGATGCGATGACACCAGTTGGCTGGCCGTGCTCAGCTTTCCAGAAGCTCCGTGGCTACCGTCGGATACCCATGGCTTACAAGACCGATAGGGAAGGGCCGGGACGTGGGAAGCCAGCTCGGACGGGATGTGACGCCGGATGCATGCGTCGTCATGGAAGTTGCGGGGAAGCCCTGCGGCCTGAGCCAAAAGGGCACAGAGGACGACCGTTTGCCGGGACGGGCTGAGGCCAGCGCATCTTGTTCTTCGCGACTGACCGGCACTGCCTGGGCTTCATGGGGGTATTCGGGTCTTGTAGGGAATGGCCAAGGTCGGGACATCGCGGCTCGAGGCCAGCTACGCTGCTATCCCGTGTCACATGGACGGCACGAGCTCGTTCGTGCGAAAGGATTACGTTGCGCTGCTCACATGCCTCAAGGTCCATCAAAGCCCAGAAGTTGGCGATACAGGGGACCTTGAGGACGTGGTAATCGCGTCTAAGACAAAGACAGCAGCCGAGGCCTTGAGCGTAAAGGGAGCGAGTCGAATGGGAGGGAGGAGGGGCGGGTCAGCCCGCGCACCAGCAGCTCGGGAGAGCACTACCGACACTGGCGAAAATGTTCAGGACGAAACAGCCGGTGGATGGAGGTCTCGTGTCACGAAAATAGCTCTCCGGCGGCTGTCGTCGCGCATCTCGCCGGCCATGACGGGAGGGGAGGGGAGCAGCTCGGGCCAAGGGTCGAAGCTCCCGTCGAAAAGGGCCGTGTAAGCGTTGCCTGATCCCCGTGGATCCCTCCCCCCACGACCGAGAGGATTGGCGACGCCGAGCAACGGGGCAGACGGCGAGGTCGGCGGTGAAACAGGGAGAAGGGAGCTGGAGGAGCACGGTACGTAGGGCGGGGCTGGGTCACTGCGAGCCTGCGTTTTTGGTGCACGTGAGCCGTACAGTGGGACAAAGGGTTTGGGGAGGCGAGCAAGCAGCTCGTGGCAAAAGCGTTGGGCTACTGTCATCATAGGTACAGTAGGTACAGTATGTAGTAGGTAGGACTGAGGATGCCGCATGTACCTCGTGCGTCGCCTGACTGGTCCTCGATACTCCGACCGAGCTGCGGAGGTAGTGGCGGATGCGGTAGGTTATACTCCTGCAAGCCCCGCACTAACATGGAGCATGTTTCGTGAAAAGCTGCTACAAACCAGGAACAACTGAAGAAGCTTATCAGGGCGTCCAAGGATTGCTATCTGAGCGCCATGATTGGCCAATTCAGCATCCGATGCGAGCTGTTACATCGGTCCCGTGCAAGCCTCGAAATAGCAGCCAAGTAACTTATCTCTTGGCCAGTTTCAAGACGGACCAACTCCCTCCACTCCCTCCTCGTCTCTTGGCAGAACCTCCTCGCACATCATCTGTCTCGAGCCCGCTCGGGTTAGCATCCCTTGGCACAGGGCTTTTTAGCCTCCTTGGCCAAGTGGCGGGAGGGTCGAACCGCCAAGCCAAGCCGTCTGTCTGCAGCTATGCGCCGCCTGGAGCAAGCCAGAGCCCCGTGTGGGCGAGGCTTACCGTGCGCGCGCGCAGGCAGAGCACCAAACATAGCTGTCCGAGTCGATACCCGGTGCTTCGACGCAGCCAAGGATGGCAGCAGATCAGGGTCGACGGAGACGCTCCCTGTTGCCGGGCAGGGCCGATCGAATGGCATGCTGGCTTCGGACTTCAACCCGTAGCCGCAAATAAAATTAGCACGAGACCAGGGGAGAACCAGCGGGCACGCACGGGGGTCGTCGTCCTTGTGCAAAACACGTACCAAGTAAACTGGTTTACCTTGCCCGGTAGGTGACTCGTGATGCGTGTATCAAAGCTTGGATGCTCGTGCACCGCAAATCCCCTCATCGGCTGTCGTAGGTACATGCTCTTTGGGGGTTCGGGAGTGCCGAGTACCTGTACATCTACGGATTGGCAGAGAGCTCGGCTTCACCCCCGCAGGCTACAGTGCAAACTCTTGTAGCGCTACCTCCCTCGACACACCCCGAGGTCCCACCCGCCTCTATTTTACCGCTCTCCCTCGACTCTCTCTTCCCTTTCTCCCGTCTTATCCTCCTCAAGCCCATCGCCTCTTGCTTCGCCGTCTCTCCTCGCCAGCCTAGACGCCGACCAAGACGACGTCGACGACGACTGCATCCTCTACCCCTTCCCTCTCAACAGCTCCCGGATAGCGGCTTCCAGATAGCGGCCCCCCGCCCCCACCAGGCCAAAAGACCCCGCGGCGGCACCTCGTCATCTCCGACCGAGCTTGGGGGGAGATTCCACTTCAAACACCTCTCCTCACCTACTACAAATAAATACCACGCCCTGCGCTTCCCTCTCATCCGGCCTCGAAAACTCCTCCAACCCTCTGCTTCCTCGCTGCGTCCGGTCCACAATGTCGGTTCCCGAGATGTCGGCCCCTCAGCTGGCCCTCAGCTACAACGATGTCTTCGAAGACGAGGATGTCGACGAGCCCAGGTCGGTCCACCACATCCGCGCCAACTCGAGCATCATGCAGCTCAAAAAGATTCTCGGTGAGTCATGGACAGCCTCTTCACTTGGCCCGCCCCGCCACTAGCCGCTGGCCCGGCGAGCTCTCGCTAACTGCTTCGTTCTTGCTTGGCCTGCAGTCGCCAATCGCGGTGAAATCCGTAAGTTGCCCACGCACCCTCTCTGCATCTGCATCTGCTAACACGCGCAAGCCATTCGGGTATGCACCGATTGTTGCCCCACCAGTTCCAGTCTCTCGGATTCCCTTGTGCTGACCCTCTCTCGCGACGACAGATTTTCAGAACTGTACGTGACTCTTGATCCGTTCCCAAAAGCCATTGTCCATACTGACCCTATTTCTAGGCCCACGAGCTTTCGCTACATACTGTCGCTGTCTACAGGTACCTTGATTTGAACCGCCCCAGACCTCTCGTGGCACGCCAGTTGCTGATCCACCACCAGTTATGAGGACCGTTTAAGCATGCACCGGCAGAGTACGAATGCCACCTGCACCCCTCTCCTTACGATTGCGTGCTGACGACGTGTCCCACAGAGGCCGACGAGGCATACGTCATTGGCAAGCGAGGCCAGTACACGCCCGTCGGAGCATATCTCGCCGGCGACGAGATCATCAAGATTGCTGTTGAGCACGGCGCTCAATTGATCCACCCAGGTCAGTTCTGCCCACACCTCGACAGGTTTGTCAAGTTGCTAACGCCAGCCAGGCTATGGCTTCCTGTCCGAAAATGCCGAGTTTGCTCGCAATGTCGAAAAGGCCGGCCTCATTGTAAGCCACCCGCTTCGTCCGTCGCTCAGACACATTTAAACTGACCCACTTGGCCCTGATGATAGTTCGTTGGTCCTAGCCCCGACGTCATCGACTCCCTCGGCGACAAGGTTTCGGCCCGCAAGCTGGCCATCGCCGCCGGGGTCCCCGTTGTTCCTGGAACCGAGGGCGCCGTCGCCAAGTACGAGGAGGTCAAGTCTTTCACCGACAAGCATGGCTTCCCCATCATCATCAAAGCCGCCTACGGTGGTGGCGGCCGAGGCATGCGCGTGGTCCGCGACGCCGACAGCCTGCAGGAATCCTTTGAACGGGCCACTTCCGAAGCAAAGTCGGCTTTCGGCAACGGCACCGTCTTTGTCGAGCGCTTCCTCGACAGGCCCAAGCACATCGAGGTACAGCTCCTCGGCGACAACCACGGCAACATTGTCCACTTGTACGAGCGAGACTGCTCCGTCCAGCGCCGCCACCAAAAGGTGGTCGAAATCGCCCCGGCCAAGGACCTCCCGGCCGAGACGAGGGATGCCATCCTGGCCGATGCCGTCAAGCTGGCCAAGTCTGTCAACTACCGCAATGCCGGCACTGCGGAGTTTCTGGTTGATCAACAGAACCGCTACTACTTCATTGAAATCAACCCCCGTATCCAGGTCGAGCACACCATCACCGAGGAAATCACCGGCATCGACATTGTCGCTGCGCAGATTCAGATTGCTGCCGGTGCCACCCTGTCGCAGCTCGGCTTGACGCAGGACCGCATCTCGACGCGCGGCTTTGCCATCCAGTGCCGAATCACAACGGAGGATCCGGCCAAGCAATTCCAGCCAGACACGGGCAAGATTGAAGTCTACCGATCCGCCGGCGGCAACGGCGTTCGTCTTGACGGCGGCAACGGCTTTGCGGGCGCAGTCATCACCCCCTTTTACGACTCCATGTTGGTCAAGTGCACGTGCCAAGGCTCAACCTACGAAATCGCCCGCAGAAAGGTTCTCCGAGCCCTCATCGAGTTCCGCGTCCGAGGCGTCAAGACCAACATTCCCTTCATCGTCTCTCTCCTAACTCACCCAACCTTCATTGACGGCAATTGCTGGACGACCTTTATCGACGACACGCCCCAGCTCTTCGACTTGGTTGGTAGCCAAAACCGAGCCCAGAAGCTGCTCGCCTACCTTGGCGACGTCGCCGTCAACGGCAGCTCCATCAAGGGCCAGATTGGCGAGCCCAAGTTCAAGGGCGAGATCATTCCTCCCCAGCTCTTCACCTCTGACGGCACCAAGGTGGACGTCAGCCAGCCCTGCCAAAAGGGATGGCGGAACATCATCGTGGAGCAGGGTCCCAAGGCCTTTGCCAAAGCTGTCCGCCAATACAAGGGCTGTTTGCTCATGGACACCACCTGGCGTGATGCTCACCAGTCGCTGTTGGCCACTCGTGTGCGAACCGTCGACTTGCTCAACATTGCCAAGGAGACCAGCCACGCCCTGTCCAACCTGTACAGTCTGGAGTGCTGGGGCGGCGCGACCTTTGACGTTGCCATGCGATTCCTGTACGAGGACCCCTGGGACCGTCTCCGGAAAATGCGAAAGCTCGTGCCCAACATCCCCTTTCAGATGCTCCTGCGAGGCGCCAATGGCGTTGCATACTCCTCTCTGCCTGACAACGCCATTGATCAGTTTGTCGAGCAGGCCAAAAAGAACGGCGTCGACGTCTTCCGCGTCTTCGACGCCCTAAACGACATTGACCAGCTCGAAGTCGGCATCAAGGCCGTCCACAAGGCCGGCGGTGTGGCCGAGGGAACAGTCTGCTACAGCGGTGACATGCTGAACCCCAGCAAGAAGTACAATCTCGAGTACTACATGGATCTCGTCGACAAGCTGGTCAAGCTCGACATTCATGTTCTTGGCATCAAGGACATGGCTGGCGTCCTGAAGCCCCACGCCGCCACGCTCTTGATTGGCTCCATTCGCAAAAAGTACCCTGACCTTCCTATCCACGTCCACACGCACGACTCGGCGGGCACTGGCGTTGCGTCAATGGTTGCCTGCGCCAAGGCCGGTGCCGACGCCGTCGATGCCGCCACCGATAGCTTATCCGGGATGACGTCGCAGCCCAGCATCAACGCCATCCTGGCCTCTCTCGAGGGCAGCGAGCTCGACCCCGGCCTGGACCCCAAGCAAGTCCGCGCCCTCGATATTTATTGGTCGCAGCTGCGCCTGCTGTACTCTCCCTTCGAAGCCCACCTCGCTGGACCCGATCCCGAGGTGTACGAGCACGAGATTCCCGGAGGCCAGCTGACCAACATGATGTTCCAGGCCTCTCAGCTCGGCCTAGGCTCTCAATGGATGGAGACGAAAAAGGCGTACGAGCACGCCAACGATCTTCTCGGCGACATTGTAAAGGTGACGCCCACGTCCAAGGTTGTGGGAGACCTCGCGCAGTTCATGGTGTCCAACAAGCTGTCTGCCGACGATGTCAAGGCTCGTGCGTCGGAGCTCGACTTTCCCGGGTCGGTCCTCGAGTTCCTGGAGGGTCTCATGGGCCAGCCCTACGGAGGATTCCCCGAGCCGCTGCGGTCCAACGCTCTGCGCGGCCGACGGAAGCTCGACAAGCGACCGGGCCTGTTCCTCGAGCCGGTCGACCTCGTCAAGGCCAAGAAGGACCTGGTCAAGAAGTTTGGCGGCCCCGTCACGGAGTGCGACATTGCATCGTACGTCATGTATCCCAAAGTGTTTGAGGATTACAAGAAATTTGTGCAGCAGTTCGGCGACTTGTCGGTCCTGCCGACGCGGTACTTTTTGGCAAGGCCCGAGATTGGCGAGGAGTTCAACGTGGAGCTGGAGAAGGGCAAAGTTCTCATCCTCAAGCTCCTTGCGGTTGGTCCGCTGAGCGAGAACACGGGCCAGCGCGAGGTCTTCTTTGAGATGAACGGTGAGGTTCGGCAGGTTACGGTCGTGGACAAGAAGGCGGCCGTGGAGAACGTCAGCCGTCCCAAGGCGGATCCCGGCGACTCGAGCCAGGTGGGCGCGCCCATGTCAGGCGTCATGGTGGAGATGAGGGTGCACGAGGGCTCGGACGTCAAGAAGGGAGACCCGCTGGGGGTGCTGTCGGCCATGAAGATGGTAAGCTTGCAAGGCGCCCTCGTTTTCGTCATGTCGTATACTAACAGGCACCTCAGGAAATGGTCATCTCTGCGCCGCACAGCGGAAAGGTGGCGAGCCTGCAGGTCAAGGAAGGTGACTCGGTGGACGGATCGGATCTGGTGTGCAGGATCACCAAGGGGTAGGCTCGGAGCGGCGGGGGGGATATACACCGAAAGGTCCGTGTAGTCTGGCGCATGAAGAGGCGGATTATTCCTAGGAGTCTGCTTTCCCTTGATAGTTGCAGGTTTTTGAACATGACTTGGAGCATGGTTATGTGCTAGCTAGGCGATGGGGTTTGACGTGAATGTGTGGCTAACCTGTTCAACATCCAATGTCTTGATGAAAGTGGCCGGTTTGGCGTAAAAGCTTGGGGTGATGAGCCGAGGGGGGACTGGTTGGCGGGTATACGGTGGATTAGGACGTGAGGAGCAAGGTCGAAAGGGGCCCCCCTTTTCCCTCCCTTTATCGCACATGAATATATATATATATATCGCAGCTTATATGGACTGTCCAAAGACCGGGCGCCTTTCACAGCACCAACTGCCAAGATGCTTGTTGCCGGATACATGCAGCCATTCTGCGGCACAAGTAACGGATCAATTCAGTATCGGATGCCCAGGCTTGGTCCTCTTATATAGCCGTGCCGACGTGGTGTCGGCTGCCACTCTCTTCATAGGACGCTTGGCCGAATAGTATCGCGAATCCGCTTGTTCCAAACCAAAGTCACCAAGGCAGACGCGCTACGGCCGGGAAATAGCGCCTTGATGCTGGGGATGGTGAAATCCATTTCCAGCCCCTCGTCGATGGCCGTTTTTGCAATCTTTTGTACCATCCGCGAGACAAGCCGGAGCCTCCGTGGCTCCAGAATTTGCTTGGTGAGCTTTTTGAGCTGGACCTGCAGGGCGCCCTTGATGCCGTCGAGTTGCAGCTCGACCTCTGCGTCGAGAAAGTCATCGACTGTACCCGGACACTGAGGGGCAATCTGGTAACTAACTTGATTCGTAGGCCATGATGGCGCCGAGGACGTGGGCGAGGGGAAGCATGACGGGACGAGAGTCGCGGGAGCTCGGCATGTCGAGGTAGAGCTGCTCGACGGCGTCGAGGTGTGCAAAGGCAAGCTCCTTGGCCTCGGCGATGGCGTCGTTTGCGTATTCGACGCCGCGGCTCCAAAACGGCTGCTCGTCGGCCAGGGGCAGTCGACTGCAGCCAGCACTTGAAGAGGAAGACGAAGCCCTTGAGGGTGCTCGGCGAGCCAGCCGCGGGTGCAGACCAGGATATCCTGGCGCGTCAGGTCATGGATGTAGTAGAGCTTGGAGGCCGGGTCGGCGCCAAAGGCATCCTCGAAGACATTCAAGGGCCGGCTCGACAGACAAAACTTGAGGTTGGCCGATCTCGAGAGGGTCTGGAGGAGATGGCGGAGCTCAAAGTGGTCGCCGTCGAAGTCGTCGATGCCGTCGATGAAGATGCAGTGCCCGACGCCAAAGGCACGGTGCTCGGCAATGCGTCGAAGAGCGTCGAGAAGCTCGTGCAGGGTGCACTCCTTTGGGTTTTCGGAATCCAGGAGCCCATTCTCGACCACCGGCGAGGATAGACATCGCCCTTCAGCTCGGGGCTTATGCGGAAGACGTCGTAGAGAAACGTCTGGAGGAGCCCCTTTTGGGATTTCTGCGTCTTGGAGCCAAGCGTCCAGAAGTAATGGGCGGCCACGACGTGCTTCTTGGGGCAGACCCATTTCTCCAGCGCTTTGTGCGTCTTGTCATGGTCGGCCATCCACTTGATCAGCGTCGACTTGCCCGATCCTGCCTTGCCAGACACCGAGAAGATGCCGTCACCGTGTCTCAGGCAGGTGGAGGGAGGGCAGAGAAGTCAAGGTCGTTTCCACGAACTCGAAGCATTTCCACGTCGAAGGGAACAAGCCCGGTGGTGCAAAAGTTGGTTGCCGTCGGTTTCAATATACAGACACTCGGCTTGCGAGCGGGAGCGACAGTGGCATATTAATAATATCCGACAGGGGCTTGATATAGATATACATGGATACCTAATATAGTCTTCAATGCCCAACTAGGTAGTCCCGTACGGGTATTAGGATGTTCCTATATATCAGTTATACCCCTAATGCGTCCCGCTGCTGAGAGCCAGTTACGCCTTGGGGGGTCATTCTATTGATGCCCTGACTCGGCTGACCCCCTGGTTACTTTACAACTTATAGTTCTCCCCAGCAGATGGCCACCGTCCCATCGGTTCACCCACGTGTTTGCCAAGGCCAGCGCTGCGGGCCCTGAAGCGGAGATGGGTGGATCACTACCAGCGTGGATCATCACCAGCACAACGATGGGGTGGAGCCTATAGGCCTTGGAACATCCGACCGCTTTGTGATTGGGACTTGGCGCAATTCGAGGACAAGATGCCGTGGACGGTGCCGAAAATGCGCCCCTTTTAAGTCCCTGCACATAGAAATGGGCACCCCCCTGTTTTGGGCACCCAAGATGGGTGCCCAACCTAAACGGCTGCGTCAACTTCAACAGCAAATTTCACCGCGGAAACGCATCCAATCTGCTAAAAAATTGACGCATGTGTCTTCAAGCCACTACTGATGAAATATACAGAGTCTGACATTCACAGCGCCCTTGAGGCAATCGCCAATGGCGGATCCGCCAAGAAGGCTGCTCGCGATTGGGGCGTCCTGAGGGCAACTCTTTACAATCGCATGCATGGTCACGAATGCAGAAAGGATGCATTTTCTGCTCTTCAGAGGCTTTCAGACACAGGAAAAGCAACTTACCGAATGGATTCTCATTCAGGACGCCTTGGGCCTTCCTCCCACTCACTCGCAGATCAGGCAGTTCGCGCAGCGCATGCTCGCCGTCAAAGGAGACCACACACCGCTCGGAAAACACTGGATGCAAGCATTTTTAAGACGAAATCCTGCAGTTCGGACCCAGAAGTGCCATCACAGAGACTCTGCGCGTGTCAACGGCGCTTCTACCGAGGTAATTCGGCCTTGGTTCAACAATTTCTTCCTTCCGAGATTCTGGCTATTAAGCCGGAGAACAGGTACAACATGGATGAAGCAGGCATCATGGAAGGACTTGGGGAGAATGGCCTGGTCGTTGGCAGTGCTGAAAACGATCTGTACAAAAGAAGACGCCTGGTTCTCGGGTCTGGACGTCGTTCATCGAGTGCGTGTCCGCTGCCGGCACCTTCCTCCCTCCACCCGTCATTTTCAAGGGCAAATCGGTCCAGCAACAGTGGTTCCCAGAAGATCTCAGTACTTTTAGTGACTGGCAATTCACTGCGACAAAGAACGGCTGGACTTCGGACCAAACTGCGGTGGAGTGGCTCGAAAAGGTGTTCATTCCAAGAACCCAGCCACCCGACCCTTCGGAGCGAAGACTGCTAGTATTGGACGGCCACGGAAGTCACGAGACGGTTGACTTCATGTATCTATGCTACCAGCATCAGATTCACCTTCTTTCTTACCTCCCATACCTCTCATGTGCTGCAACCGCTCGATTTGTCTGTCTTCTCCGCTCTTAAGCACTACTACCGCAAACAGGTCGGATTTCTCAGCCTCCTGACCGATTCAAGCCCAGTCGGCAAGCAAAACTTTCTTTCCTGCTACCAGAAAGCACGCGAGCAAGCGCTCACTGTGTCAAACATCAAGGGTGGCTGGAAAGCGACGGGTTTGTGGCCGGTGTCGATGGCGAAGCCACTTTTGAGCCCTCTTCTGCTGGAGAACAGCAACAGACGCAAAAGAACGCGAAAATGTGGCCAATGCATTCAATAGCCACTTACCCACCAGTGACTGGCAATCAGACACATCCCAGATTGCGTGGTCGACCCCGAGGCGCTCGCAAGATCTGAAGGTTCAGGTAGTTCAATTCAACCAGCTAGACGACGACGTGCCCACGAAGAGATTGCTGTTCAGGAAGATCACAAAAGGGTTTGACGAGAAGGATGGCCTTTAGCAAAAGCTCAATTGCAAATTCAGGCACTGGAAACACAATTGGCGGCCGTCAAGCCGAAAAAGGAAGAGGGTGGTCACGAGCCCGAATTCGAGGTTCGCCAATATTGAGGCAATACGACGGGCGCAGGAGGAGGTGAACGCAGCTGAGAATGAAGAATCTGATGAAACCGAAGCTGAGGTTTCAGAAATAGGTGACGATTGTATCGTAGTGCACGGTGGTGGGCAGTGAGAAGGGATTGAATTAATGGTGTTGAAAATGGTCGTGATTTTTTTGGGGTGCCCAAAACAGGGGGGTGCCCATTTCTATGTGCAGGGACTTATCTAGCTTATGGTGTACTTACTTGAGCTTACGCCAGGAACCTGACAAGAGGCATCCAGAAACAACTGCGCTTCTACGGTTATAGGAAAACCCCTTGGCCTGTCCCGCCTGGTCGAAAATCTATAGCCCGTGTTCTCGTAGGCTTCGAGTCGGGGCATCATCGGACTCGGCACGCTGCGCATCAAAAAGGTGGATCTCCCTGCCGGGCGGAGCAGTCTAAGCCTCCCCTTTAACGCCCCGTGCTGCGTAGCTTATGGTGTATTTTGATGAACTTACCAAAGAAGGGGACAAATGAAGGCCATAGAAGGGGCCTAAGCATCTTTCTGGCTGCCGGGGTGCGGTTTAAGAGACACGTCGATACCCATCACTCAGCAGAGCGAGCCTATCAAGACTCGTGCCATGCGAATACTGGCGACGACGTGATCTGGTACCGGCTAGGATTCTAGTGGCTTCTATTATAGTGTGATTTGCTGGCAAGCTGAGGTATCTCGTCCGACGCGGCGTCTGGCTGGATAGTCTTCGTAAAGTCCTTGGACGCCTTCTCTCATCAGGCCCACGCGCCGTTGTTGATCGCCAAGGACGTTCCGGTTTGATGAGCGACCGACGTTTAAAGCATTACGTAGCTGGAGACGTAATGGATCGGGCTCCACTACTTGGCGTTGAGATCTGGGAGATGCATATATATATATATTCCTAAGCAACCAATTAGCCATCCTCCCGAGGCTAACGGGTATATTTTCTACAACCAAGCCTGTTAATAGAGATCGATGTCTCTATGCCTGCGGAAGGCAGGTGAGTACTTTCTCTCAGATATGGCCAAGCATCATCTGGCATCTAGGAGGGTATATGCAGCGCCTTTACAATCATAGTGGGCCATACGCCTTCTCTCATTATGCCCTTGCGCGTTGTCGATCGTCAAGAGCGTCTCAGTTTGATGGGTGCTCGGCCCACAATCTAGGCATTAGCCAGAGACTTTATGAAATCGGGATCCGCTGCCAGGTGTAGAGATTTAGGAGATACATACATACATGCGTACATTAGGATACGTAGGTAGTATATAGAAAGGGGTCGCTTCTTCACTCTCGTGTGGCCCGTTAACCCCAACTCCGTCGTTAATCCTTACTCCGTCGTTCTCCGTCGTTACTCCATCGTCACGCCTAGCTCTGTCGTTACTCCCAACTCTTAGACTATATAGAGTGCACAACAGACAAGCCCCGCCATGGTTCGTCTTTCAACACTGGTGCTGTCGCTCACGGCAGTTGCCTCGTCGGTCCTTGGGGCAAACGAAGAAACCAAGCCTCCTGGTCTATGCGCGGGCAAAGACATGTTCTTGGTCGAGATTGACCCAGCAGCCAGCTTGGACGAGGTGCTGAAGCCCGTCGAGGCCATGGTTACCCGATGCAAGACAATGGACTTTTCGCTTTTCAAGGGCGCCTCGATCCAGGTTGGCGAGGGCGTCGACAAGACGGCGGTGCTCATCGAGCTCGAAAAGATGGCAAGCGTCAGGGAAGTGTCCGCTGTCGAGAGCGGCGAAGGGCCCGAGGTCCAGGAACAAGGGCCGGCCACCGACGTGCCCGGGGGTAAGACGATACAGCGACGAGACTCGATGAACCAGACGACCAAGACGGCGCTGCCGGCTCATGTGTTGACACAGGTTGACAGGCTGCATGAAGAGGGATTTACCGGCGAGGGCGTCAGGGTCGCCCTCATCGACACGGGCGTGAGTCTGGATCATCCTCCCCTTTATATTATGCTGCTCTCAATGCCAACGTCACGCCATGATGCTTCAGGTCGACTACACGCACCCAGCACTCGGCGGTTGTTTCGGCCCAGGTTGCCTGATATCCTTCGGCGCCGATCTTGTGGGCGAGCAAGACAAGATCCCGCCGGGGGAGAAGCCCGAGGTGGCCGACACGCCCATGGACTGCCGGGGCCACGGCACGGCAGTCGCCGGCATCCTGGCTGCGCAGCGGGCCAACAACACACTCGGCTTCAGCGGCGTCGCGCCCGGCGTGAGCCTGGGCATGTACAAGGCGTCGGGGTGCGCACGGCGGCTCACGAGCGACACGCTGGCCCAAGCCGTGTACCAGGCCTACGACGACAAGGCCGACATTGTCTCCATCTCCCTGGGAGTCCGCAACGCCTGGGCCGGCAGTGCCATGGCCGAGGCCGTCTCGCGCGTCGTCGCCCGGGGCGCCCATGTCGTCGTCGCCGCGGGAAATAGCGGCCAGCGAGGCATGTTCGGCTTATACTCGCCTGCTTCGGCCAGGGGCGCCGTCACGGTGGCCAACATGGTCAGCCCCGTCGTGCCCGAGCTGAAGTGGCGGGCGACCTACGCAGTCGACGACGGCGACGAGGTTGAGTTTGACCACCAGGTCGGTGAGAACAGTGACTGGGGAGCCCGCGTCTCCTACCAGCTGGCGACGCCCAGCCGCGACACAAGCCTCGACGATGCCTGCGACTTTCTCTCGGCAGCACCGCCCAAGGACAGCATCATCCTAGTCCGCGACGGCGGCAACTGTCCGCTCCATGTCCAGGCCGACAACGTCCTCGGGGCGGGCCGCCGGTATATGATGGTGGCGAACAACCAGACAGCGCTTGGATGGGGCCGCCCCGGCTCGGGGAACACGGTCTCGTCGAGCGCCGTCTCAGCCGAGCTGGGCGACCGGTGGATGCAGGCCCTGGGCGACCAGAAGAAGGTGACGATCCAGCTGCAGGTCGTAGGGCTCCACGAGTCTCCCAGCCGCGCGGCCGGCGCCGTCGACAAGACGTCGTCGTGGGGCCCGGACTGGGAGCTCAACATGAAGCCGCAGCTCGGCGCTCCGGGAGGCGCGGTCCCGGTCCCGCGCATGGGCGGCAGCTTCATGGTCGAGTCCGGGACGTCGTTTGCCGCGCCCTTTGTGGCCGGCGTCATGGCCCTCATCACCCAGGCGCGTGGCAAGCTCGAGCCTGCGCTTATGGAGAGCCTCCTTTCAGCAACGGCGCGCCCGCAGCGGTTCCACGACGGCACCGGCTTCTTGGACTCGCTCGCGCCGGCCGCGCAGCAGGGCGCCGGCCTGATCCAGGCCCATGCCGCCCTTCACGCAACGACGGTCCTGACGCCGCCGAGCATCTCCTTCAACGATACCGACGAGGGACGGCCGGCGCAGTGGCGCAGTCTGAAGATTGAGAACACGGGCAAAGGCGACGTGACGTATTCTCTCTCGTATACTCCGGCCCTGACCGTCTATGCCACCAAGGCCTTCGCCCATACGCTGGCAATGTTTCCCGAGGAGTTCGAGACCGTGGAGGGCAGCGCCACGCTACGGCTCAGCCGCGACACCGTCAGGATTGCCGTCGGCCAGTCCGCTATCGTCGACGTGGTTGCCGATCCGCCGCAGGGTCTCAATGCGCGCCGGCTGCCGCTGTGGTCCGGCTGGATCACCGTCAACGCGTCCGATGGCAGCTCCTTTTCCATCCCCTACCAGGGCGTGGCCGGGTCCCTCGGCGACCGCGTGGTGCTGAATAAAAAAGACGTCCGAATCGCGACCCAATACAATCCGCTTTCGACCTCGGTCTGGGCAACGCCCGGGGAAGTCTTTAGGTTCGGCGCCGATCCCGAGACCAGGCAGCAGGACGTCCGTCCTGTCGTCGTGGTCCGACTACGGCTTGGCGTGCCGCAGTTGAATGTTAGCCTTGTGCGACTCAACACATCAACTTCAGCCTCTGACAACCTGGGGCCGCTGCGTGGCTTTCCCGCCAGGTGGCTCCCTCATGATGAAGGCCAGCCCTACACGTGGGACGGCACGCTCGAAGACGGCAACTTGGCCCCAGAGGGTTCCTACCGTTTCGAAGTGGCGGTTTTGCGAATCTTTGGCGATGGCGCCAACGATGCTGACTGGGTCAGAGTTCTCAGTGAGGAATTTCGAATCGAGCATAGGTAGGTAGATTGCCCTTTTTCTTTTTCTCGGGACCTGCCCGCCCTGCGCGTTTCTTTCTCCCGTCATCGACGACGCTGCAGTAGGATACAATCTCCCCACTTTTTATATGTTTAAGCGTAATGCAATGCATGTATGCAGAAACAAGCCATGTGCAGACACATAGATTCCCTTTTTTCTTTTTCTCGGGACCTGCCCGCCCTGCGCGTTTCTTTCTCCCGTCATCGACGACGCTACAGTAGGATAGTTACAATCTCCCCACTTTTTATTTAGGTGCCTCGGTTGGGCAACGGTCCAGTCCATAGTGCCGGCGCTACGTTGTTTGACTGGCCACGTTGGTCCACTTTTTCGTGTGCTTAAGCGTGATGCAGATGCAAGCCATGTGCAGACACAAGCCCCTCCGCGCATATTCGAGCTAAAGGCGGCGGGTATTATATCAGCTAGTAAGGACGTCCCGCTTTTAAGAGTACATCAATTTACTAGTAAATATCACTATAGTAGAAGTTTCACCCCGAAATAAGGTACCATGCAGCACGGCAGATCTAATGTATCGTACGCGCTGTCGGTGATAAAGCGAAGCTTCCTTAGCACTGACGGACCAACGTACTGTACATGCTTTCTAACATCTACCTTCCTACCTAAGTTTTTCTAACCCGGCCTAGGTAGGCAATAAAACGAATAGTCGTTGGAGATTAGGCGTCGAGGCCCGGACACATGCGATCGGTTGAGTGCAGCCAGCTCCTGATTGCCATGCCTAGCCCTTAAGGGCTCGTGTCCGCGCCCACAGGCTGAGCCCGTAATCCTCACCTTCTTCTTTGCGCCCCTAAGACGCATCCTTGCCTCATCTGGTCCTTGCCTAGCGTGGAGACGCATCATCGCCTCAGGCGGAGGAGACGCATCCTTGCCTCATGTATGCACGAAACTAATGTACGTACTAGGCTCAGGTGTAAAAGGGAGTCCGTGGCCCCACAGGGTTCCTGCCGTTTCGAAGTGGCGGTTTTGCGAATCTTTGGCGATAGCGCCAACGATGCTAACTAGGTCAGAGTTCTCGGTGAGGAATTTCGAATCGAGCATAGGTAGGTAGATTGCCGTTGAAGGCCGGATTCGCCGGGATTCCTATATCCAGATATGTATAACTGCCCTAGGTAGCTACTGTTATTTATTGTAGGCCGTAGTTCGTGTTCCATTCTCTCTCTCCCGGAGACAGCGCCGATGGGTAGAACTAACCAATCGCACTCAGACGCACGTACCCTGGAATATTGTTAGTATACGTACGTATGTGCGAGTACGATTAGTTCCGAGAGGTTGTTAATCTAATTAGCGCGCACTGTATGCACTGTACGTGTTTAGTAAAGAGGGCGTTTCTTTCTCGTTATCAAAAAAAATGTCCCCTGTGTAGAAAAAGCAAAACGTACCAAACTTCTCTAGCTCTCTGTCTTCTTATTCCCTTGTACTACTAAGAAGAAGCGGCCGTAAAAAAATTGGCCTTAATAGAGCGAACCCTTTTAGTATATAAATAGTTATTAATATCTCTTATAAAATAAAGACAAGTATCCGTATAAAGTATTATAACCTAGTAATTAAAGAAGAATTATAGATAGAAAATAAGGAGTGTATAAGAAGACGATTTAGTACCTACGTATTTATGTATCCTTTCCTTTTTTTAATAGGGGTAATTTTAGCGTCAGCAACAACTAACTATACGCCTGCTCTTGTCGACAGCCACACTGACCCACCAATCTCCCCACTTTTGTTTGCGGGATAGGTAACTAGTCAAGCATTCGATTTTACCTACGAATTATTAATCGTCTTAGTGGGGGGGCTGAGTTGCTGTGACGGGGCGTGATTTCCCCCCTCCCCGCATGTCAAGGCGGACACTCAAGGGTGAGCACTCGCCTGCCAATCGTTGCGTGTATATGCAGGTGCACAGGTGGCCCCACTTGTTTGTGTGCTGATGAGGACTGACAGCATCCGGTGGCGCCCACACAGCTAGTCTTGTGTCACGTCAAACGGACCCTGACTTTCGCAGCGGCCGTCTTTCACATCAGTCCTCTCCACAATGTGTATTTGCCAGTCTCTACATATCATAGAGCTTATACTGTAACCAGTCTGCTCTTTACGGCAGCTAAAGGGATATAGTCCAGCGGCTCACGGGATCCGGCTGAACGCCGTCTTTCTTCTTACAAGGCGCTTTGGAATCGGGGTCTCGATTCTTAGCAATCGACCAGCATCGACTCAGCTATGGACAACCCACGGAGCACCCCATACGACAGAGTGGATGCCGACGGCCCACGCAAGCGTCCTTGGTGCTCCACCGCCCTCGCCGCTCAGGTGCTCGGAGACGGGCCTCACGAAAGGGGCCTTGGACGGGCCCAGCCCTCTCATCGGGGAGATTTCGACGTCGCCATCATCTGCGCCTTGCCCCTGGAATACGATGCGGCGTGCCTCTTGTTCGACGAATTCTATGATGAAGACGGTGACCTATACGGAAGGGCCACCGGAGACCTCAATACCTACACGACGGGTCGAATCGGCAACCACAGCGTCGTCGTCGCTCTCCTCAATCGCATGGGCAAGGCCTCTGCGGCAAGCGCGGCAGCCAGTATGCGGTCGAGCTACAGCCGCCTACGACTGTCGCTTCTCGTTGGAATCTGCGGCGGCGTGCCCAGAACCCAGGCTGGCAACGAGATCCTGTTAGGAGATGTCGTCATCGGCAAAACAATCGTCCAGTACGATTTCGGAAGGCAGTATCCCGACAAATATATGCGTAAAGATGCCGCCGGAGACAACCTCGGCATCCCGAGCAAGGAAGTCCGCAACATGTTGGTGAGGTTCGAGACGGAACGTGGCCGCAAGCGCCTCCAGCAAAGCACTGCCGCCTTTCTCAAGCAGCTGCAGGCCAACGCTGCTCGAGACAAGCTTGGAAACAAGTATCAATATCCTGGCACGGCAGAGGACAAGCTTTTTAGGTCCAACTATCGACACAAGCACCGTACCTCGCCGGTATGCAGCTGCAAGTTCGACTCTGTCTGCGACGAGGCTACCAAGTCATCATGTGACGATCTGGGATGCCAGGAAACATACGTCATGCCAAGGCAACGACTTCGTGAGAAGCAAGCCATGGAACAAGAAGTAACAGACGGGGCGCAAGATCCTGACATTTTTGTTGGGTCCATTGCTTCGGGCGACACCGTGATGAAGTCCGGAGATGACCGGGACGAAATCGCCGCTCGAGAAAGGGTCATCGGGTTTGAGATGGAGGCGGCTGGTGTTTGGGAAGAGCTGCCTAGCATCGTTGTCAAAGGCGTATGTGATTACGCAGACAGCCATAAGCACAAAAGGTGGCAGAACTTTGCTGCTGCCACTGCCGCCTCCGCCATGAAGGCTCTTCTCGAGGCTTGGGTTCACCCAGACGGTTTATCGCGGCCGGCTATATCTCCGGAAGGTAAGGACGAGACGGACCAGAAACCTGCGAGACTACCACTCACTGACTCATGGCGAGCTCCACAGTCAACGTGCAAGTCAGCGTAAACAACCACCACGTACTTGTGAGTCTAGAACGAGGCACGAGTATCACGCACGCGATACCTTTGCACGGCAGCGAACCCTGCTCCCAGCCATGCTTCCAAACTGTGATGGTCATTGACGCGCGCGGTGAACCTCTAATTACCATTCTACTTGGGAGTCATTTCGAAGAAAATATGTCTCAAGCAGGGGCTTCAGAGCACAGTGGAAGGAATAGGGGCTCAGAAAGGTGCAAATAGTGATGCGTGTCTTGGTCTTTCTAGAGGGACGAGTGAGGGGCTTATATAGGTAGAGTATTACTATTTAGACTCACACGTATATCTATGTACACCCACGCCCCATTTTTTAAGATACATACCAACGCCAGCCCCCCCAACCCAATTGTACCGCGCGGGGCTGGCAAGTAGCCGTACCGCCTAAATGCCCGCGCCCGCCTATACTGTACATACACATAATGCATCTTTGGCCACATAACGTATGCCTCTCAATTCGCTCAAATAACGCATTTCCGAGCCTTCAGCCCAAAGTTACAACATTCCGGCCCATCAATTAATCCGGCCCTGCCGGTCGGCTCGGCTCGGTCCTGATACCCTGGCGACCCATTGGTCCCACGTACTTGATTGCTTTGTCAGCCTGTACCTCCTAGTAGCGTTCTCACACCCGCGGTCTCTCGCGACGTTATAAGAGACATCGTCGGCCCGGGGCAATATAAGGGGAAGGGGATTAAGAGGAGAACGCGGCCGGGGTGGCGCGCCTATAGCTTCGTCAGGGCGGCTCCCTTCGCCCGGCGTTGGAGTCGCGCCCATATAAGGGGCCCTGTTCGCTTGTCAAGGGAGACTCGCCACGCTAGAAGAAGCGAGGAGAACCTCTCTTCTAATAAGCTTCTTTTTTTTTCCTGAGACGAGAGAATATAATATACGCTGCATCGTACCTCCTATTATCTCTACTACCTGACTGGCCGTACTGTGGTACGTGTTTCTTTACAATGGGCTGCGGCTAAGTCATCAATCTCGTCGTGCCCCGACGCCTTCGAACGCTTACGTTGAGGCGCCTTAAGCTGGCCTAACTCGAATTGGGCAGCTGCGATGCGCTCACGGCCGCCATAACCGGCTGCGATGCCCTCGCTGTAAGTGAGCCTAGTATAGGTAGCTTGTCGTTGCGGGGCCGGCCGTGTGTATTCGTGATAACGTCGGGATCGCGGATTCGAAGCAATGGCTCTTCGAGGTCCTTAGGGTAGTTATTAGCATCAAAACGCACAGAAAAGGGGGGGGTGGGGGGGGTCCTTTACTAACGGCTTCCTAAGCCACTATCATACGAGAATATTACGCTTTTAAAGCGTTAACCCGGCTTTAAGGTGTTAGGGCATGAAGAAGAGAGAGGATAGGGTCCATCGCGGTATAAATGGGCGGGGCGGGCTGGCGTGGGTAAGTATCTTTAAAAATAGGGCGTAAGTGCGAATAGATATACGTATAAGTCCAAATAGTAATACTCTATAGGTATAGATAACCACAAATAACTAGGCACAAGAGGGCATTAGGATGTCCCTATACTTGAGTCAGGCCTGCATTGTATCCTTATGCTAGGAGAGTCAGGTTGGTCCGGCAGACCCCTTTTGGCCCCGCTGGGCATGGCTCTGATCTCCTAGTCTGCTTGGTCTGACAGTATGCAAATTCGGCCCGGCCCGCCAGGCTTGACGCCATATTAAGACGCTGATCGACTTCCAGCTACTTGGCTACATGCTCAAGGAGAGATTCGAAGATCTCGGGTGTGGGAAGATAGAGCGGGAAGAATGGTTGCTCGAGGATAGAGATACGGGACAAATCCTCGATCTCTCAGCACCGTGGGATTCTGTCAAGCTGGTAAAATACCGCTACACCATGCAAAATGAGGGCACCCCAATAGAGGTGTTACTAATGCGTATTATAGGCCCTTTCTTGTCCTGACAGATTCACTCTTCAAGGTATGATCTCGACAGCTATAACTTCTCTTGCTTACCCCAGTAGTCTGGTCAGGTACTCGACATGAGCATGATATTCCGAAGACGCACAGCACCGTCCACACAATGTCCGTCTTGACAGTTCATGAATCCTAGTCTCCCAGGACGAGAAGCTCAATGGTAAGCGCGGAACGCTTTTGCATCAGGACATGCGTTAAAGCTTCCGTAGCAACAGTTGTGGGTAGGCCTATACCGCCGGGTTGAGGACATCCAGGAGTTTGAGGTGCTGGAGTCGACTGTCACCGCGGCCACAAATCCCGAATTGCGAGATAATGGGCTGAAACGACCGGCTCAGTCGCGGCCACCCGAGCAACTCAACGCAGACGAGGATATTAGACAATACAGACGAGTGCAAGTAATTGACACAGAACTTCGGATCCACACAGGTAGCAAGAGGAGGGTTATCACAAGAAAGGCTACGCTGACGGCTCGCGATTTGCAAGAGACAGAGTTCCTCGCAGGATATCTGGCAAGTGTCTCGGGTCTATCCGAAGCAGACTGTTTGGCATTTCTACAAGAGTTTAAAATTCAACTCACAGCCATCCGAACCGAGCTGTCACCCTTCAATGCCACGCCCTTGTCCAATGCCACCTTTTCTGGCCAGCAACAAGGCTCTTCGAGCTGTGTTCTCCTAACAGACATGGACCTGTTTTATCCCTACCCGTGCAACGACTACCCGGCCGTATTTCGCCAACCAACTCACGCTATGGCTGTGTCGCCACGATACAGAGAACCTGCTCCTATACTTCCTAGTATAATAGCACCCGGCTCGGAACGCTGTCGAGGTCATTATAATAGCAGGCTCTTCGAAAGAAGTCCCGCGATCTCCATCCCGAGCCTCGACCCGGTATACGACGCTCCCCCTCCGCTCCCCCCTCCACGAGAGTTGCCCTTTGGCACCTCAGAGCGGCCAAAAGTCACGAAAGGGCCTCCGGGAATCTAATGGCGGCTGTGTCATCCTTTGATCCTAGGAGCTCCACCACTGGCGAGGAGGGATACTCCATCTATGCATCCACCGAAAGGTACGACACACGCTGGCTCCTGAGACTCGTTGTCCCCGACCCAATCGAATGCACCCTGACTTGCATGCCCGCCCGACGTTGGGCCTGCTGGTCCAACTCCCCATTTATAATGGGGACAACCGTTTTCCGCTTCCGGTGAAAGGGCATCTCTCTCGGGGAGGAACAGGCGGCGGCGAAGATGAAAAAATATGTGCCGGCTGGCTAGCTGCGCAAAACCGCAGTTCTTTCTCTTAAGCAGCGCGATGCGAGATCGCATGGAAGAAGCCTGATCGTGGTCAGATCAAATTCCCTTCCCACTCGAAGACGCAGTATTTCGGGTTGGTCCGGTTACCCAAGTCTGCCGGGAAACGTACCCGAAACGATGGTTAACAACACTGCGACTGTGGGTAGTGTCGTAGGCTGGCCAGGGATTGCTCTCAGGATCGGAGAGAAATGGCGGCTCATGGATTGACGGCTGACCGTTCGAGACTCACACTTACGGCACCAAGTATACAGGGCCCGATGCCAATGCAAGAGTCTTATGGGCTAAGGGAGTTTAGGAGAGAGAAAATATGTGTATTCAAAGCATGGAAGAGTATTATAGACTATACGATGGATACCCTTCGTCTTGATTGACCCCCAATCGGGGAGAGTCGTACGTAACAGCGAACTGGAGCGACTCGGCATTCCTTCGCCTGCTTTTCTGGTCGAAGCAGCCGCCGAGGGTCAGGTGCGTGCCGTCGACCTGCCGCGCGTTGGCATCGGCCGCCGAGGCACGAGGGAACCACCCACGCCCGTGTCGACGACGAACATTCTTTAATTATATAGATGCTTTAAAGGTTTATCCTTAACCGCTTCCCCACCCCCCTTCCCGGCTGCCAATCCGACAGATAGAGGGGCGAAGCCATGAAGGCCTCCCCGTTGTCTCCCGCTTACTTCGACAAGGAACCAATGCGATATCAGTAGCAGCCAATCTGATGCTGCCCGCAAAATTTCATGGCACCTACCTTTGACACGACACGGCGACGGCGGTTGGTTGGAAACGCCGGTTTCCAGTCATGCCATGGAACCACGAGCGGCATGTTCCCCTGACACGACGAGTGAGCGCTCCTCTGACGACCAAGGAGCAAATGCGGCCGAGGGACAGCAAACGAAAAAGGAAATCACAGGGGCTATTAAAGAGCGCACTACAGTCAATAAGGGCTATGTTTCCATGCCAAGATCGGGTGACGGCTGTATGCGTTGAAAGTTATAAGTGCACTGTGATCCAATGACAGCCCCCTTTCTCTGCGTTTCTCCTCTCCCGCCCAGCTTCGAACCCTAGGTCGCGTCTTCTTTGACAGGGCTGACAAGCGGGACGGCGGACGAGTTCAAGTTTTCCTTGGTCCGGAAGACACACGATACTGCTGGGACCCTCTTCTGTTCCCAGCGGAGACGGGCGCCTTTCACACCGATACCCTCTTCGCCAAGTGCCGGGCCTATGGCGAATTCGAGAGGCATAGGAAAGGGGGTCTCTCAAGCGGCAGATTTGTGATTTGCTCTTACCAAACGAGGACAAAAAGATGCTGTTATAGAGAGGCGTCGACTTGGACGAGGACGGCACCGAGGACGAAGGAGAGAGAGGGGAGGGTTCATCCGGCGGCTGGCGGCAAGGCAAAGGTAAAAGGAGTCGAATCGTACGAGCAATTGTCAAGGAACTGGCGTCTCCAGACTCTGGAGAGGCTGCGGAGGATCCTGCGCGACATCATGCAGCTCAAGGTCTACAGCCAGGACATTGAAAAGGACAACTTCAGAGACGGAAAGTTGGTCGACTTTGGGTCGTCGTGGAAGAGCACCGACTATCTGACGATACGCTAGCCGCCTCTCGACTCGTTGGAAGCGAAGGGGATCATTCTTTTCTCCTTGTTTTCCGTCTCTTTGGCGTCCTTGGCAGCGAGGGGGAAGTCCTCGTGTGGTGGCCTCGTGGTGAGCAGTGGAACACGCGCTGGAATCCGCTGGTGCGCCGTCGAGCCTCGTGGGCCGGTCCAAGAGACTGACTGGCTCACGTTCAGATTAAGCTGGGTCTGACGTGCCTCGCGCGATGGAACACGGAAGGCTGGCGTGGTGATGAGGAGGAAGAGTTCGTCTCTTCTTTCGAGTCAAGGTATCTCCATCTCCACGTCTGTACTCGGTACCTTTGCCGGGGACCCGCCCATCTTGCTTGGCGGCAGCCGCCTGTCCACAGGGAGTGGAATTCCCCATATTGGTGCTGGCACTGGCATGGAACGAGGTGTCTCTCAGCACCGGGAAACCACGGTGATTGATTTGATACAGAAGAAGCTCATTTCAGGAAAAGCCACTCGGCCTGCACGCACACAAGACATGAGAAGCAGGCTACGGAGATGCACGGAGCATGAAGTAATTACAGTACCTACCTAAGGTACACTGGGATATTACAGTACGTGCTCGGAATCATGTAACTAATACATGCATTCTGCATCCATGGATACGGCGGGGCAAGATCGGCCCTTGCTGACCCCACCCACCTCTCTGGGGGAAGGCGTGCAGATGACACAGCGGCCGGCCCGGTGCCGGCTTCAGATAGACAGCCTGCTGACCGTATTTCATCCAAAGTACCTCGCCGGTACAGACCCGAATTGTGCCAACGGGCCGACGCTGCCTCCTCGCCGTCCACCCCAGGCAGGTACAGGAAAAGTACAGTACAGCTGGCATGGGCTGGACAGCGGGCTGCTAGGCAACAACAGTACAGACACCGCCTGTCCCGCCCGCTGTTGCTGCTGCTGCAGCATGCACTCAACAAGTCCCAAAAAAACATCAATGCCCCCCCTTCTTACGGAGCCTTGAGCTTTTGTGGGCCCTGCACACCAAAGACAAGAAAAAAACCGCGACCTGGTCGCAATCGCAACCGCAGCCGCCACTTCCTCCGGACTCTCCCATCGTCTCTTCACCACCTACGTAAGCCTGAGTTCACCGACCGCCCTTTGAATTCTGTTTATTCTCTGGACCAAGCAAACCTTCGCGCCAGAAACTAGAGTCAAGTTAAGAAGCAGCATAAACGACTACCGACTCAGTTTGCTTTGCTTTCTCGGCCTCCATATCCCTTCTCCATCATCCTCATTTCCCCCCTTTTCAGACGACGAGAAAGACCGACTTCTACCGACTTCTCCCTCCCACCTTTATTCGCGTCGCCACAAACCACCGCCAGCGCCGCCTTCCCGTATTCTCCTCCGACTGCCGACCACGCCTCACTGCATCTCACCCGCCTCTGCAATTCGCTGCCGCCTTGGCGCCCAGAGCAGTCCTTATTCTCCCTCGTCAACGAGCGTCAGCCGCCTCCGCCTCGGCGCCTCTCCGTCCCGCAACAGACCGCAGCGCACACTCGGTTCCCTCCGTTTTTGCCATGGAGAGCCTCCAGCTGTCCCAGGTGCTCGCTGACTTGAGCAACCTCGGCGCTGCTGTTTGTCTTCCCTCTCCTGCCCACTGACTCTTCGCTGACCATTCCCCTGCCAAACAGGAACCCCAAGCTGCCGCTGCCATTGTCAACGCTAGTATTCCCACCATCAACACCGAGTTTGCCAAGACGCAACCAAATGCCGCCTCCGCCTCGCAGTCCGCCTCCCAGCGTCCGTCCTCGATGAAGCGGGCCTGGTCCTCCGAGCCCGGTGCGCCGCCCAAGTTTGACAAGCTGGGCCGTCGCATTCTCATCAACTCACCCGCCTCCCGGCCAACCTCGCGAGCTGGCTCAGCGGCCAACTCAACTCCGGGCACTCCGCGTCGAACCGACTTTGACGTAAGCAACACCAACCCGAGACTCCTCGACCCATGACTGACGCGCCCCTTTCTAGATGGACGAAGATTTCGAGCGGGCCTCAACTCTCATGGCTCTCTACGACATCCGCGCCAAGATCAAGCAGCAGGACAACAGCAGCCTCATTAGGGCCCGCGAGAAGATCAACGCCCTCGCTGCCAAACAGCAGGCGCAACAGGCGGCAGAGCGCAACATGAAGACGGCAGAGGAGCTCCGCCGAAATCGGTACTCTTTTCCCAAGACGAGCACTTGAGGGACGACCGCAATGGGAGACCAGCTCGCTCCATTTGCGGTCTGATGACTCCATTTGATGCAGCTTACTTTGCAAGGCGTTTGGGTCTTTTTGACGCAGTCATTTTTGGTCGAAAACTACTTGTCTCTCTCCTTGATTTTTTGTCGCAGAACTTTTCACGTAATCTCGAACAAGGTCAGGGGCGAGAGCCGCAGGCCCGACGTCCGATCGACAAAGCACGAGCCACTATCCGTTTACGAAAAACAGACGATGACGACGCGGCCTGTACAGGCGGGTTCTGCGCATGGACTGCGTTGTGTCGACCAAGATGCTACTTTTTTAATTGGACCTTTTCACCGGGGTTGGTTTACACCGGCAACGAACAATGCCGTTTCTTTTACTTGAGTAGACGGCGGACAGCGGTGCTTTACTCGACAACCCCATCATCAACGACCTTGAGGACGGTGTTGCCAGAGGTCAGAGGCGTCTTGTTTCTTGGGCGGGGTAACGGAGTACGAGGTGCAGCGGACATGATGCTTATGACGACTTTTCTTGCAGGGGAAACGTCCCGAATCGAGGCAGGCCAACGCGCATGGTCAAGAGGAGCACACCCAACGGGGTTTTGGCTCAAATCATACATGACTTTCTCGGCGCAGGGCTTGTCGGTAGATTGTTTTATACTGTGTTTCCCCGAATCTGTGTGCGTGATGGAAGAGGGAGGTGATCGAGCATGGATCGGGTGCGCGGCCACTTGTCACAGCGTCATTCATCAAGGAGAGGAGCGCATGCTTGACAGTAGCATAACCAGGGTCACGACCGGTACAGAGAAGCTAAGCAGCTGAAAGTTCTGTTTATAATCTCAAAGCGCTGTAAATCCGCAGCGCCCGGTGGACCGATCCATGGCTGGGACAAAGATTCGTGGAGTGAGCCTGGAGAGCAGACGAGACAGGCATCAGCTCGAGGTTCCAGTAATGGTTCCAGTAATCACTGGGTGGATCAGCGCTACAGCCCAGCTGCCCCGGAGCATTGCATCGTAATCAGCGACAATTTGGGTATTCGAGGCATCGCTTGTCAGCTGCCACCTTGGTCCTTTTAAGCGTAAAATCAGGCGAGACATTAAAAGGGCCACAGCGCCATAGGGACAGCCAGTAGGCGTCTGGCTCGCCCCTCCCTTTCCGCGACGCCCTCTGCCCAAGAGGCGCAAGCTCGTCATCCTGCTAGTGTGTGAAGGTGTCTTGGGTACTTTTCAGCATTTGTCTTGTCAGTCATTACAGTACCGGTAGTGCAGCGTTGAGTGGGTGGGTGGGAGCCGTAGTCGCGGGTGGGCAAAGCCGGTCATGCGCGCAAGAGTGGCGGCAGAGGTCGCGTTGGCGGATCATGGTTGTCCCGCTCTCGACGCCCCGGAGGGGCACATGCAGGCCAGGATGCGAAGCTAACTTAGATGACCGCAACGGTGATGTCAGCGACCTTTGGAAAAGCAAGCACGGCCATTGCCCCGGTGGTCGACGGCGACTGGGGCGTAGCGTAAGTTGCCGTGCGGAGTGTACAGGGCGTTCTGTCCTGTGTGGCGCAGTGGCCGCCGCGGTTTGCTTCTCCGCCTGAGGGAAAAGCCTTGGCCTCAGCCACGACCGGCCGGCAAAGAAGGCTCGGCAAGTGTCTTTCAGGTACCCGTACTCGACACCCACGGCCGGGTACCTCTTCTGCTCGCCATGGCCGCGACGGGGCGACCAAAGCTCATTGCCCCATTAGGCGAAAGCCAATAAACGTAGGGCCCGGCCAATTAAGCACATATACACCTTGGTGACAGAAGGGGCGCGATACTTTGCTACTTCTTTGACTGTAAATACACTTGCTCGAGGCAAGTGTCTTGAATCGAACGGCCGTCATGGTAAAAGCTGTTGTGAATGTGATATGTCCCGTCACTCGACGTTTACTGCCCAAAAAGGACTAGCGGTAGATAAGTTCATATTTTTATCTGGCAGCCCCACGTAGCTGCCCGCTAGATCGACTCAGGCCTAGTGCCTCCAAGTCACCTTGACCTGCGGGCGGTGCACGCTACTTGGAAGGACTTGAGCCCCAGAGGCCGCGTCGTACTGTCGCTCGGGTGCAGCATGACAAACCAGCCGGCCAGGTCCGCCAACTGTCGACTCACCTCGTCACCACACAACACTGCCACGAAGCCAACCCGATGCCAAGAGGCCGGTGGACGATTAAATAGCAGCCTGTCCTCCCCCGCCCGAGCGACTTGGTTGTTTCGAAACATTGCCCTCCGCGACTAGAGGTGTTATCCTGCCGGCATCCCGAACAAGATCCGGACCCTCCATCCCTACCTACTACCTCTCTGTCCATCGCATCATCCATCTCGCCACCCCGTTTTTCTCTCCCAATTTTTACCTCTGCTTTCCCTAGCAACTAATAGCGGGCCGCCAAGAAAGAAGGGAAGCAAGCAAAGTGGCTTCTGTTACGCCAAACGTTTGCGCCGTCACGCTGCCCGACGAGTAACAGAGCCCAACAACAATTCTTTCCATCGTCAACGAGCATTTTCTTCTCCGACCATCCTACCACTTCAAGACCACATCTACATACTCCAGCATCTGCTATACAGATAATCTTTCGGTGTCTTCCGCTGCGCAGAGACAATAGTCGGCATCGACACGACTCGGGTAAACACCCCGGCCAAGGATTGACTCGCTTGCGCCGCCCATCTTTCCATCTTTCCTTCGATCGCAATAATTACGCGCACCACAATGGCACCGGCAGTCATGTCGGCGCTGCTGGAGCCGCGGTACGTCGAATGCATCAATGGGGTCTGCAGGAGACGCAGCCGCTGGTTCGATTGGGGTCGGTGGATCGTCCTGGGCATCATCCTCATCGTCCTCCTCATTGTCGTCTTTTCGTGCTCGTAAGTCCCTTTTTATCTTACACTACCACTTCCGCCCTCTTATCGCGGGCAGTTGAGGCAGAGTCGTTGGTGCCTTGGCTAACGTCCACAAACAGATGCCTCGCTCGTCGTCGCCGTAGACGCGGTGCGCAGCCTATGTACGGCACCGGATGGATGGCACCTCACGGCAAAATGGGAGGCGACAACCAGCAGATGAACAATTACCAGCCGGGCTACCAGCAGCAGGGCTATAACCCGCAAGGCCACGGCCAACAGGGCTACCCGCCACCGCCGCCAGCGTACGGCCAGCCGCAACAGCAGCAGTACACGGGCACGACGGGCACGACGTTCAACCCCAACGACGGCTACTACGGCGACCCGTCGCAGCAGCAGCACCAACCGCAGTACGGTGTCCAGCAACCGCCCAACACGTACCAGCGTGAGGCCGCCTACTCACCCCCTCCCGGCCCGCCGCCCGGCAAATAGGGGCCCGAGACAGGACCATGACGAGCCTGTGAGGAAGGGCAACGAGAGGAGAAGAGGGATGAAGTAGTACAAATGCGAGACGAGGGAATTGGACGCAATGGCTGGTTTAGTGCTTGGCGTTGTAATCAAGGGAACGACACGAGGAGATGAGGGGAAAGGGCACGGTGGCGGGCCGAGGGGACGCGTGGAATAGTCGCGGGTAATTGCCATGCGTGGATCGGACAGGGCGAAGGGCAGGCAGCCGAGGGAGCCGTTGCCACCGGCGGGCAGTTGCCACCGGCGGGCATACTGTAGTGCCTCTCGTGGTTATGAAGTCGTTTCATTCGTCAGTCAATATTAGTTTGATGATTCGCACGCCGAGTCGAAATAAAGATGATTCTGAAGCAGTGCAGCTGTGGGCCTTGGCGGGATGACGCAAGCACGTCTCAGTGCTGGGCAGTGGGAAGACAGGGCGAAGCACAGCCACAGAAGTACGGTGGTGCCAAGGTCAGGCGTAAAATCCGTTGGCTGTCGATGAGGCAGTTGCCGTTTCCAGCAGGCACAGCAGGAATAATGTCATTGTGCGGCAACGATCAACCTCGTCCGTCGCCTTGGGCCTTGTTTCATGCAAGCACGGCATGGGTGCAGAAGCCTGAAACGGAGCGCGCACTAATCAATTAATTATTGGCCGGCTTCGGCGCCATTTTGACGCGTTTCTTCTGGACGTACAGTAATTACAGTACGGTTGGTCTGGCTACCTCGGCCCAGGTGGGTAGGTGGGCGAGGCTGTTTCGTACTGTATTGTATAGGTAATTAAGCCTGCAGTACGGTACGCACAAAGCCCGCGGGACAAGAGGGATGAAACTGCGCTGCATCTGTGTCTCGCATGCCGTGGCGCCTCCCAATGCAGGAATAATAAATCACAATGGTAAAAACAGGAGAGTGCTCTGTCGTGGCTCGGCTTCAGGCAGCCAACCAACCAAGCCAGCCAGCCAGCCTCCCAACATCGAGATACCTGCAGCCATGCCATGCACACGCGCAGAGAGGCTGCTGCTCATGCCGTCCCCGTAGAGCAGCGGAGAGGAAGCAAGAGGCCATTTCCGTGGCCCGGCCAAAGGGAAGCGGGCTCCACCCCACTCGCGGTGCTTCTCCGCACAGTTCGTGCTGCCCCCGTCCCCCCCTTTGTGGCCCTCTTCTTCGTCTTGTGTCCGGGTTGGGGCAAGGGGAATAGACGGTCTGGTTGCCTGGCTATTGTGTTTGAGCTCATAAGAATAGTCTCCTCCATTTGGGTTGGCGAGGGAGAATAACGGGCGGTTCCTTACGTAAACCTAGAGCGCTCATCGGGTACCTACAGTAAGTAATTACCTCCTCCTCATCGGGCACTGCAGTGCTGGGAGCAGGCCTGCTCAGTGACTGGCCACCTGTGCTTGGGCCTCTGCTCTCGGGCCCACCCCCCGGGGCTCGCTGGATGCTCTATCCGTACAGCGTACCAGCCCGCGGCACAACCAGGCATTCCTGGGAGAGGCGCGCGCTCTCTTCCATTGTCCAGCCGTCGAATGTCCATTAGCCGCTTCGACTCTTCTTATTCTTATTCTTCTTATTGTTGTTGTTGTTCTTCTACTACTACTACTACTACTACTACTACTACTACTACTACTACTACTACTACTACTCCCGCTCCTCTTCTCCTCCTGCTTCCTCCTTTGCCCCCAAAGTTGCGACGCGCGCTAAGCCAATCGTTCCCGGTAATTAGCGTCCCCCCTGGTCTAGTGAGACAGCACCCCGAAATCCGCTCCGCCCCCCTTGTGTTGTTCCTTTGTATTGCATCCTTGCTTTTTCAACCCTCCTTCGTTACTCCTGATTCTCTAGATCCCGCGTCGTTTGTTTCCATCGCTTCACTGACGACGCCTGCCCAACGTCTTGCGCGGGCCGCCTCCGCTTCGAGCATCCCGTCGTCAAAAGTCAGCCACGCTCCTTTGCGACCGCTTCATCCGCGCCAGAGTGCCACCTGTTGCCACCTCTCCTTTGTCGGCGCTTCTCGTGCCAGCCGCTGCACCGTATCCAATCAATCAGATCTCTTCCTTCATGGACACGAGTCACCAATGAATCCACGTCTCCGCCATTGTTCAACCATTTATCGTGTCCTCGCTGCCGCCTCCCGCATGACGCCTAGGAAATTATCGCCCACTTTGAACCTCCCGTTGTTCCGGCCGATATCCCTCACCCGCTAAGACGGCCACGAGAAAGACGAGCGGGACACGGAGACTGCGCGCGCGCCTGTGCATGAGCCCGCTCGGCTCTGCCATCACGGCGGCACCATGCCTTCGGTAGACGTCGTCATGGCGCGCAGCCTCGGCCGAGGCGCCCTGCAGCAATTCCAGGCCGCCTTTGCCCGGAGCACCGCGCCCGACATGGCCAGAAGAGATGTCCTCGTCGATGCTGCCGACCGGGTCTATGATGTTAAGACGGCCTTTTCCAGCTGGGACAGTTGCATGCGCGCTGCCTTTTGCAAGTATGCCATTCCCGAGACTCCTCCTTTTGCCTCGTGTGCCCCGTCCGCTAACCCCCTCCGCAGATGGCCCGTCATTGCCGTCATCATCGTCGGCGGCCTCCTCCTCATCAGCATTGCCTGGTGCATCATTCGCCGCCTCTGTTGCGGCCTCGCCTGCTGTTGCAGCTGCTTCCAGTGCCTCAGGTGCTGCGGAAACTGCTGCGGCTGCTGCGACGCTCCCGGGCGAAAGAAGCACAAATACCTCGACGAACCTTACATCCCCCCCGACCACGGCTACCAGGCACAGGCTCCCATGCACGCCCCCCCGGGGGCCCAGAATCCACCCCAGTACGCTGAGTTCGACGTGCCCCGCAAGGGCGGCGAGGACTCGCTCCCCGAGATGCCCAGCTGGGAGTCGGGGTCTTCCAAAAAGGTCAGGCTCGACGACGAAGTCGAGATGGACCAGTTGAACAAGTCATCCACGGGAACGACCGCCCCGGCCAGTCACATGGGCGCAGGCTCAATCAGCCCGCATGGGCCCCCCGGCGCCAGCCCGACTGGCTACATGTCCCATCACGCCCAGCAGACCCGAAATGGGTACGGACAACTGTCTCCTGGCCTACGTCGGCAGAACACGGGTCTATCTTCCCCCATGGATCAGCGTGGATATCATGACTACGCCTCCAGTCCCGACCCCAACGGCTACGGCTACGAGCAACCCTACCCTGGTTATGCTACCCCCGGCGCTGCTGCCCACGGACAACAACAAGGATTCGCAGCAGAGCCCGCCTACCCGGGTTACCACGACCAGCAGCAGTCTTTTGGGGGACCGCCCGCCGGATATGGCATGAGGCGGCAGGGAACGGGCGACAGTGTCGGCAGGATGGGCGCTCGCACCCCGTACGGCACGGATCCCCGCTCCAGGGCATCACCCGGCCCGAGACAGACACAGACACCGAGACCTCGAGGAGACTACCAAACCATCCAGTCACCGAGAGCCACGCCGGCCCCTCGTGAACCGGGCTACGGGCAACCGAGCTACGGGCCTGCAGACTTTGAGTATCCCGGGGCACACCACTCTCCGCCCTCAGGCTGGCCCGCGCAGAACCACGTGCCAGAGTCGGCTCCGCAGTCGCCCATCACCAACAATGCCGGCTTCGACTTTACGTCTGGCTATGCCCGTCCTCAGCCTCAGGGCTACGACGACCGTCGCCCCAGCGAAAGCGCCAAGTCGTCGGCGCAGGAGTTGTATCCGGGGTATAAGCCCTATCAGCCCGCTTAATGAGGGTGAGGCTGAACCTGGCATGGAATGTCTCCCTGGCCGTTATATGTTGGATATCAAATCTTGCGTCGTGGGCATTTAGGGGAAATCTGAAAAGAGCAGGGCAAGGAGGGTTTCATCGGAGCATCCTGGAGATGATATAACTCTTGGGCGGTGGTCCCGGGATAAAGGGGCGAGGCTATGACTTGACGATGAATCTCACGCCTGCGAGCAAGGGGGAGCTCGGCCACCCGCCATCCCACGCGTCTCCGAAGTCGCATCGGGAGTCTCATCTGGCCCCTGGAATACTGGGGACGCATGACGAGAGAAACGTGGTGATTTGTACTGCATACTACCGCCTGTGTACTGCAAACTGCCTGACGGGGAGGCAGCCGGCATGTCGACGGAGCCGCCGAGGGAGGACGGCAAGGTCCCGTAACCCTCCCTGCTTGTCCGCAGGCTCGCTTCTTATATTCATGTATCAATACCTACTCTAGGGGCTGGAGGTATCTAATGAAAATCGGCTCTATAAGCGAAAGTGGCCGCGTTGGGTGCGCGTCCAATCACCGACGTCTGTAGTGGCCGGCCCGCGTTCGATGATTGGGTTGCTGTTCCAGTTCTCCTGGGTTGGCTCACCGGCATCATCTCCCCGTCATGTGACGATCAGCATGCATGGTCCGATTAATAGTTGGACGTGGAGGGGCCTACGTCGTCACACGTCATACACTGTCAACCTTGGTCAAACTCAGGCCGCTCACGCATGCGTCTCTATCCAATGACGCACACGGTGGCCTTGCCATTGCTGATTTGAACCTTTTAAAACGACAAAGATAAACTCATGCAAACCCCCAGGAAACGCCGCATTTGTGTACATGGCAAGAGAGACCTCGCCCATCCGCCGGGCCCAGGCGCTCTTCTGTCCGGTGAGCGACTATGGCTTCTTCGAGATGCTTCGCTATATATAGGTAAAAGAGGACAGGGGTCTGTTTCTAGTGCGCGCAATAAGACTTGACTGGCCCAGGCAAAGAAAGGGGATGGGTGATTGACAAGGTAAGAGAGCAAGTGTAGCAGTGGCCGTGCGCCAGAGAAGCGCAAGATGCTTGAAGTCTCGTGATACAAGGCGCAAGACAGAAACCAAAAATTTGACAAAACATCGAAACCCGCGCCTATTCCTTGGGAAACAGGTCTGCAGATACAACCTTGCTCCTTTCGTTGCGGCGGCTGGAGCTGCTCCCGATGACGGTCGGGGCGTCGCCGTCCACTTCCGGGTCGTACTCACCACCCGCTGCGAGGCGAGCAGCCCGGCCTTGTGGCTTGCGTGGCCGACTGTGGTCGTGGCCGCGGTTATTGTGCGCGTTGCTGCCGGCGCCGGCGTCGACGTCATAGTCTTCGCTCTCGCTCTCGCTCTCGAACGCGTGGTCTGCCAACAGGGTACCGCGCGCGTGGCCCTGGTCCGGGTCCTCGGACGACAAGGGCTCGTGGTCCGTCTCCTTCTTCTTGATGAGGGAGTCAATGATGTAGTATTGCATGGCGTTCATGATGAGGGGGAAGATCATCATGACAAAGGCAATCTGCAGCCTCTCGTTGCCTTCTGTCCACCCGAGGGCCCAGTCGCCGACGGTTGAGATCCAAGGGAAGAGGAGGAAGATGACGAGGACGCAGAGCTTCATGCCGAAGAGGCCGCCAAAGTAGATGATGGACTGTTTAAGCCACCATAATGCGTTGGGCGGGTTGCCGTAGTTGCCCGACTGGATGGACTCGAGGGGCTTGCCCATTGGCGTCATGGCCACGAGGCCCGTCAGGATGCGCAGCAGGATGATGAGGATGGGGATGCCGAGGGTAGTCTGGGGCGGGTCAGAGGGCGTCTTTGTGTGGAAAGAGGGCGCGTAGATACTCACATCGATGGCCAGGTTGAGGAGATACAAGGAGCAAGGGTTGGGCTCGTAAGAGTCGTTGGTGGTGCGGACGAGCAGGCGCTGGGTGACGGCGGGCTCGAGCTTGATAGAGAAGCGGCCGCTGGTCAACATGGACATGAAGACGTTTGCGGCGTGGACGAGGACGGAGCCAAAGACCTGTTTTGACACGTCAAAGGACCAGATCTTGAGGGGCCGCTGCGGCCTCTCGCGCCAGCGCTTGAAGACCAGAGACAGCAGGGCCAGGGCGCCGAGGGCGGCCTGGACGAGCAGGGCAAAGGAGCCGAGCAGGCGGCATTCGCCCTGCGACTCGTTGTCGGACGTGGGGCCGGCGTCGGACGTCGGGATGGCGGCGACGAGGGCCGCTGTCGCCGTGGCCATGGCGGTCTGGACGAGGTCGGCGGCGGAGGAGGTGGAGGAGGATGGTGATGATGACGATGACGAGGCGACGACGGTGGCGACGGCGGTGGCTAGGGAGGTGGTGGCATCTTGGACGGCCAGGGCGCCGGCCGGGGGGTGCATCAAGACGGGAGGGAACGTCGGAGAGAAGACGCCGAGGCCGGACGTCGGTTCGGTCGGTGGTGATGCAACGCGGTGGCCGGCCAGCGAGGGCGGGCGGGCGATCAAGGAGGGGCGAATCGGGAACAACGAGGGTCCGCGACACTCACAAAGGGGAGCGAGGGAGGACGACGACGCCTGCTGCTGAAGAAATGGAGGGCAAGGTATAAAAAAAGAAAAACCACACACGAAAGCGGGCTAAGTGGCGACAGAGAGAGGGAGAATCAGAGGGGCGAAAACGAGACACTCAGAGCAGGGGCGCCGGGGAAGAGGGACAATAGCCAGGCTGGTCTGGCGATGATGAAAGGATCGAGTGCTGTGTCTCAGCTTCGAGCAGGACGGAGACTGTGCTGCGCTCCCTTACATAATCGGGGCGGCCTTGGCGTGTTGCGCCCTCGCCGGAGTCGCCGCTCCGCCTCATCAATGCCATAATGAGGAGCCTACGAAGTATGTACGTACTGTACACACAGAATGGGCGCACGTGCGAGCTACGGAGCGCGTCTTTGTGCCAGCCCGCTACGCTTCTCCATTCCGCAAGATCCTGGACAGAGTGCATAGAGTGTTCTAGGCACGTTTCTTGCGCTTGGCGGTGCATGCTCCGACCGCGTCATCAAAGCAGCCTCAAAATACTCGGATTTATACTGGCCGCGTTAACCCGTTGTACTCTGCACAAAGGTACTCTGACTCGGGACGCCGCCCATCTTCGCTCTGGCTCGACAAGACGGCTCACCCAAATGCACCAAAACCCTCGTATCGAAGCAACTCCCCTCCAGCACAATGACTGGCCCGTCCCGTGGCCCGGCCGGCGGCTGCGGCGGCAGCGCGGCTACCCGTTCGCCTTGACTCGGCCCCACAGCCGCTCTCCGCCGCCCACCAGCCACAGTAGCCGTCCGCGGTTCACGTGCACATGTGGCTTTTCCCGCCAATCAGCATCCTCGTCCCCGGTACCACTCCGTCCCAGCTAGCTGCGACAGGGAAACTCCAGCGCGCGCCTGGCCGTCTAAAATATAGTACAAAAAAAAATAGACATCGCGACAAGCAGCTCCCTCCAATCCGTCCCGAAAGGGGTCAATCGCCCTCCCGCCAGACAGACACCATGTTCCGCACACGGCTGAGGCTACCGCGCCGCCTCCCGGTGGTCTCCGTGCGCACCGCGGCTCATGCCCGGAGGAGCCTGCACCAGGTGCCCCGGCTGAGGCACGACTTCTCCCAGGGCGTCCCCAACCTCATGAGCCCCGGCGGCTTTGCCATTGCCTGGACCGACTACATGACCTTGATGGTCGACAAGCTCAATGCTCTGACGACCGGTGCCGTCTCTCCCTCCCCTCTCCGCCCGAGAAACGACCCCCCGACCCCCCCATCTGACCATGTTTCTTCCCCCGACAGGCACCGACCTCGAAGACAAAGACACAAAAACAATCATCCTCCTCACCGCCCGCGAGCCCACCAAGGCGCCCCTCTTCAACTACGCCTCCATGGCCCACAACAACCACTTCTTCTTCCGCGGCATCTGCCCCCAAGGCACCCCGATGCCCCCCGTCCTGCGCAAGGAGCTCGAGGCCTCCTTCTCCTCCATCGACACCCTGCGCCAAGAGTTCGTCCTCACCGCCCAGGCCATGTTCGGCCCGGGCTTCCTCTGGCTCGTCAAGGCCGGCCCCGCCGACTACCGCCTGCTGCCCACCTACCTCGCCGGCTCCCCCTACCCGGGCGCCCACTGGCGTCGCCAAAAGACGGACATGAACTCGATCGGCGACGAGGGCTCCGCCCGGCCCTACCTCAGGAACCAGCTCTCGGGCGCCAAAAAGCGCACAGCCGAGCTGCCCCCTGGCGGCATCGAGCTCGAGCCCCTCCTCTGCCTCAACACCTGGGAGCACGCTTGGTTGCTCGACTGGGGCGTCGGCGCCGGCGGCCAGGGCGGCAAGATGGCGTTTGCTGAGTCCTGGTGGGAGCTCATCGACTGGGAGCAGGTCGCCAAGCATTCGGGCGTGCTGCGGCCGGATTTCAAGTCGGCGGCGACTGAGGAGGCGGCTTAGTGAGGTGCATTTGGCGTCCACCTCTTGCCGAGGAGCGACCGCCATCCTTGGGCTTTCACCTCTGCATTGGGCGCTGGCGGGCTGCCTCGCCTGGGGGAACCATGTGGCCATGATGCGCGTCTACCAAAATAATGTAAAAAAATGTCTTCTCACTACTTTCTACAGCTAGTCCGGGACTGTTCATGTACGAATAGCACAGCCATCATGGCGTGGTTATTTTACCCTCGCAGGCAGCCTGCCCAACGAATCTGGAGGCGTCATTGTCCCATTCAACACGATTTGGTCACAGCTTGTCTGCAACATTACGTAGATCGAGGCCAGTTGACATGGCGGAGACGCATGGCAACCAAGAGATAATTCGTCATTAGCTCTTGTTCATTCAAGTCAAGACTACAGGCTTGCCTGAGAACACAAGTGGTATCAAGTTCATCCGCTGCGCAACTAAATAGAAAACAGGCTCAAGGAACGTCGAGTATCCGTATCGTGAGATTCATTCATTGCCTTCTTTGTGTCACAGACAGGTCGCTGGGTGAAACAAAACAAACGCTAGGATGAGAAAAGAAACAGAAACGAGGTATGTTACTGTGCGCGAAACGGTAGAGACGCGCGGGAAGGTCGAGGGAGAGTGTCGACGAGGCTGACGGAGCTGAGATTTTGGGAGCGGCTTTGCATTTGAGAGACGTAGGAGAAGCGTTTCTCCAAACGGTGCCAAGTGGTATTCGGCAAAAGAAAGAATGGTGTGAGAGAGCACGGAATCAATCCGGCGCTTAATTATATCATGTTTCCGTTGACGCTAATCTCAAAGCCTTGGCCCTTTTGCTTGAGCGCCTTGGCCAGCATCAGCTCCCGCATCCAGTCGATGCGCTCGTCACGGCCCTTGACAGCGAAATGGTGCGTCTTTCCAGTGCCATTGACGCCCTCGTCGGATGCTGCGCCAGGAGCATGCATGAAGCTATCGCGCTTGCGAAGACGTGCGCCCACTTCCTTGTCCTGAGGGATGAGCTGGAAGCTGAAAGCAGCGATGGAGTCGCTCTTTCCGCGACTGTGCGAGATGTTCATGGCCTTGAAGGCTGCGCTAAGCTTGGACGATGACGCAAAGTTGGAACAGGCAATGGCGTAGTCGTCAATGTCAACATACTCGAGCGTGCGGTTCATCTCCTTGGAGTCCTTGTGCATGTTAAGCCGGGTACCCCTGATGGTGAAGTATCCGTCCTGCCACTCATGGCGGAACAGACGCATCTTGCGCTTCTTCATCGGGCCTTGGAATGAGATGCCGTCAGCTGCAGCGGACCCTTCCTGGGAGTCACTGGGCTCAGAGATGGGCTTGGGAGGGATAGTTTGCTCCAAGTGTGTGCACTCCACAGGCGACCATGGGTAGTGATAACGAGGGGGCGCTTGGCGTGGCTGTCTGTTGAGGCGGCCAGCAGTATTGGGTGATGGTGACGGGCTCTTGGGGGACGGAGCTTTCGCAGCCATGTTGCTTGCTTTGTGCTCGTCCAGGGCTGGGAGGACGGAGAAAGAAGGCCGCCGGGCAGAGAGCCGAGACTGAGAACGAGCATGGGGCGGGCTGTTGGACAGGTCTGCCCGGTAGCCCATGTCGGGAGGCACGGATTGGGAGACATTTCGTGCAACTGGGCCAAGCGGGACCGCCGTGACAGGGACGTCGACCTCGGAGAAGGGACTGGCAAGCCTCCGGTGGTCTCTCGGTGTCTCCAGATCCAATGAGCGGGGGGACGACTTATCCATGCGCTGCGGTGGAGGCCCCTGTTGCTGAATCGACTGGCGCTGCTTTTTCTCCTCGAGAGCTTGTTCCACGGTCAGGAGAACCGTCCGTGTCTGCTGCGGCTCGCCCCCATCGGGGATGGATAGCTTGGGTAGCCAACGGAGGCCATGATGAGGAGGCTTGGTGGCCGGTGTGAGTTCAAAGGGGGGCGTTGGGGGTACTTCGTTGGCCCGTGTCTTGCTCTGCTGATGTTGAAAGCCCAGAAACTGGCGGACATTGTCTTGAGGATCGCGGGACTGGACGTTGAGCAGGGCGGCTTCTCGGAGGTATTGCAGCGGAGGGAGGCCACCAGGCCCAAGAACGTCAGACGATGCAACCACAGATTGGAGCGCGTCCGACATGGGTCGCTGGTCCTCGTTGGGGATGATAGCCTTCGCCGTGTCTGGGTTGCCCGCGTCACCATAGAGGAGGACGGTACCGCCAGCATTCAAGTCCACGTTTGGATGTGCTTTCTTGATCTCTTCCATGGCACGCTGATGCCTCTTCCACTTCGAACAGTTCTCGCCCTTTGAACAGTGGTGCGGCCTAGGTATGACCTGCTCAATGCCGATGATGGACACGGACTCCATGGGAGTGACGATGTCGTCGTTGGCAGAGGGTCTGCGACGCTGTGTCCTCCTGCTACCCTGGCGCCTCTCTAGGTCGGGGTGGGCCCTCGCCGCCCTCCTCGCCTCCCGACTCGGCACATCTTCAATCGGTGTCGAGGGTCTGGGCGAGGCGCGTCGGCTGTTCCGGAGGACCTCGATCTGATTCCAGACCTTTGTACGAATACCAAAAGAGGGGATGTCTAGCTCTTTCAGGTCCTCAAACTTGAGCGTGACGACGATTTCGCCATTGATGTCGTTTTCGATGAATCGGTAGGCCACAGACAGCTCGATGCCGGCATCAAGCATAGACTGCGCAACCATCTCGGGAGTCCACGAAGCGAGCAAAGACGGATCGAGCTTTTGTTGATCGTACTGGAATGAGCTCCGTTTTGCAGGGGGTTGAGACCTCTCCACGCGGCCGTCAATCACCCGGGCTGGCCGAGACGTCAGGGGCGACAGCGTCAAGATGGCGCCCTCTTCAAGCAGAGACTGGTCAGTCGAGCTGCGAAAGAGATGGGGTCCTCGGGGGCCTTGGACTTGTTTTGAAGAGACGTCGAGGAGGACCTCGCGGCCACGACTTGACCTAGGAGTAGGGACTTCGTCGTACGAGGATACGGTCGTGATACTCGGCTGCCCCGACTAATATGATGAGCTTCCATGGAGCTTGAACGGGATAGGTCGTCTGGAGAGGTGCATACGTACCGACTGTAGACTCACGCGAGGTGAGTTGTCTTCGACGTCACTGACGATTTCTTCGTCCCAGTCCGTGTCCACAAACTCGGTGGCCACAGACATTGGGCGATGGGCGTGAGACTCGAGTTTGGAAGTGAGGAAGGCGTCTTCTGCTGCGTGGTTTCGCACTTGGTGGGAGATGCGGCCATCGCCGACCCGGAAATATGGGTGATCCTGCGACGTGCGGGAGTCAGACTGACATGATCAAGACTGTTGGATAGGGGCCTAGTTACCATGGCTTGGCCGTCCTCGCCCCAGATTCGGGGTTCAATAGGTAGGTCCAGGCTCAACGAGTGGGCTAGTCATGGGCAAGTGTATGGTTTGACGAGAGCGTCTGTGTTTAGCATGCGATGGCCGTTGCCGGCTCCCTGTTTGCCTCTACTTCTCGCCTCTGAAGAAGGAGAGGGGATGGATATGTAAGAGGTCAGCTTGAGCTGTGCCGTGAGACAGAAAAATGTAGAGAAACGTCGAGAAAACAAGTAGGAAAAGCAATGCAAGAGAAGAGAAAACCCCGAAAGAATCGGAACAGACATGCACAAGTCGCAAAAGGGCAGCCGGGGGACTGTTATGTACGAGGTAGGTAACCAAGCCATGGGCTAAAGTGGTTGCATATCGACAGCCCCGCGAACTTGGATCCCCATGCTCGAGATGTGATGGGGGACGAGCGGACAGGAAGAAAAGACGGCGGCATCACATTGCCAGCTGCGGTCCGGCGCAAAGACTGGCGCCAAGGCGGCGGGCATAATTGGACCGCCGCGATGCGAGCCGCTTGAAGCGCCTGCAGCGAGTCGTCGTCTGCCGTCATGATAGGCTCAGGGCATCGGTGTGTGATGTGGTGTGGGAGGTGTGGGAGGTGTGGGAGGCGTGCGAGGTGTGCGAGAAGACGAGGGACGAGGGAGGGGGCTGGCTGTTGGTGGATGAGGGCCAAAGGCGGTCTGTCCCCTCCCATGGCCCAGTACAGCGGGCACTGGAGTGGCGTCTGCGCGTCCCTGTCATTCTCCCAGGCCACCTATTACTTACCTACTTACCTTACTACTGCACTGTACTGTACTTCCTTCCACCGAGGCCACTGAACAGAGCTGCCCGACCTCCCGCCAGCCCTGGAGAAGCCCAACCACCACCACCACCACCTGGTACTTATACGTCAGTATCGCGTCCACGAGAACGCCTCTCTTCTCCCGCTTCGGCTCTTGGAGCTCGTTGACCGAGAGGAGTCTGCAGAAGCGGGGAATATACGCATGCATTTCCCTATGGATGCAGTTGGGGCATGCGTACGGATACAGCTCCGAGCACGGACACAGTAAGTAGAAGAATGACCAGTTCCATGTTGCTTCCAGGGCCCTGTCTGGCGGCTTCATCCATCCTGTGGTGCAGATATGCCTGTGACTTTAGGCTGTGACTTTAGGTTGTGACGCCTGTAGCAGACTTGGGCAACAACGACAGAGCAAAAACGTTGCCAGCAAGTTGGCGGGTTGCTGTTGCCGCCGGCGCCTGCAGTCGGGGCAACCCATACGGGCAAGAGGCAGAGGGCAACAGCTGATGGGGCCCCACCTCTCTTACCCTGTATCCGTTTACAGGTGCTGCAAGGTAGCGGCGCTGCTCGAACTCTCCCCTGTAAAAATTCTTCACCCCGCGGAGCTGTTAGTGGCTCGTTAGCCGGGACAGGATCTACAGGCCACCCGACCGCGCTTTTGCTGCGGGGTCCATCGTGACCCTAACAGCACAGAGGAAGACCTTAGGAGAGTTCATATTCCTCTGCGAAGCCGGTCTCGACAACATGTCCACTCGGACCTCATGGCTCTCTTCGGAACCAAGGAGCTATGGGTATGGGAAGGCCCGCCCTTCTAAACAACGGTGGCCGGTTGCGGAGGTTTTTCTCCCTGAGGGCAAGCTGCAAAGCCAGCCTCTGATCCCCTCCAAGAGTTTTTCCCTGCCGCCGCTCCCCAGTCATTTCCACGGCTTGGTTACTGGAGCGTGGACTGCGGCAGCAGTTTTGGCTGCGAGCGAGAGAATTCTGACCGGACAAAACCAAGGGTTGACCAATTCTTTGTGGCTGCGACCACCCGACACTTTGCCTTGACATCCCGCTGACGGGTACGAGGCTTGACACGAGCGCCATCGAGCCGATGAAATGCTGGATAGGGACAGAAGGGGTTGTTCACGGGTAGCGAACTACGAGCGCTGGGTGCATTTAGATGGACAGTGGTTTTTTCGAGGGAACTCATTCGGGACACTTCTCTGTAACTAGCTCAGCACGTCCTGTGCTCCCTCGCGGAGACCTGAGCGGCCTGAGCCGCTGGACGCAAAATACACAACAACAACAACAACAGGTAGCGCTGCTCCTTTCCAGTTTCCTCTTTCGTACGTGCCTGCTTCGCTCAAGGCAGGTACCCTCGATGCGGTGTAGGCCCTCGACACAACCGTGCAGTCCAGAGTGCTTGCATGACATTTCGTGGACGAGTGGCGTTGGCCCGAGTGATTGGCCTTTTGCCTCATTCTTTCTGTTCCCGCTCACCTCAACTCAATTCATGCGGTGTCGTCAGCCACTTGCGCGACCCCTGCTCTCCCCGCTCCGGACTTTCCGCACTCGACTCTTTACTCCGGACCATCCACCAGCCCCGGTCACGCTCCGGTCACGGCGTCCGTCGCAGACAGGCAGAAGGCTTGTCCCCTGCGTCTTGTGCGATGCTCGCGCCGGCACCCGGACCAGAGTCGTTGGAGCCCCCACGCACGGCAGCAACAATCATCAAGAGGAAATACGATATTAGACGACGGCAAGCAAGTCAAGGTCGGGAGCGGGGTAAAGGACAATGCAGGGTAGGCATGCTGATCCAGCTAGCTAGCTTGAATCGGAAACTGAAGCTTGTTCCGTCGTCCATGTCCTGCAGCTCCTTCACGCTTCTGCACCTTGCTCAGATGGGCCTTTCCGTTGACGAGATAACGTTCTCGGCCGGCAGACCTGGTGCCATCTCGCTCTTCCTTCGGGCTGCATTATGAGATCCGGACAGGGTGAGCGAGGCGAGGTTTGCTGACGGCTTTGTGCTCAAGTACGCGCACGCTACTGGGACGGACCGCCTGACTAGAGCTGTTAGCCCGACCTGGAGCAAGGCCATGTCCCAGCAGGTCTCGGCTGCCGGCGTCACGATGCCACGGTGACCGGGAGCACATGACTTGCACGATTGGCAAGCCGCTCGCTCGGCCCCAAGGCGGTCAGCCTTTGAGGGCAAACAAGACGGATTGATCGCTTGGCAGGTGAGTGAGCCACGCCAAGGGTCCGCGTCCTTGATGCCAACGCCGTCATTTACCTGCCGCCAATACCCCAGAGAAGGTCCCAGAATGGCAACCGGGATGCGACGTGCGTGACGCGAGCACGTCTGCTGCTGGCTCGGTCTATGCATACATACATATTGATTGCTATACTGCACATGCACGAGCTGGACCAAGAGGATGAACCCTTGCCAGCTACTGCGCAAGCTTGGTCGACGAGGGCGTGGCACCGGAGCATCTGCGCGCACGGTGTGGACGGGGGGTGAGACGACGTGCGACATTGCGACCCCCCCCCTGCAAAGGATTCGAATCGCTTCTCGTCCTCGTAAAAAAAGTCCATGCCGATCCGCACGTCGCCAAACCGGTTGTCTATAATGTCGAGCTTGATAACGGCGCTCAGCCAATTGGCCTAGTCGACGGAGCCAGAACCAGCATCTTCCTTTTTCCCTCCCTCATCTTGCTCCTCATCTACGAGCGCCAACCAATTGTAGCGAGCAATTGGCGCGTTTTGAGAAAGATTCGTTTGCCAAACCATCATGGGCTCATCAGCGTCAGCCTCAACGTGCCACCGGAGCCAATGGAGCCGCGATGCGGCCTCGGGTGCCGTCGATTGGCCGGTGGCACGTCCATCCTGAAATACTTGTGCGGGGTTTCTTACTTTTTCCTCGTTGCCCTATTATTTCTCGGTCTGACCTCCTCAAGCCTTGTTGCCGCTCCGAGTCGAGCGGCATCCGCCCCGACCCCCCGTCGGTGTCTTGCATCGCCACTGCACATGACGCCTGCTGGAGGTTGGCCCGATAAGACATGTACAGGGATGGCATCGCTAGGCTTGCCAAGTTCCACGACCATCCTGACCGTCTTGGGCTCCGTGCAACGGCGCGCGGCTTCCTGGGCCTCGTAAACGGGGAGACGACGGCAACGTGCGCCGCCTCCCCTTTTCGTCATGCGTTGTTTGTCGAGGTTCCCTGAGCTTGGCGTCATACCTCGGAGCCAGCAAACATCTGGCACGATCCAACTGCCTGGTGGCTGCGATATCGGGCAGAAATGGGGGTTGAGTAAGTGAGCTCGATGGACCAGACTAGTACTTCGTGCAGAACCTCACGATGTCAAGGCCAATTTCCAATGAATGTTCTCGAAATAGGTCGTTATACATGTAATGATATGTATGTAATACATAAATTGGCTTACAGGCATGCTTGCGTACCGTATGAGCTGTGCCGTACACTTGCTGTGCGTATTGCACGCTCCAGTACCAGGACAAAGGGGGAATCTCATCTACACACGACGCATCATGGCCTCCTCATCCTCATAGACCGCGCGCCGTGACCTCGGCATGGCCCTTGATCCCTCAAGGGGAGCCTCTTCCGGCCACAGTGCGCACTCGACACGGATGCTTTGCGGCAACGACGGTCTTGGTATGCGTTGGGTGTCCGTACAGTATGTGTGGAGAGCTTGAGCCACGTCGGCTCTTGTTCCCGATGTTCCAGAGCTCCACCCTCATCGAGAAGGTTGCAACTATCACAGCGGGCAGCCGTCTTTCCGGCAGCAACAGAGGCGATTTGCTGACGCTGGAGTTCAGCTCACATGCTAGCTGGCCAATGTGGCCTACTCTTTGGGGACAGATACTCTAAGCTGGCGGTCGGTGATGGAGACGATATCTTTTACGGACACGAATGCATCGTGATTCCTCCCGTGGCCGGATCAGGGACCGGCGGGCCAGGGGACAAAAGGCCCCATCGTTTGCCGATGGAGACGTAGCCAGCAAATGGATGGATGTGGAAATATTGGCCACAGCATTCGGCGTTTTTCTTGTTGTCGACGAATCAATTACTCGTCGAGCTCGTGTCATCCATTGAAAGAGGACGGCGACTTTTCCGAAAGGCGGCGTCGGGGGTTTACGCCGTCGCGGTCCGTGGCCCGTGCATGTACAGTACGATGCGATGGGATCCTTGGACGAGCCAAGCCCCGA